TTTTAAGTGAAAGACAATAACAGTCACATATAGTTACTTTCTGACAGACAGTCCATCATATTTAATTTTTTTGTCTGTCATATACCATTACATGAGTGATATTGACCAATGGGAGCACAGAGCACTCTGCATGTAGTAACAAGCGTGAACATACGAAATGACGAAGTGGCAGAGGAATGACGGAGTTGGTGCTGTGAGATGCAACTGTAAAGCGGAGCAAAAGTTTGGAAAAGTAGGTCAAGTGCTGATGAGAAATAGCAGACACACTTCATTTAGTGCCATCAGCATTTCAGGGTGTCATCTGGCCCAGCCAGTCTCCCTTTTCCTCATTATCACATGGGTCATAATGGCTGGTCAGGTACCAAGTGACATGTCTGCTGTTCAAATCACAGCTCAAATCTATGGCTCTTTTATATGTGGCCACTCTGATGTGCCATTGATACATAGAAAAAACATACACACTAGAACGCTGTATAACAATTGTATGAGTGTGCAGTGTTAAGGCAAAGTAGGACTTCTCCATAAGGCCCTTGGAAAATGAAAATGGAAAACAAGTGAAAAATGACATTTTAACATCACCAAAACAAGCCATTAAAAAAATAAAAAAGAAGACACACACACACACACACACACACACACACACACACAAATAACAACATCAATACCTGAGAGTGTGAATATAATAAACAGTTTTATAGCACCTGTGAGGAGCTTTTGCTGGGAGTGAAACAGACAGAGATAAATGCTGATGTATGAGCTACAAAAGACAACAAGACCACCAGCAGGGGAACTGTTGATATATGTTTATTGTATGTCTATAACTCCTGATTCTGTCAAGAAAAGATGAGCAAAGAGATAACTCGTCCAGCTTTTCCTACAGTCAAACAGCCAATTTAACAAAATTCCCTGAGAAGCTTTGAAATATTAGCGTACAAATCAAAGATGCTGTAAGGGACTTTTGGCCTGTGTTGGTTGTGGTACCCCTTGTGGACAAAGTAATACCAGTTTAGTCTTGTATATGTGAAAATAGTATTTTCAAACAAAAAAAAACTCATCTTATTGTCTTTTAATAGTGAAATGTATCACTCACTGCGAGTATTTGACATAATTTTTTTTAAAGGTTATTTTTTTAGCCTGCTGTCAAATATTAGTTCTGAAACCTATCCTTGCATAGTAGTTTAAGACATTCAAAATTACATCAGAGAAATGATCAGCCATGATGCTGATGATTTTGTTTGCTTTTGAAGGCTATAAAGAGGGATCTGTGTCAGTTTTCAGTCTGTTTCTTGGTTAATTAAAATCTCCTCACAGTACCTTTTAAGTGTATAAATAAGATAGTTACCAAAATCTTTTTGAAATAGTACAGAAAAAGAAAGCTTTAAAATAGTTTTTGGATTGTATTTAAAAGAACTGAGAATTTCATAGTAACTGCATTTTTTTTGGAATTTGGTTCCAGTTATCTAGTGCAAAAAAAATAAACTTTGCTCTTTGAAGAAGGTGGACACATAAATGGCTTATGTGGAATCAAAAAGTATACAAATATATTCTAATGTAGCTATACAAAATCAGTATTTATAGGATTTCTGCATCATGCCCCAGCTTTATTAACCTCCTTAGCCTCTTTGAGCTTGCTGGTTTTTTTTTTTGTTTGTTTGTTTCTTTTTGATCAGCCAATTTTTGGCTTAAACTTATAATTACGTTATAGACTGAGTAAGTGCCATGTGCAGCAAACAGCAAATCAACTGTACCCACTGCTGCCTCTAACACCAAAGTTTCCCTGACCAACATCACCTTCTCTGTAGCTAGTGGGGGTGTAAACAGGAAAATGTTTGCCGACAAATTGGTCATATTAACTTTATAAGGTGATATAAATAAAGGCAACCTTGTAGATAAAAAAAAGTCTCATTGAGGCAATCACTAATGCAGACAGTTTTACAATGGCAATAAAATTATTGTCCTTTGTTGTCTCAGCTTGGTTTAAAATGGTAATAAAATACAGTTCCAACTGTCATTCATCTGTCTTTTTCTGTACTGTCAAAACACTTCTAACATGTTAATGTTATCCTATAGTTTACGTCTGGTTTGTGTAACGCATTTGCTGCTGCCTGTTTTTATTAAAAAAGGTCTCACTTTGCTTTGGTCAACCAGTGTCAGTAATAAGTTGGGGGAAAGGCAATAACTGCCTGCTTCCTCAGGACTCTCCCTGCTCCCTCAGGACTCTGCCTGCTCCCTCAGCTAACATTATGACCGAAATCCCTTTAAATTATTCTGATTTCTCCAAACTCTGGACAAAAATTACCCCTGTTTTGGCTCCTTTGTTCATTTTTCTTTTTTGAAATGTTCTTTTTGGTTATCAAACAACGTTAGTCTTAGTCTTGTAAATGATGACTGCAGGATGCCTGTGTTCCCAAAAACCTGAGTCAGTAAATAAAATGTTCTTAGATGTAAGAGGCTGTCAGGCTTATCCTGCCAGGTCTATTCTAGCTCATACATTATGGTTGATATTATAAAAAATGAAAGAAGAGGGAGCATGAAATTGCAGCCTTTGTGAAAAGTTATTCTCATTTCTTTAGCACTTCTTGTGTTATCTACATAATACCAGACAAAAAAATATCCCATCATGTTGATGATGAACAAAACCCTACCTTCATTTATTTAACTCTTCTCAAGCCATACACATTCTGCAGAATGGGAGCAAAGCAGTAACTTTTAAGGGTGATGCTCTCTGCTGTGGTTTTCCACAGGAAACAGTAGTTAAAGCTCCTCGTGCAGGATCTGGTATGCAAACATAATCCAGTTTCTCTGCATCCATTTTTCATCTTGCAGGAAAAGATTGTTTTGAACTGAGGTGTTTTGCTCTTCCTAGGTATGTGTCCACTCTGCTGTCAAAGAGCCAGTCCAGGAGGCCATCGACCCTCCGGCCTGCATGTATAGACACACTATTGTTGATGAGCTCCAGTCCAGTTCACTGACCACATTCCAGATTCAGTCCACAACCTGTCTCAGAATACTGCACCTCCTGAAAATCTTGGCAAACTCTTGATCTATGTAAACAGTGTGCTGCTATGTTATCACTGCAGAATCAATGGGCCCACAAAGGAGAGTATAGTATTGTTTACTTAAAATTGTGTGAAAATAGACCAACACACATTGGCTGCAACACACAGAAACAGCCTGAATCACTGATAAATTAGATGAAAGAAACAAGCGTCCAATTTGAAATGCATCACAACAGAGAATAAAAGAGGAGTTTAGACTAGAGACTCTACATATGTTCAAAAATCTGGTTTGTATCCATTTTGCTCTGAATTAATGCTCTTCACTTTCCATTTATTTCAGGAAAATGTCTGCCTTTTATTACTCAAAAATGAGCTTTGACAGTGATTGGAACTTTTGGTCTTACAGCAGACATTGGTGTTCATGGTGATAGCTGGTACTATTGTGTTCTTAATATAACAGATACTGCATCTGTTACTTGGACAGCATACATAAACATATCACACTTCCTGTACTCCATTTTGTACCTTTTGTTTGACTCCATAACTTTTGAATTTTAGACTTTGAATCATAAGCTGCAGTGAGGTTATTAGCACTTAGTAGGCCTATGACTAACTGATGTCACACCATTATAGTTTAATGAGAAATACTGTTAGTGCAGCATGTTTTGTTCTTTCCCTGTAATGCACTTGAAGCAACACATCAGAATCCCTCTTTTCACTCATTACCATAGTTTCATAACTACTATGTGGTAAAAAAAAAAAAAAAAAAAAAAAAAAAGGAAATTGGTATCATTTTCTCCAACTCCATCCTTTGTGAATGTTTTAAAATGTTCATCTTTAAACATGGTCTGCAGCAGTAAGTACCTCATCTGTGTGCTATGATGGAGTCATCCTTTGACTTCCCAGCAGCCAATGTTATCATTTTGTGACTCATAACCAAGAGACACTGAGCCAGAATACCAGCCTGCACTTAATCCAATGTCATTTGCTACTAAATATGTACTATTATCAAATACAACAAACCAAAAGTCAAGCCTGGTGATTGTTTAATACAAATATAAATGCGATAGAGCCAACATTTTTAGAGGACGGTTGACTCTCCCTTCTTCTCTACTTAATGCCAATGTCTCTGAACATAAATATGATCAAATGGTTCTTGATTGCACTTTTCAAACTACAGCCTAAAAATCAGTCATCATTAAACACTGTATGCTACAGGTGCAGGCAACAAAGCATTTTGCTGCAATATGGATAAAGTTGGTTAAGTAAAAATAAAAACCCTAAACCAGTTATTTATTAAATCAAGTTTTTGGTCCCTTATAACTCTGGATAAGTCATCCAAGAAGTCAGCAGCCATGTTAGCCATACTTGAAACGGTATATCAAAACATAAAAACTGCACTGTGATGCTAGGAGAACATCAGTTAGCTTAACTGTTAGACCTGTTTTACTAGTTTGAAAAGACTGCTCTCATTTTATGTGTGTGTTGTTTTTCTTGGATGGGATCATGTAGCTGATATAATGTTCGCTCAGCACTAGAATAAACAGCCTGTTTTAATTGCTCTTGTATAATTTGTCTTCTTTCTTTACGTTTTGTTTCTCCCAATTAAGAAAAATGCCAAGACCACCCGTGTAAGCCTATAACAAACTAAAATGATACCCAAAACAAAGCAAACATAATCTGACAGTCACTGTTTGAAATTAGTTTGTCTAGCTTTCAAGTGACATCCTGCAGAGTATGGAGAAAGTTTGAGCTGTGCAAGCTAATGACCGCTTGCACACCATGAAGCTAATCAGTCTAAAAATACACCTTTGACAAAAAGAATCAGCCAGTTGTTTTGCTCTGCACCGATATTACAACTTAAAGAAGGAACTGTAGCAAGTTTTTGCCTTGTTTTGCCAATTCCATATAACTCAATGAAGCTTTCAGGTGAGGGGAGAAGACGACATCGGTTGCCATGGTACCAGGAGTCTTTACGAACGTGAGGGGCAACAGTTGAACGTTTTCTGCTGGCCCTACACCTCTCTGTATGTATGCATGTTCATTAGCGTGTTTGCCCGAAGCCCCCCTCGTTTTCCTCTTACGCAAAAAGCAGCGGCTGGTTGTGATTTGTTAGCCCGGGCCCTCCCTCTTTGGGGGGTAACTTATGACGGGAGTTAGCGGGCGGAGCCGGTTTCCCTGAGAGATAAATTGTGTGTGGTACAATTGGTGGAGTCGGGTACGAAACTGTCCTTTCGCTGTTCTTGTGAGGGACAGTTGACAGCTGAAGCTACTCCGAACAAGACCATAAAATTAAGGTAAAAACCGAAAAAGGGGGATATAACTGGGAGTAAATATGTCTGGAAATAAAGACAGTGACGGCGGATGGAGGACATTTCTGTGGAATTCAGAGAAGAAGGAGTTTCTCGGACGAACAGGCAGCAGTTGGTGTAAGTACTTACAGTGTTACAAATGCTGCTTTTCCCCTTACGTGACTGAACCAACACGGTAGCTCCCGCTCAAACACGACGGTATCATGTTAATTAATCTCATTAAAGTGATCACGTTAGGCTGTAATGGAGGAAAAAGTCTCAGTAGAGGTTTTTTCCTCTCTTCATCTCCTGACTGTAGGTTACTAACAGCACCTGTTAGATCTGAGTGTGCTGCGTCGTGACTTCGTTTTTCAATGGAGGCTGAGTGTAACGTGAGAAGTTGGTCTTTTAAATCAGAATTCACTCATTTATTTGGAAAGAACACGGCTTATTTTTCAGAGATGGACTTACAGGCGTGCTACAGGTCGAATTTAGTTCAGATAAGGCTCATTATAGAAAAAATCAATTAACTCGGACTATAACGTTTTTTTTTCATCCTTGTGTATTTGCAGCAGCCGTTAACTTATATTCGCCTGGTTAAAATCCTAGTAGTTCATGGTTAATACAAAGCACTAGGAAATGATTATCTAAGGCGTAGCCCATCCTGAGCCATTCATTAATAAACGTCCTTTATGAAAAGGTCACCCTGAAGGACAGTGTGTGGTGGGCCAGGACTTTCCACTGAAACACTAAACACTCAGAGATGAGTTCCACCATCTCTTTTCTGAATTCAGGCCATGTAGAAAAACACAAGGACATTTTTTCCCTCTCACTAATAACTTGAATGGCTAATCCCAGGCTCATGTGAACAGTGGGGTCCAGAGTGGTGGCCATGGGTGGCGTAGGCCCACCATAAAGTTTACTTGGCCGCTCAAAAATCTTAAACACGGTCTTTGCCCTTTTGTCAGATTTAATGGCGAAATGAACTTTTTAAACTGCTGTTTGTGGTTGTCTTCTAAATTGCTGTCTAATACTGAACATACTCAATAGAAAAGGGTAAACTTTGATTTAATTAAGTGACTGAAAATGTTAACCTCTTGAAATCAGGTATAAGAGTGGAATCTTGAAAAAGTAGCCTACCACTCTCTCTATCACCATATGAACTGTAAATACTTGTACTTTGTGAATACACTGAAGCCCCATTGGTAGGTGTGATATGACCCAGTCAAATAGTTTGTACTCAATTGTGTACTTAATTGGTGAATCATTAAACTGGCATACCCTCAACCACTTGCCTAACATGCACACTCAAGCATTGGCAGTTTTTGCAAATCTGCGTGCATGCTTATTGTGTTTAAGATGTTTTCATATGAATAGAAATATGCAAAGAATAGACTTTCCCATATTTAATGGAGCCACTCTTGTGTAGATATGGCCTTGGTCCATCGACAATGTTAAACTCAGTAGCAGAGTTTAGAAATGTTGCCACACACCAGTCACGTGAAATTTAAATTCATGACATGTTATGACAAACAATTTCCTTTAGAGTCTTAAAAGTTCAGTATAATTTTGTGTAGTTTTCTGTTTTGTTTCTTTTTGATGGTAAAACATCCACAGGGATGAAATATACTGCAGTTGATAGAAACAAAAAGGGTGGATATGTCTTAACAATATCTCTATGAATGTGTGCACAGTTACCCCCCTAAGGTACCCCAATTTTGGCCCTCCTGTTCAAAGAGTCTGGACACGCCTTTGCCTGTGAATGAGTACAGACTTGCTTATGCTCTACAAATCCAAGATTAGTGGATCTGATTGTTTTACCTCAGTTTTTTATTCTTGAAGGCTGTTTAACATTCGCCTCGTGTGAATAGTGATTGGGTAATCAGACACTGCTTTATAGTACCCTTTTAACTCAGTAAACCGTTTAACTTGTCAGAAATGGCTTAAAATTTTCCGCCTGTGTTCCGGGGGTTCGGCCAGCAGACACAACATGGTGCTGCGAGCAGATCACGACTCACATGTCTCCTGAGCCGCCCCTTTTCTCCATCTACCGACTTTTTTCCTCGTTGAAAAAATGAGACTTTTTGGTTGTCTGTTACGCAGATCCGCAGTCTTTAATGCTTAAATGGGCCGTATATTCAAGAGAAAGGCTAATTATCCTAATTATCTGACGGTGTATCACAGTAATGTCACGACTATAGAGGTGTGATAGCAACAGTGAGTTTTAGCGAACTCATAGCGACGTTCAGACGTCGACTTTGCTTTGTACCGCGTTAAAGTGTACTTATGTTGTTAGATAGGAAGTTATACTGTGACAAGCATCTCTCACACGCTTCCTGTAGCCATCCGTCGTCAGAGAGAGTGATGTCGCACCAAGTAAAATGGAGCAACAGGTTTGTCTGTGCCTCAGAGTCGTAGAAACCATCACTCTCTCAGCACACGCTATGTAACAAATCCTCATTTATAAAACAGGGCGGTGTTTTTGCGGAACTCTTTCTGCTGTTTTCAGTATGAGACATACGGAAACTGTAGCGTCTCCGTTCCAGGGTTTTCTACACTCGTGTTGGCGTTGAAAACAGGCTTTATGTGTCAGTAAAAGTACCGCATAGCTGGTGAAAGCGTGGACTAAGCTTCAATAAAAACGTCAGAAAAGTGGAGAGACATCAGTGAGGTGTGAATGTGTGACGGCCTCTTCACAACATGCTGCAGCAGTCTGGTGGGGGAGGTGCTCTCTCTCTCGCTCTCTGTCTTCATTCAAACTCTGCCTTTCACCAGCAGCAGGCCAGTTTCTGTGCTATTTACATTTCTGGGCAACAGTTGTCAGGATCTGGCATTTCTCTGGCCACAGAGACAGGGCAGAGTTTTTAAATCACCCTCTGTACTCTCACAAAATTTATGCCCACTCTTTCTAAGAAATTGGTTGTAATTAGCCATGTAGTTGCCCTTCTTAAGATGTCCTTTCATGCAGGCTCTGTCAGGCTTTTCAACAGCTAAGAAATGTTAACACTTGTGTGAAAAGTCCCAGGGCCACAAAAGGTGGGCACAGTGTGGGTTCTCACTATCCGACAGGCCTACAAACAAGAGAAAAAATGCAACATTTTCTTAACATTTCACCTACCAGCACAAATGCAAGATGCGTTCCATTTCGAGTGGCTTCTTCAACACAAATCACAGAAAGATTGTAATCCTACACGACTCATCAGCCTGAGTGTCCATCTTCAGTTTCCCCCTCAACAGGTGCATCCCACAGATGAGACATATTTGCATAGTGGCTCATTATGAAATAGCTGCTTGGTAACAAGGTTGTTTATAGTCTGACTACCACAGTAAGTCAGGTGTTTTATTCATGTTTGTAACTTCTTACTGAGAAAACAAACATCACATCTTGACCGTAATTTTGCTCATATTATGCTGCTGTAGTACTTCATGTTTCACAGGGGAAACTAAAATGTATGTATCAGCCTTGGGCAGTTGTTGCTCTGGACTGCATGGGGATGAAAATTCTGCTCAGTGTGTTTAAAATGCTAAAGCTCCCATTATCACAGTAACACAAGGCACAGGGATGGGCAGGCCCAGCGAGCTGAGTCTCCTGCAGACTTCTCAGTCTGTAGTCTGTTGCAAGAGATAAGGCAGTGGGGTTGAGCCTGTTAACCAACCAGCCTAACTGGTTTCACCGAGGCTGATTTGGACATGCAACTGGCAGTGTGGAGACATTTTGGGAAGGTGCCACAACAACAGCAAACACACCAGGAATGAGTGCACTGATGATGATGATAACAGCCCTCTGTGTGTGTGTGTGTGTTGGTTTTCAGGAACCTAAAATTCAGAAACAGTGTAATGCAAAGGGATGGCTGTTAGTGTTTGTCTCATATCAAAACTGAATTAAGATATTTAAGGATTTTTGGTCCAGGCGACGTTCTTACTGCGCTTTATATATCAGTATGAAGGAGGATGAGAATGACAAGTTAATAGTTTAGGGATCATATCAGCTAAAGTTACTCATTTTGTCTCTGGAGAATAACCTCAATAAATAGAGTTTTTAATCTGACAGTGGAAGGATGAATTAATTGATGTGAGAGTCAGACAGGAATTGAGAGTCTTCATCACTTGCTTTACTCGCCTAAAGGAAGGAAAACAAGTCATGCAAATGTGTAGTTTCCACCAGCATGAACAAAGGCAAAGAGGGACCGAGTGAAACCTTTTTGTTGGGCTGAGAAAGAGGACAGTGTTTTCATGAAGAACCTGTTGAGAAGTGACCCATTGGCGGGGGAGGGGTCTGCGCAATAGGAAACTGCCAGGCTGACAGGAACCACCAGTGACTCAGGACTCATGAACTGTAACTGTGCCCCCCTGTTGTTGCATAATTGGAGTAAATTCAAAATTAGTTGGAACACAAAAACCTCATGATTGTTTAATAATGAGAAATCAAAAGGATCATGGTGGGGAAGGAGTTTGTGGAGGGTCTAACCAATGCAGTTCAAAATGTTTACCCTGGTCCCCTGATGTTTTTCTATCCAAATGTTCTTAAATGTGAACAGTAGATAACAGGACAACCAACCCTAAGCTCGAATCACCGATTGTAGAAATATCTTAGAGATTTCATTGATTATAGAAGACTAATCTGATCTGTTTCTATGTTTGGTCACTGAGTCAGCATATTTTTCTGTTCTTACAGTGAAAACAAGGGATTAAGTTTGAGGTCTCGGTTAATTGATTGACAAAGGAATGCTGTTTTTTTTTTTTTTGTCTAACAAAGTCTAAAAGAATGACCCTAGGATAGTATATTCACAAGATAAAAAGCCGAGTGTTTTAGGAGCTTAACCAGGAAAATGTTTCAAACTTTAGCTTCATAGATGAATGAAACCAACAAGTATTAAACGACTGGATGGTGATTTACTTGGTCTACATGTTTCATGTCACAGTTTGAACCGTTTAAATGATTTATGACCTTAATGTGCCTTTTCTCTCCCTACAGTTAAAATCCTCTTGTTCTACGTCATATTCTATGGCTGCTTGGCTGGAATTTTCGTCGGGACCATTCAGGCACTGTTGCTCACTTTAAGCAACTACAAGCCCACCTATCAGGACAGAGTTGCCCCTCCAGGTAAATAAATTCCTCCTCTACCTCTATGGCTTTTTGGTTTGGCTGTGCATGCGGAAATCCGGCTGGAATTTGAGGTTTGATCAGCTCCAAAGTTCACGCAGCATTACTGTAACATGCAGCACTGGCTCAGTGTCCCTCTCTGACAATGTGTCTGTGGTTCATGTATGTGAAACCAGCTGTCTGGGTGTGCCTTTAAGCTGCTTCTCTCTCTATCAGAAGTCTTTGTGACCTTAGATAGGTTCAGCCATTTTGTCCTTCACTCCTCTCAGCCAGTCAATGTTTCCCCCCTCAGGCTACAGGGGAGCCGTTGTCGCTTACGCTGTGATTGAAACAGGCACAGTGGATGTGTCACGGCTGACATGTTTACATACACATGAATATATGAATGCGTGGCAGCCACAGTTTGTAAGAAAAGAGAGATTTGTCTCAGCTCAGAGGCCTCTAAGCTTGTTCTTGTGGGAAAAAAATTCTAATCTGTAATCTTGTGAAAACATCAAACAGTGCCACAGTCACACTGCCTGGGTTTCGAAATTCTCTGCAAAGCTTTGAGACGGTGCAGATTTTAAGTGCCTGGCCTTGTCTTGTTGTGCCAGCACTTGTTTGCACAGCACATGCTCTCTAGCTTTGGCGGTATTTTTAGCGGCCATTGTAAACGGCCAGCTTCTTGTACACAGATTCCATTTAGCAGTCTGTTTGTCTGTCAGACTTCCACAACTGTGTACAATCAAAGAGTGAGTCCTTGCAAGAGGAAGAAGTATGCAGCGCTTTGAGCTGAAGTGAGTTTCCAGTAGTGGCTAGATAAAGGAAGCAGGGAGTAGTTACATGTTTTCTTTTTTTCAGAGCTGGAGCCCGCCTCTCACTCTGAGGCTAAAAGTTTCCATTGTGAGAGAGACACACGTGAGAGTGCATGGGTGGGGGCTGGGGATTGGTTAACTTTCACAGGCCACCACTGAAATTCAAATGACTGCATGCTAGTTCTGTGTCCCTGTGCCACAAATGCCTTGAGTGTTGCTCATGAGTACAACAAGGATTAAACTGATTCAGCCGTAAGGCCGCGAAAAGGTTCATAAAATGTCATGATTCCTTTTCTCTCCTCTTACCCATCTCACTCTCTTCATGCCACGCCTCACTGAGGCCTTGTGCACAAGGTCTGTGGAAAATTACTGCTATAAAGAGCTGACAGAGACCATCAGAGGAAATCCCCAAGACCCTACATTGTGTGTTGCCCTCAGCTAACAGAACAGAGAACAGATCACATGATGTACAGGGCTTCTTCTTTCAGGCATTCCTCTTCACATTTACATGGAGGATTTATTTTTCTCCTTGCAAAGTTCTTGCGCTCAAACAAAGCCTCTGTTTGAATCAAAGGTTTTCACTTTTATGTAGTTTTCTTTACAAAACTTGTGTTTGTCTTTCAGGTCTATCACACACTCCTCGCTCAGACAAGTCTGAAATATCTTTCAGTAAGTCTGATAGTAAGTCCTATAAGAAGTATGTGGATAGCCTGGATGCCTTCCTTAAGCCATATGATGATGACCGTCAGACTGATCAGGCTAAATTTGAAAGCTGTGGAGGTGAGTATAAGGCAGTCATGCTCACCCATGCTCCCTGGCTGATCCCTTATCTGTATTTAACTACAACCATTCAACAATTGTCTCAGAGAAATTGAAAATTAAATCATTGTAACCTTAAAGTCACAGTGATCTCCTAATTTCATGTAAATGTCACAACTATATACTATAGTGGTTCAATGCTATTGTAGTTAGTCATATATGAAGGTCTATCGTGTCCTTTTTCCACTGTTTGCAGAAACTCCTCAGACATACAAGGATCGTGGACCTCTTGAAAGTGACCAAGGACAGAAGAAAGTGTGCCGTTTCAGCCGCTCTCTGCTGGGCAGCTGCTCAGGGGTCCCTGATGAGACATACGGATTCAAGGAGGGGAAGCCTTGCATCATCGTAAAGCTCAACAGGATCGTCAACTACAGACCAAGAGTAGGTTTACTTCACATTTACAACACAACGGCTCGTTATTGCAGTGCTCACACTGATAAAGGCACGCTTATCAAACTATAAAACATAGTTAATAAATCAGGTAAGTTCAAAGCTTTGAGAAAAAAGCTTTCGGCGGTGATAGATGATCATAAACTGAAAGGGTCAACTTAAAAACAGTGTTATTAAGCACTTTTGTATCAGGCCTCCCTGAAGACAAAGTCTAATTTTATGTTCCTCTCTGATCTAATCATAAATCAATGGGGATCATGAAAGGAGCAACCCTTTTGTTTGATTGATGGGGTTATATGGATGGATTGATGGATATACTGCCTCATAAAAACAAAAATAACACTGGCAACTCAAACCAGCTTGATCCAGTAAAAAAAAAAAAAAAAACAGCTCACATATCTCTGACTGAGACCTGCACTGCTAAGTCAGTTAAAAAAAAGTTACTGGCCAACTTGTTCGACAAATTATTCATAATCCGAATCATATTTCCAAGCATAAATATCAAACATTTGCTGCTTCAAGCATCCCAGATTGAAAGATTTGCCAATTTCTCTGTTAATCATGATTAAAATGAAAAAGTCCCTTTTTATGACTAATCTGTAAAATTGAAATCTGGAATAGTCACTTCAGGTGCTGCTGCTTCTGTTAAGAAGGTCAACAAGAAAAGACCACTGAGTAATCTAAACCACAAATAACAATGTTCAGTGTTATTTGATTTACAAGAGTTAAACAGACTCATATTTGGGGCTTTGATATCTATTTACGATGAAAAGAATAGTTTTCATGGAAGCACTATTAACCATCAGAACCGAGGGACTCTGATTTAATCTCTGTGAATGAATCCTTTTTAACTTATTACTGGATCAATACTTAGAGACAGCTCTTGCAGACTTAATGTTGTTGTTAGCCTGGTGATTAGTGAGATAATGTATGGTTAGCCCATGGTCATGTGAAATAGGAGCCTTCAGGGTGAGAGAGGACCCGTCTGTTTCATGTCGGGATCTTGTCTCATCCCATCAGTGTAATTTTTCACATAACCTCTGGCTAAATGTACATTATGTCTTACTTTGACATCTTGATGGCAGGAAAAACCGGATGAATTCAGATGAATTGAGATATGAAACCATCAGAATGAGGCCTAAGAGGTCATTGGAGGAAACGTATTTTCAAATCATGTTGCTAATGAGCAGGATCTAGATCATGTAACTTTTAGTAGGACCTCTCATATTAATAATGAAACTTGTGTTTACAGTGCTACTGAATCTGTAAACACATGTCAGTTTGGTCAGTGACGGTCGTTCAGTGAGGTTGAAACAGAAACAAATCTCATGTGTCACAGAAGAGCTAACCCAGGGTTCCAACATTTCCTTAAAATCTTTTCTATTTTTAAAGCTTTTGGTCTCCAAATGTCTTATTCTTACTTTAGAGGTCTGAAATTGTAGACGGCACTTTGACTGAGACATGAATACTTTTTCAAATCTGGTATGTCGTCATTGGATACCTTTTGTTAATCTTTGGGGTCAGCCTCACCGCGTTTAAGCACAGTATGTTCACTCTCACACACTGGTAGGAAAAGAGAGTACCAGAGAAACAGTTAAGGATATCTGGATACAAAGCAAAGAAAGGGGTTTGTTTGGTTCATTGAAGATAAAAAGAGAGACCATGAGCAACTATCCAGATTAGTAAAATGCAACAAAGGTCTTTAAACTTGGTTCACATAGTCGATTGTGTTTCATCAGTGTTGATAGAAAAAACTGTATTTATCTTCCTTTGTTTGAGTCTAAAAGAGGCTAAGATAGTCTTAAATTTGGAGGCTCTGGTTTGGCCTCGTAGTAAAGCTGTGTGTACTTTTGGGAATTTGATTCTCAAAAGCGAGGCCTCAAATCTTCACATTGTAACCTAACTGTTGTAGCTTACTCTATAGGGACTTGGCTTGGGAACTGAAGGGTCACCAGTTTTAGTCCTTGTATGTCCCAAAAGCATGGAAGTTGGGACTGGTTGCTGGAGAGGTGCCAGTTTACTAACAAGGCCCCCCCGGGCAAGGCATTAAAGCTGAAGTGCTCATGGCTTTTGCTGAATTTTATCCATAGCTGCTCATTTTAAGGTTCTCAAAATTTTAGATCCTTCGAGACTCTCAATACCAAAATCTTTGGAACAATACAAGACCACAAAAAATACTACGTTTAAAAGTAAAGCCCTTTTAAAAAAAAGAGATCCACACACGACACAGCTGTTTCTAAGGGCAGAGAGCAGGAGAGAGATAACCTGAAACAACCCAGCAAGATGAAAAGTTATCTTCTGACTGTTTCAAAGTGATAACACTCTGTCTTGAGGACTCAGAAATGTCGCCACCTCTCCCAACAAACATGCAGAAAGACCCTAGATTTGGATAGTCACCCTATGACACATTATTAGTCCATTATTGTTGTATTGTAACATTATTTTTAGAAAAAAATCTAATTCTGTTTTGCCATTCAGTACCGTTATATTACAGTTTGACAGTGTGTCAAGTGTTGGTCTGTGTTTAGTGACTTTTATTGTGCCAGGACAGTGGGCAGGTTGGAAATCAGAAAAAAAAATACATAATGAAATGCTTTGGATACCCAGGAATTTTGCCATGGTGCCAAATCAGGTATTAATCTAGACTGATTTGTGCTGGTATTGTATCAATGTCCAAAATTCTAGTATCAGGACAACCCTGTTGCAACCCTAGACACTGATACCATCACAGAGGCATTTAGACAAACTCTAAAATGAGTAAAGCAAATACGTTCATTAATGTGTCTCTCCCTCTTCTCAGGCTCCTTCCAACAATCAGTCCCTTCCAGATGCCCTGCAGGGAAAAACATCGCCCAACCTGATCCCCATTCACTGCAAAAATAAGGTAAGCTTATTTCACACCATAACACAAACTTAACACCATTACAGCAGCAGATTTTGTTTGAAAGTTGGATTGTAATTTTTTCCACCTGCTGTCTTTGTAGAGAGACGAAGACTTCGACAAGATTGGTGAGATCAAATACTTCGGCTTGGGCGGAGGCTTCCCTCTCCAGTACTACCCTTACTACGGCAAACTGCTGCAGCCGCAGTACCTGCAGCCTCTGGTGGCCATCCAGTTCGTCAATCTGACCGTTGATGAGGAGCTCCGCATTGAGTGCAAAGCTTACGGAGCTAACATCCAGTACAGCGAGAAAGACCGCTACCAAGGACGCTTTGACGTTAAGTTCACTATCAACTCGTGACCTCAGCCGTGACGCGCACTACTCTTCATTTTGACACCAATCAAATGTAGAGAGAAATAAAAGAGTTCAGATAAACACCACTAGTCTTTGAACATTCATAATATACAGGACCTACACTTAATCTGTGTGCTTTACACTAGCTTTTTCTGTGTGTTTGTCGAGGGTTAGAATGTAAAATACAAGAGTAGCAATAGCAAATATTTATTCTACTGTACATGAAAATATTCCTTGAGCCATGGGATGTGTTCATCTATTACTGTAAAACTGCAATTCCACTACTGACTTGTAGCGAGCTGTGTTTCTGTCCCCTAAAGATTTCATCCTAATGTGGTCTCTATATATTTTTGGAGTGTCCAGTGCTGTAGTTGAGTCCTGTTGTAACCTCTCCTGTCTTATGTCAGCTTTAGTGGTCCAAGGTGTGTGTGCTCCGTGTCTGTGTGCAGGTGTGTGTTTGTTTATGTGAGCGGGTGGAGTGTGTGTTAATGTGCTACGACTAACTGAAATACTAGCATGGTACTCTGAACCTTTAAGGCCCATGTTTGAGTAAATTACTGCGCTCCATGGAATCTCTTTTTTTTTTTTTCTTGTGCGTTTCTTTACCCAAGTTGTTGGAAGGATACATTCGTTTGCCTTTTCTTTGTTGTTCACCTTAGCTGTAGATTTGGTTTAATGACATTTCTGTTTGATACATCTTCTGTTCATTCTTAATTCATAGTGTAGAGCTTTGTGGGTCCAGCCTAGAGGACTGTCACCTCCAAGGAAACAGTGGCAACTCAGTGCTTTGAAATCTGTTTTTGCTGGAGACATCACATGACGTGATGCTACTTACTATTGAATGTTTTAGCCATTTTCATGGTGGAAGAATTTTATATTTATGCAGTTGTACATTTTTTTTTCAAGGTTTAATGTTATGAATCCAATACCAAAGTCGCTGGTCTAAAAGAGTAAGAGAATATCAGACGCAATGCAGTATCCCGTGTAATAAGATGTTTAGTTGGTGTGAAAAATACTTAATTCAATGTTGAAGATCAAAACACCTGTCAGGAGTCTGCTCTTGTCACTTTATTTAATCTACATAAGGCTGAAACAATAAACGGAAAAATGAGACAACTGTGAAGTCTTTGTGTGTGCAGTAACATGTTTTCTGTCTCTGTCTCCATTCACCCGTCCAGAATCTTGAAGAAATACTGCACCTGTGGAAGAAAAAACAACACTTTCATTCAAATCACAGTAAAAACGCCAAAACCAAATCAATTCCAAGAGTTGAGGAGCTGTGTAAACTTTTTTTGTTTTTTACAAAAAATAAAAATAAACAACAAATCAAATATTGAAGCTGAGCAACTTGGTGAAAATACCATGTTATTTTGAATGTGATGATTTTAGAGTTGTTAGAGGGACATGTTTACAATTGTGTTGCGTCACCTCTTCGTTTAACAACACTCTGTAAACAGTAGTGAACCGAGGAGACCAGTGGCTGGATTTTTCTAAGTTAAATATTGTCCCATTCTTGCCCAATGTAGGATTTAAGCTGCCCAACAGTTCAGGGTCTCCTTTGTTGGTTTTTGGTATATGAAGTGCCAAATGTTTTTAATCAGTGACAAGTCAGGACTGCAGGCAGGCTAGCTAAGCACCTGGACTCTAATACTACAGAGTCATGCTGTTGTAGTTAGAAGAATGCGGGAGAATATGGTTTGACATTTCCTGCCCCATTGATAAAGTCACGGTTGGGATGGCAGCATGTTACTCTAGTACCTGTATTTGTATCTGTTCATATTGTTCTGCGTTGCTTAAGCTGCCCATGTCGTAGACATTTCTGCATCCCCATACCACAAGGGTTGTGAGCTCTTGAACTGTACACTAACTACTAGTAGGGTGGTCTTACTTAGAGCTGAGGGTGCAGCGTCCATGAATTTCAAAAAGAAATGTCAAATTTTGATTTATTATCCAATTCTCCTGACCTAGAGTAGACTCTGGTGTCTCTTGATCATGTTTATACATGGTTTCCACTCCACATGGTACAATTGTAACCTGCATTTGTTCATGTGGTGACGTGTTGTGTGTTCACAGATGATGATTTCTGGATGTGATTTTGAGTCATGTCTGTTTTTAATGCAGGGCCACCTGAGGGCATGAAGATCGTGGCCTCGTTTATCTTGTACAGAGATTTCTCCTGATTCTTGGTACTTTTGGATAATATTATGTAATGCAGATGATGAAATCCTCAAATTTTAGACTGAAAACATCATTCTGGACTTCACTTGCTTGCTCTGTCCTACACAAAGTGGTGATGTCTTGACATCTTTACAAATGAGAGATTTGTCCTCTCTGTAATGGTCTTTAAATGACTAGTTGCCCAGTCATGTTACTAACCTGTTGAAAATTAACCTGATTAGTTGAGAGATGTTCCTCTGGGTGGTTTGAAGTGTTACATAACTCGTCTAGTATTTCATTATCCTTGCACCAGCTGTTTGGAAACATGCTGATGGCATCAATTTTAAAACAAATATAAAGATTTAAATAATCTACAATTCATGGAAATACCTTTTAGACTTTCAACACATTATGTTATCTTTCCTCTTTCATTTCTAATCATCCAAGTCACACTTTCAGCAGTTTGCTCAGTGTCTAACCTCTTCTGGGGTTGTGGTTTTATCTACTAGTCCTCTATGATATCAGAAAAAGGGTATTACTTAAGTCCACAGTGTAAACTCTCCTCTGCACAAGCCCTTTATTAGCCACTGTGTCCCAGTCTTGGGAAAATGGCAGCTCAGTCAGTCACAGGCTAATGTTTAACAAGGAGCCATTTGTCCAGCCAACAGATCAGGAGTTTTCTTGAACAATGACGCTCGATGGGTCAGACCCACTCCCAGTAAAACAATGGTTTTGTTTCAAATTCCTCTGCCCTTCTTGTTCTCCTGAAAACCCAGTGTGAGCTAAGGTTTGCCCCGGCCCACGGAGCAGAGTCATGAGACTCGACTAAAGCCCTGGCTTCACAGAGTCGGGGGTTTTGTTCTTGGCTGACTGTGAGGTGGTTATTTATGCATGGAGAGGAAGACAATGAGGAAACCTATTTGCAGGATCAGAGGAGTCACACGGGTGAATTAATGTGGGCGTGTTGTACTGAACATGGAGGGAACAGTGTGTGAGTGACGGACAGCACCCACCTCCAGAACACCGTCTTCAGGGAGGTCAGTACAGTGGACGGCGTTCTTCACTTTATCTTTGCCATAAAGCGCTCGCAGCGTGTTTGGACGGAGATGCCGGGAAATCTCCTGTTGATTAAAAACATAAGGCTCAATGAAACCGTATCGTAAAAAACAACATGAAACACCCTCTGTCTCAAATTCTGAGTCCTGTGAGAAACTGAACATCCTGTTCTGCTGTGTGTCACTGATGCAAAGTGATGACACAGCATTTGGACATGTGACTCTAAGGGAAGTGACTGACGTCCAACAACCCCTCTGAGTCACTGAAGAATAAGATACTCTATCAGATCATGTTGCAGAATTGAAGTATGAAATTACGCCACTGCCATGGTAAACCTTTTATAGACACTGGTTTTGAAGTATTAAGAAATCCTATTCTTCCTCATGTTTTACATCATTTACTCCATGTTTCGGTCAGAGAAGTTCAGCTCTGAAGCCAAAGAATCCCATTTTTAAAGCCCTGTGAGGCGTCGCTGACTGGTTGTGAAACACTAATACTGATCCTGATACCTTTTAAGACCTAAAAAAGCAAACAAGACGATCAGCAACATTTAAAGTCCCCATACTCTTATTTTTAATGCCTTAAACTGTTGGAAGGGGGAAGATGTCGGACCAGACGACTGACGGCACGCTGAGGAAAACAGTTCGTTTCACACAGAGTGACACATTTGACTAGAAAAAGAGCACAGGATACCACCAGTACCACCATGGCACATACAAGACAAATAAACAAAGAGACAAAATGTATATCTTTGACCACAGTGGGGCGCCAAAATCAACTCAAACCTAGAACTCCTTATAGCAGCTTTAGTTAACACTTGACATCCCTCTGAAACCTTTAGGAAATTTTCTAGCTGAAAAAGTAAAGTCTTTAAGTCTTTGCAAATTTTGCATTAAATAAAATATAAAAGTTTGTTCAGAGCTGAAAAATTGCATCACCCTGTTTGCAGTATCTGAATATGTTGCATTTCAGCGCCTTATCACCTTTGTATTGCACAATGCATGTTATTGCCAAATTCTTTCTATAGCACAGCCCTAACAGGCTGCACACCGATACCTTTTTCTAAATTACTTTATGAACACAAACACAAGAGCTCCCTCCTGTCTACACCTTAGAGACACTTTAAAATGTTTTGAACAGATTTGAAATAGTGTCACTCTTATTCAGACCTACATGATAAAAAGAGATTATCAGAGACAAGATTGATCAGTTCTTCATACTGAGTTTTAGTGCATGTGTTCAGGTTGGATCTCTCCACAAATGAGCATTCGTCCCGTTTAGAGCTCTGTGGGTATAAAGTTTGACAGTGAGAAGAAAGACATCAACGGAAGGGAACTAGTCCTCATCAACAAATGACTCAGAGAAACTAACTTCTCCTTTTCATGCTCTTCTTTCCAGGCAGTACTTTAATCATGAGAGAGTCTGCCTTTTTTTTTTTTTTAAACATCAGACACTCCCAAGGTCACAGCCGGGTTCTCTTGCCCTTTGCTGCTCAGTTCCTCCAGGAAATGTAACACCCCCACAGGGTCCACCATCAGGGGAGGGGCAGAAATTACCTCACCAAGGCTACAACTATCTCCACAGCAACACAAACACCTCTGCTGGGACACAGAACAACCAGCTAATATATAGGGAGAATAACGTCATCTTGTCAGACTCGCACTATCAGTTTCTTTTTATCGCAAAATCAACAACAAAACAAGTTACACACTTATTTTCAGACCACCTCCTGAGTTTGTTTACTCTCACTTGTTCTGTCTTGCAGCAGGAAAGCATCTACTATGACAACTTCTTTCTCCTCTGCTGGTTTATGAGAGCCAAACACAAAAGACAGGAACAAGTTTCCAAGGTCATCAACCAACCCAACCTTCTCTCGAGCCTTCATTGTCTTTAAAACAAAAACTGTACGGGAACAAGTCTCCTGGTTTAAATGACTGTCAGACACAATGTTCAGTGGGTCACCAAAGAAAAACTATTGTTTCATAGAAACTGTAGATCACATGGAAACTGAAAACCAACGTTTGTTAAATTGGTTCCCTTTAGCAAGTGTTGTGTTTAAAATCTACAAATTTACCTGGAAATTAATGTGTGGTGAATTCGATGCAGTTTTATTACGGTTTGATGTTTATCGACTACTACTTACTGAAAATTGAACTTCTGCAAGGTGTTGTTAATGTGCTTTCTCAAACTACTGGCTTTTTTTTAATCCAACATCTGAAAACTCAATGACTCAGAGACCCTCATTCACTTAAAATTATGACACTCTAAAGCAACAGTTAAAGCTGCAATGTCAAGAAATGGGAATTTCTACTGATACCTAGCAACCTATTCTGGACTTGAATGCTCCCTTGCTCACCCAGAAGTTACTGTAGAAACATGATGTGCAAGATGGTGAGCTCCTTGGAGGAGGATCTACTCCTATATAGATACAAAAGGCTTATTCTAAGTTTACAAAAAGCAACATTGTTTTCATGCTCAGTGATAATGCACTAATGGAAACATACCTGTGAAGATTATGTTCCATTTCTGCTAAGTCTGTTCTGATAAATGCCACTGTTTGCTTCACACTGCACCTTCAAGCCGAAAATAAGAGCAAAAGTCTGCAGATAGTTTAATTCCAAAACTATGAATACCAGTGAGGTGCAGAGGTACTTTAGCCCATGAAAATCCTTTCAACCAGGTCTGCTAAGCCCTTTAAATCATGGTTAACTGTCAGCCCAGTTTGGTGAAGTTCATTTTAAAGCTCTAAATAAATGCAGCTCTCAAGCTTCTTTTCCTAGAAATGTTGAAAGAATCTTCAAAACACCATTTCAGTAGGTACTGGTCAAAAGTGCACGGATGAAGTAATACTGGAAAATGCATTTTCAGTATCTGTCTCATCTATTTTCCTTTCATTAAGCTGCTGCATTTCCTGTATTGTGCAACTTGCCCCTTAGCTTGCTCAGTCATCGGCTAGAGGAGCTGCTTCAAACAGACCACAACATGCATTTCGTGTTCATGTAATCAAGCACTCAGCAGCTGTATTCTCACCACTGCAGCATTCAGATGCCATAAGCACTGTTCACATGACCTCCTCAGTTGTACCCAAGAGCTAATGGGTTTCACTCGAAGGGAGAATTACTTACAACTACAGAAAAGCTTTTATTTAAAAAAAAATCTGTAAACACAACCAACACACACTTTGTCTCTTTTGTACTTAAGTCTTTTAGAGTGTTTTGACTGCTCAACACCCCATAGCAACAGTCTGCTATTTCTTGATAGAAGGCTGTTGCTAGGGATGCCCAGTTTTGGATTTTTGTAGATATCTAACATGTATTTTCAGACTGGTTCATACTGACTTGGATAGCATTACTCACACACACACACACACACACACACACACACACACACACACACACACACACACACACACACACACACACACACACACACACACACACACACCTTTTGTCTTTGTTAAGACTGTTTCAAATTTTAAATGTTTATCTTATTGAGACAGTCTGTTTGTTGTAGGACCAAACTTTGAAAACAAATAGTGATCATTATTCAACGCAGCCAACATGAGTAAACTGTCACAATGCAATAATCAACCCATCACCTTTTTGGCCTATAATTACACCGGCAGAAAACATCACAGCTGCCAACACCAATGATTAACTTTTTAAGCTACAATCTTCAAAAACCTATACCCTGTCAATAATATTGTGCATCCCTAGTTATTGCTGTGTAGAAGAGAATGTGACAAGCTGAATGAACTCGACTAGTTGTAGTGCAGATTTCAAAAGTCCTGTTCACTTCATTTCACTTCACCATCAGTCGGTATGACTACATGCACTTCAGTCGAGCTATGGTCAAAGCTCAGTTAAACCATTTAATTGGACTACTGTCCTTGTCTCAGCTTATGAACTCTGGGGCAAAAATACAGTTGTTGTGAGAAGCACTTCCATCTCCACTATAGTGGCAACAAGCCTCCCTTCAGCTTGTAATTATCAAGTCGTCTCTCCATTTACATTTAATGTATCAGAACAGTCTTTAAAATGTGTTAGCAAGAGACTAACGAGATGCAAGTCCAGGGATAGAACACCATAACTTCTAGAGCTCTGTACAGTTTGTTTGTAAAATAATAAAGTTTTGTCTTTTTTACGTCCATTCTTAGTCTGTCAAGGTTTTGTTTAGGTTCCAAGTAGCGCCTCCATGCTGTTGGACTTCTGGACATAACATCAACATTTTCAGCTCTGATTAAACATTTGCTATGGGCTTTCCAGCAATTAAAAAAAATTGTAGTTCCAAATCCTAGGTTTTGATGGAAAGAAAATATTTTACAGTCAACATATATCGGCTCCAGAAATTGGGTTTTCATCTCATGAACTGTAAATTATCAGCTGTGAAAAACCAGCATTGGTTCATGCTTTAAGTTTTAGGAAGGATACAAATGCAATTTAGGTACTATTTTTATTTCAGAAACACAGGTACTTTCAAACCATAAACATAATGTCCAAATTAATACAGTACTTGATGTAAAATTACTGTTTTTGAAACTTTCCAAAGTAAGTCTTTTCTGTGCTCTGAGCTGGCAAACTGGCTGATGTCCTCATGCTTATGTTGGTTTGCAATCATGACAGATTATGGCAACATGTTTTCAGATAAGCATGTTAGTTTGTTAGCATTTTAGCCAAGCCTTTCAGAGAAGGTACCACGTATGAAAGCCACTGCTTGGCTCTGCTTCATTGCTGCTTTGCCTTGTGCAGACTAATGAAGGGTCATTATCAGTGATGGCACTTTAACGTGGTTGGCTTTCAGAGGTCAAACAGCTTGGCAAACCAGATGTGCTATCAAAGATTTGATCTCTGTGGAGCTGTTTGGTATGTTTATGTTTACAGAAACTGCAGGAGGAGGCCTGAGTGTTATTGTCTGGCTAATTAGAGTAATCTGATTGTTTTAGTCCAAAAGGAAGAAAACAACACCCAAACTAAGCAGGATCCCTAAAGTGGCCTCATAACTATGACACAATGTTTTTACTATGATGTATGATGACTGTGTGATGCAGGTTTGTGTCCTGAAACTCAGAGGTTGGAACAAAACGGCTGACAGCAGCCAACTGTTTATGTGTCTCGTGCTTCATGAGACTGAAGCCAAAGATGGCAGAGAGAAAATTACCGCAAGATTAACTTTGTGATAAAGGAATTCTTTGCTCTGTGTAACTGCATTAGTTACCCATGAGTGACCTGCTGTCAGAGTTTAATTTGATTTTAATGAGGCCCACAGTGTGCTGGACTGATGTTCCTGTAATGAGTGTTTGGCTTCTGTGGACGGTTGTGGCCGGGGCACGGTGACCCGCTGGTAACATGACCATCCAGAAATCAAGAAGGCTCACGTCTGGTCCTTCATGCACCGCTGACCATCCAAAAGCTCAGGAGGGAGAAACCAAGGCAAGTGGGTCATTCTACCGTGGAGCTTTTTTTGTTCTAATTTTATAATAACGACCTCACCTCTGTCTCCCAAAAGCTCTGCTCTTCCACACCATTATGTTTCTAGAGCTAACCTTGCTTTAAAGCTGCTACGAGGAGGCTTTCCACATTTATGAAACAGACTAAAATTATTATTGCTTTTGTATTTCATAAAACGGAACAAACGAAACCATCTCTGACCAGATTGGCAACTTCTAAATTGCAGTATTTAATGCCTGAAACTGGTGTAACACCCTACATCAAGTATCTGTGATAAATGATAACTTTGACTGTCAGAAGTCAGTGGGAGGACAGTTTTTTAGTCATAAGACACTACTTAAGCATGGAAAGAAGAATCTAGGCAAAGACTGCACTGTCCATAGAGGACACCAACATTAAAAACTAAAGAAGACAAGTGCAGGAGTAACATGGAGTAATAAGTTTAATCAATCTTAGTTCATGAAATATTTTGTACGATGAAAGGGTGAGTGTTTTTCTTTCAATAACAAAGAAAATGGAGGGGAGAGTTTCTTCAGATGTTTTTGGTGGATGTCCAAATGGGTTTCTTCTGACTGAACTCTTGATGTGTGTGCATGCAGGTTTTAAACTGATCACTTTATTTAGTGTCCGTGTCAACAGTTTAGTGGGAACCTCTAGCTAGAAGGGTTTTTTAATCAGGTCAACAGGAATCGCATGTGACCATCACCAGCCAATGACACAACCCCATGTCCCGACCCCAACCACCAGCTTTGTTCTCTCATGTTAAAGCCACTTACCTCTTCTTTTTCAGGGTTCAAACATTTATTTTTCTACAGCACAGAATTGTCTAAATAAACTTTGAGAGAAGTCCCCTAATCCAACACAAAAAAATGACCATGAATAAATGTTTTTACTACGTTAGGGACATATCTAGTCTTTTTTTATTATTTTATTACTCCCTCTATAACTACCACTACTGTGTGTTACACGTGGCCTTTTATTGTTGCAGCACATAAAGATAACAAGTTAAGGGCAAAAGGAGCCTTTGTCTGTGAACAACTTGAAGAGTGAGTTCAAACCAGGGTAATTCCTCTTCAAAATCTGCTGATGTTGTATGGATTCATTTGATCAACTTGAAATTTTTTTCATCAAGTTTAATCAACAACATATTGAGAAAGCACCTGAACATGTGTGCTCAGGGTAAATCCAGCTTTATTTCCACTCTACTCAGAGATGTGTCTTTTGACAGCACTATAGTGAACTATATTTATCTGTGTGGCCACCTGGGACAGCTGATGTCTTTCTCCACAAAAGCATTACACAGTGGGGTCAGGAATCAATAGGAGGAGCGTATTTTTAACTGACATGATGCAGGGAGTGTCTTAGCTTCGTGTAACAGGACGCTCAGGCCTGTTTGATCTTCTCCACTCATCTTCTATTTTAAGGCAAAGTGAGGCGACACAGCATGTTGTGACCACCACACACTGCTGCTGTGTAGCAGGAGGGGGGGCGACGGTGATTTATAGGGCTGCTGATTTAAAGGGGAAGTGTCTACTCTCACTCTGAGTGTAATCATTTCAACCCTTAACCTAAAGTTTGTCCAAAGGAGCCTCTAAATTTTTACTTTTCAAAATGAATCAGAAACTTTTAAGCTTTCATTTCTTTCCAACCCTGCCCATTTGTTCACATTTAATATAAGCCATAACTTTTCAGTGTAGATGTGGCATACCTTACTGGAAGCCTTCAGCTGCATCTTTTTAGCCACCATGGTCTTTATCAGGGTCGGGGATGATGAAGCAGACATAGCAACAATGTGATCATAACTGGAAAATATTCCTGCTTCGGTATGACCAGTCCTTTTACACAAAACCTAACATTTCAACAGTAACATAATAGTGACAGCATTTACTTGCTCAGAATACTCATGTATTGGCCTTTGAATGCTTTTTTACTTACTGTGATGAATCTCAGCCCTGAAAGTTGTTGAACTGTTTTGATCATCTTGGGAGGGATGATTAGACAAAGGCAGTGTCACAAATCTCTGAGCATCCCTAGAGGGAACATTTTTTTAAACTCACTGTAAACATGTCCAAAAATGCTCCTAAAACTGGATTTTATCAGCATTTCCCAGAAGTCTTATCAAGTTATGTGACATGTTTAAGGGGTTACTCATGGCAACCTTCGAAACATGCTGTTTACATGCTCCGTAAAATGGAGTTTATTTCTGCTTTCTGTTTACTGATTTTCTGCTGTCCATAAAACAAATTGAAGTTAATAAAAGTCACAAAAAGCTCTGATTTGTTAGTTCATAACAAACTTTGGAAACACTCAGGAAATTTTACTTGATAAAAACAGTTCAACTTCTCAAATGGTTTGAATTTACAGTGGAAAAAAAGAGACAGTTATTGTAAAGAATTGACATCAGCAGGACTTTACATTTGTTACTCTCTTTTAAGCGAGGGTACAGTGAGAAGTTTACAAGATATTAAAGCTCCTGTGATGAACTCTGCAATAATTTATTTGCAACAAGATGATAAAAACACAAAAAAAGGAACTGAAAGAAATGTATTAATTTGAAACCCAATGTGGGAGTTAAAAGTCATTCAAGAGTTTGGATAAATGTGCAATAAATTGTACAAAAACCCTGTGTGAGAGGGTAGAGAGTTTAGAGCCTGTCAGTGGTCAAGACTGGCCGCTGTGTGTGTGTCCACTGCGATATCAGGACACATCATGAGACAGAGTACAATCTCATGACTGAGAGAGCGCAATGTGAGGCAGCTGAGGGTGCAGAGGTGTGAATGCATGAGGATGCTTTATGGACAGATATACGACGCCTAGTTAAAGGAGTCCAAAGTGTCTAATATGATTAAGAGTGTTTGAAGTCACTTAATCCTGCTCCCCAGTCATGTGTTTACACACACAGAGACCTGTGCTGTTTATGGATTAGTTTGTAGGCAGCTGGAATTAATCAATAGACTCTTCTCACCACAAATAACTGGCCTTTAACTATTAATAGATGCTCCGACCTCTTCATAGAGTCTGCCTTCACTATGTCCGCTCTGACGGCTCGATAATGATGTCTGGAATGTCTTAACACTGTACATCTGACAACCAAATGTACTGTACTCTGATACCCAGCAGAACAATGTTACACTGACACACACACACACACACACACTGTGAACTTATCAGCAACTCTTAAACACAGTGACTTATCTAACACTTTATTCTTTGATGTTATACTACTGCTGTGGCTTTTGATTTATCTTAAGTATCAAATGACTGACCTGCTCTGAAAAGAGGGAGTGGAGCTGTTTAGATTATCAGACAGAAAATGCTGAGGTGAGTCTGAGGTCAGGGAGAGATGAAACTCTGTGACCTCCGGTTCAGTCAGTGAAGCCTAAAGAAGTCAGAGGTCACAGAGACTGGTGGAGTCCAAAGAAGGGTGACAACAAGGAAAGCAGTACAGCAGCTCCATTCAACATGGAATCAGAAATTCTGCTGATAAAGATTTCACATTGCTCTGCCAAAAGTGGCTAATGATAGCAGAGCTAGCACCACCACCCTGCAGTTCCCCTATAAGATTGACGTCCACACGGTTTCACATCACTCTGATGTGTAACCATAGACTGTATATAGAATGGATGCCGTCTGCCTCCTCACTGGGTGAAGCCACCGTGAGAACAGCACCCTCTGGGGATAGGCTTAAGCATAGGTAATAAATCCCGCCTCCTCCAGCAAACTTAGTGGAGTTGTGAACAAACTGTATTTATTACACAGCATATACATTTTTCTCCCCCTTTGGTTGCGATGTTGACATGTAGTTACAGTAAGACTGGTTTGTGCTCAAGTCCTTTTTTTTCTGTGCACCTCAATTTTTAAAAGTTATTAGGGGGTTCATGTTTTCTATGATTGACACTCGATACAGCCTATGGGCGTACAAAGATTGCGTAGCTCACCTGGGGGATACGCTGTTTGAGTCGAACACCATCACAGCGACTCTTCCGCCGCATATGTACAACGCAACTGTGCAAGTGGTGGTTTAGGGAAGTAGAGAAAATCCCGGGAATACCGACAGCAATTCGGCTTCAAATTTGTATAATGATGCAAGATGGAGTCACTTGTCCATAGTATATACAGTCTATGGCCCTCATTTATCAATCTTGCGCAGATCTGAGCGCAGGTTTCATCGTACTATAGGACACACGTGAGATTTATGAAAGGGTTAGTATCTGACCAATCCCAGCGTACGTATGATCGGGTCTTGATAAATGCGGCGGCTGAAATCGATTGTCATTAACATGTTATGCCCTTAAATATTCATGTTACAGAAGCCCCGCCCACTGAGGTCAAACATGAAAGAGGAGAAATATCAGAAAGATTCGAAACTTTTCCAGGAGTGGATGTCCTCGCGTCTGTGGTGGAGACTAACAAGGATTTTCTCTTTGGAAGCATCAAAACTGGTATAAAAGCAGTCCAGAAAACTCCTGTCTGGAGCAGGATTATGGTGGATGGTGGATTTTTATCACTGATTGAATAGCAAAAGCACTTTCTAAACTTATACTTTACATCAGAATCCATCGATAAGGTCCTGTCTCCTCTGTACAGCACCATCGTGGAGTCTCTCCTCATTATTGTTCTCCGGGCATCGGGTCCTCACGTTGCACCGGCACAGCCAACGGCACTCCATTCGCCAGAGCAACATTGTGCCTAACTGTACTGGCCCAAATGATGTCCCACACCCTTTCAGGATTGTACAACAACGTCCCTGCAGCTGGGCCAAGACAGAGCTACCTGCCTTTTAGGAGTCAAATGCAGCGCTCCACAGTGGCAGTGTTTCTGGGCAGAGTTATCAAATAGGCCTATTCACTAAGGACATAACTATTTTATTTTATTTTATTTTATTTACGCCTGAATCTTTAATGAAATCTGGCTGATTGTGCTTAATGACAGGTTTGAGGTTTGAATATCAATTATTTTGAGACAGACATTTGCTGCACCGCAGATCCACACTGACTCAAACTTGCGTACACGATGTCAGACCTGTCGTGAGATTTGGTCGCAGTGTACGCTCATGTGCAGATTGATAAATGCCGATCCTCACATCAAAATTTTCGTACACAAGGTGTACGCAAGTTTTCTGCCGCACACAAGCTTGATAAATGAGGGCCAGTGTGTGTAACATACAACATACAACTACAAAACTTCATCTTCTAGACCAAAACAGTTCCAAATCACACCACACTACAAGATGTCGTCTGTCATCTCTGCTTGTTTGCATCCAGGTAGTAGGGTGTTTCCCGGCTTTGCCAGACCCATCAGCCAGCTCATATTCACTTTTGCTTGCATCTGGGTCTGATGCAAGCAAATGTTTCCCCCTGCTGTTGGATATACCTTGTTTAAGATGACAACACAGGAGCACCATTTGTTTGCAAACTACCGAGATAGCATCCTCAGGAGGGTCTGTTGAATCCACAATGGTGGCTGTTTTTAAATGAACCGGATGATGATTATTCATTGATAAACTGCACATACAACATTCATTGGTAAGAAAAGTACATTTCTTTCTGCTGTCTGTTCACAATACTGTTGCTATGCTCTTTTTCACATGTCTTGTTAATCTAACTGATTGTCGATCAGTTCAATCACTTCGAGAAGCACTTTCATGTGCGATTGTCGCTAATGCCACCCCACAAAAATGGTATGAAGATGAGTTAGTCTGGCAGCACCGCATTATTAGAGCTTTACAGCAATATGTCAGTAGCCATTAAAAGGATCTAGGCTACTTACTCAACTAAATTTGAAATATCATCAATTTGATCAAACTTTCAGTATGTGTATATTTCATTGATCATACTTTTCACTCTGATGTCTTTGTGAAGTGATAAGTCTGATTCTGTGCACATTAAGAGGAGTTTTGCAAAGAAAGCTCTGACACTGATTTCACAAAGACAAAAAAACATTAACATTAGTAGAGGATAATATTACAAAGACATGCACAGAGGGTCTTTTATGTAAATGTTACTATCAGTGGTAATAAATCAAACTAGAGACCGATCTAGAGAGCGGGAAACTCTTTTCTGCTGCAGAGGCTTAATTATTTTGGCGTCACTGAGCAGTGGTGGTGTGTCATGTGACCTGGAAATCATTAGCCAATTAACTAACCCCTTTTTCTGCTCTGTGGCTGTTAAGTTAGTAACGTGCTGACAGAAACCTTCATGGTGAGAAAAGCGTCATAACAACTGAGTTTCTTAGCAACAGAGACAAGCTAAATGGAAAACGCTGAATTATCTTTTTGACACTCCAGAGCTGAGTCATGACCAGTGGCTGATCTGCTGTTACTGTGCAGTTGTGTAGACCCTCATTTTTATGGTAACCAAACAGTGATTAGATTTCAGATCACGCTCCAGCTAAGCCCTGCAGCACTGGTTCCATAACACCCATGTCTTTTTCTTTTTCTCTCACACACAAACACACACACACACACACACACACACACACACACACACACACACACACACACACACACACACACACAGGTTTATTTCATGTGCCTCCTCTTATCTAATCACATAAACCACAAAACCTTTATGATGTACACTAGCCACTTGCTCAAACAATATTGTCTTTTCCACCCTCAGTGTATTTCATCTGATAAAGACTCTTTTAAAACAGCAGGTGTGAATTACTTTTATGAGAGTTAAACTACGCAGAGCTTGAAGCTAAAAAATGAGGTCAGTTCCTTTACAAAAAGGGAAGGGGGGGCTTCAAGCTGCCATGTTAATGACTTTTCACTCTGCAGATGGATCCTGGTCTGAGATCACAAACAGCCATTTTGTGTTGCAGAAATTTTCTCTGAACTTTTGTTTGGTATTTTTCAGACAGGAGGAAAATGGATGGATAATCATTCACTGATGGTAAACTAATTTTCTATCACTCTGCGCCCAATGTTTGGCATTTTTCTTCTCTTGTTGGTTGCTAGTACTGAATATATTGTGGGAAAAGACCAATAAATTATCTCATAACATTTGACTCACTGGATCTGCAGGCCCACAGAATTCCCTGAATGACTTTGGCGCATCAGTACCGTGGATTTCCAGAACCATGCAGGGTCCAGAGCACAACTCAGTCACCATACTCTGTAGGAAGAGAGTGGAAACATCGCTTTTTTAAAACCCAAATATAAAGTTCATCTGAGAATAGTATTATAGAGCCACTCAACTCCAAACACATGGTTATGAACATAATCTGCAAGAGTCTGACACTGTTGTAGATTTCCACAAAAGATCAGAGCGTCTTTTTGTTTTTATCTTCTAAAGTAACAACTGGCAGAGCGTTGATGCAGATACTGGCTCTGATGGCAAAACACACTCATGTTTATACTCACAGGATACTCTGTGACAACACCCTTGTAAACCTCATAGAACTCTTCTGCGTTGGCCCGATCAACATTGAACTGTGGAAGAAAAAACTTGTTATAAAAATCATGCACATAATGAAATTAAGTTTATGAAATACGTTAAAGCACTTGTTGTATTTGCTTTAAATTATGACAGCAATTTCTTACAATCATAAAAAAATGACAGACTAATGTAAGATTATAAAAGGTCTGACAAAATATCATGAACAAAAGAAGAGCATGGTTAACTAACATGCACATACCCTGTTCCCATAAATGAGCTACTCTCAGTATGTGGCTTTTGTGATAAAATCCCTATTGATTGATTTTTTCCCACTACCCAGAATGCAAGTCTCATGCGGCAAAACAAATGGATTAGAAGAGGTCACTGTCTGCAGCTGTGACGCTGACTCCAAATATGAGGTCAAATTGGATTAGAGTAAGTCGATATAGTGCATGTATTGGTTACATGAGTAAAGCTAAGATCTACGGTACAGTTTCATGACCACACTAATCCATGTGCACAACTCATGTAAGCATGGAGAAAATACAATAGCCTCAATTTAAACTCTTTTTGTGTATGATAAACTCTAAAAGTTATAAAGGAAACAAATGGAAAATTCTTACCATTTGAAGAGCAGAGATTTCAAATCCAGCTGCGGATATGGAGTTCAGGATCTTCCCTGTCAGACCTGTGAACAGAAGATTGTTCATATCTATCAGGTTTTTGGAAACAGACTAACTTTAAATGTGGTAGATATTAGGTTTGTGAGGCTAACTGACAGGGAGAGACCGTTTGAATAGATAATGGGTGACGCACTTACTATATCAGTATGATATAGATACAGTATAACTGTGAAAGACTGCTGTCTTAAATAAATTAAACAAATAATGACTATGTTAGCCTATTGTTATAGATGACCTTACATAAGGGGAAGCTATGTGAGCCACAACAACCACGTTTTAGAAACATCCAATCCTTTACCAATTAGTTTGAATTCTGAGCTGAGTCAGATTTTACAAAATGAACATAGAGATACATCAAAGAATTAAAACTACCGACCCTTAAGGAAAATGTTCACGAGGTTATGAAACAGGTGAGAAGATGGCTTGTTTATACAGTAGATGGACTACCTACAGTAAATATTGGAGCAGCTCGACATTAAGGATTTACATGTTCGGTGCAAAAAACTTTCACTTTGGCTTCATCTGTAAACCAAGAGGTATTTTTTTCTTCTTTTATCAAATTTGCATTAAAAAATGGTTCACGAATTTTTGTATGCACCACCATCTGCTTACTGCTTTATGTGCAGCAGACAGTGCCGAGAGTAGTGTTGACTAAGCAGTTATTACCCAGATCTTGATTGGTCCAAACCTCAAAACGATGATGATGAATTCTAAACCTCAAAAACAATGACAGCAACAATCAGATCACTCATGTCAGATTTAAAAAGGTTTCGGCACATTGAACCTCTGTCTGATGACACTGTGGGAAAAATCTGAACTTCTGTCTCAGGCTGGTCTTGAGTGTGGGGAATAATGACAGACAAACATCCCTGTTAGAGAAAAGTGGAGCAACATCCTGTCCTGCAATCTGTGCAGTAGCAGCAGAGGTGAGGGGATCACTACAAGGTAGGATTTTCAGTTGTCAAGGTGAATTCAGTGTAAACTCCAGGTTTTCAGTACAACAGAGGAGGATGACTTCTTACCATGGTCGATCACCATGGTGACTTTGTTTAACTGTAGGTCTCTACATATGAAAATGGTTACTAAAAGTTATTTATCATGCTTATTTTCTCCTTTAGAGACAGACTGATTAATTGGTTGAGCTGATTAATCAGGCAGGTTAATGGCATCTTGAAATAATCCTAAAAACCAGTGGCTGTGCTCAAGAGGCTGATTAAAAAAACATACAGATATTGTCTGCAGACACTCAGACAGCCCATCCTCTGTTCTTCCGTAAATGCTATGTGTTGAAATAACCTCAGATTGTAGCGTCTCCTTGGGTGAGTGAACACTGAGATTGTCTTTCACATGTCCCGCCTATGCAAACAGAGGAGACATTATTTTTGTCCTCACAATCAACACTTCAGAGCATGAGATACTGAGCTGCAGCTTCTGTCACTGCAGCTGTATGTTACTGCAGAAATGTTTGAGCCACAGTGATGAAGGTGCACCAGTGACAGTGAAGGTCAGACTGTTTCAGACACACGTAATTGAAAGAGGGCGCCAGTCTAATAATCTCGGTCTGCCATCCTGATAAAAAAGTAGCCTGTCCTGTGCTCGCCGTGTGGCAGGATACCACAGCTCTTCATTCTCCACTTATTCTTAATGCAGCTGTAGGAAATAGTGCGGTACAGTTTGTACTCCGTGCAACAGCTAGAGATGATGTCTCTCATTTGTGTAATTGTTCAGTCTCAGCTCAACTGCGTGTGCATTAGGTAAGTAACCACCTCCTGAGTCCTCTGTTACCTCCCCAGGCAGCAGTCTGCCTCCGATAGGTGCGCACTCAACACAGCTCCAAAAAGCAGCTGGTGCTGTTGCTAGGAGATCCTGTTCTGGGTGCCTGGCAACAGAAGCTTCTCTATTCCAGTCATGTCTGAGCACATTTTCAGTCACTACGTCCTTTGTCATGTCACTGATTGGCTGTGAGCAGCACACGTAGGTGCAGCGTAATTTGGCATCATACATGATGCTGGATGGAAATCAAAGCAGCATTGGACTGACATTTCCACCTTGGGCTCAGTTAGTCCAAACCAATCAGACTTGGATGCTATTTATAGCTCAGAGGAAAGGTTCCCCCTCATGTTTGAAGATAAATATTGTGTTGTCACATTAAAACAGTGACATAGCTTTAATTCAAACAACCCACGACCCTTTAAACCATGCAAAGTCACATTCTTACAGTCAGGAAAGTCAAGTCCAAATAAGCATGACGTTTTTCTTTCATTGACTTTACATTCAAGATTTTAAAGAATACTGAAGGACTTTCTCTCCAAGACTGTCCTTATAAAATATTGAACTGAGTCTGGCAGATGTTTGCCTTGAAGCTAGATACTCAAAGCTCCTGCAAACTTAAAAAAAAGGACTGAATGTGGGTATTCTCTAAAATTGCTCTAATCTTCTCTGTGGGGAAGAATAGCACCCAGTTGTCACTGCAACACACAGAGTTCATGGTCAACAAGATGTGACAGTAAGTTGCTACAGCAAGAGCTGATATTGTTAACAAAATTATAACATGTGTATATGGAGGTATAGAAGACAGCATTTCCTGCTCTTGGGTTCCCTGTGAATGCCATGTGAGACAGAGGGAAGTGTGTTTTTTCTGCTGAAAATGTTGGCAGTTGACTTACTCCCCTGTGCCAGTCACCACACACTCCCTCCAAATGTGTCTCATCCTTTGAACAAAAACTAACCATTTCTGTCAAATTCAGGCCATGATCTGCTTTTTACCTTGAACAAAACTATAAGTAGGGCTGGGGGATATGGGAAAAAGTGTATCATTATACAGTTTTTTCATATCAGTTGATATCGATATATATCACGGTTAAAAAAAAAAAAATCACTTATCAATCTTAAATGTTCTCCGTTACTCTTAAATTAATTTTAACAGTGCTTATTAGTAGCATGTTATCTGTTGAGCCTTCATCTGCATTTCTGCTGGGGTAGCACTCATTTTCTTTTTTTCTCATCAACAGTGCTGTCGGCTTCACCTGTTAAAGTGCTTTGGCTATGTGTAGCTGCAGTCTGCTACTACACAGTTGTTTGTTACTTGATTCTAATTCAGCACATGATTGGCTCAGTGCAGGGCGGACTCAGAGTAACTCCCCTTTTCATTGGCTTTTTGGATAGTCTACCAAAACATGGCAGAATGCCGACTATCGAAAAGCAAATTGACCATGTTTCATATCAATATTGAGGGAAATCAATTTTTTATATCATTTTCGTTTTATCACCTAGCCCTAACTACAAGTAACTTTGGCTCCACCAAGTTGTGAAGTTTGAATAATCCTGCTTCCATTAACAGCCTGTTGGTGTGTTCTCACAAACCCACATTATGAGTTATTCCAACTGATTGTTTCTGTAATACACATAATGATATAGATAGGAATACTAATAATGGTTTTGTTTTGCAAAGTGACACCACAGGGTAAAGCTCTATTGTATGGTACTATAAGAAAACTGATATGATGCTTTATTTTCTTCAACTGTAGGAAGCTGTCTCAATTGAAAGCACCTTCCACTGCAAGAATATAACCTGAGTGAAAAAGTTCACTGTTCAAAGCCATTGAGCCCACTGCAACCTGTATTTGAATTTATCACAGTTTTTTTTACATCACTCGTTGCAACACTGTGTGCAGTTTTAGCAGAGCAATAATTTTCACCTCTTTCTGCGAGAAAAAAAGTCCTTAAATGAATATACAATATGTAGAAAATATAGAGTAAACCATTCAGAATGGGCAAAAATATATCTGCAAAAATTATGTCTCTTTGAGAGCGTCTCTTTGGCTCAGCAGTAAAAATCCCACGCCCTTTGCACAGGAACTACAGCTCCCAATGCCCCCTGTGTTCACTTCCCACCCTCAGTTCTTTGCCACATGTTATTCCCTACCCTCTCCTTTCCTCTCCAATCCTGCCACAGTCCAATCTCTTTCAATCAATGCATGAAAAAGCCCCCAAAAGACTACACAAAAATACTTATTAAATATAAACTATGAACACAAATGAGTCCAATCCAAGGGTGCACTGGTATATTCTTTCACTCCTTTTAGAAATCCCTGCAAGCTTTAAATAATGTGTTGCAATGTGTTATATGTTGCAAGCAAAACTATTTACACAAAGCTGCCAAAACCAGAGAAAGCACAGAGAGGTCTGTAAGCTGATTTTGTTCGGTCACAAAAACTCAGATACGGCCCTTTCTGGCAATGTCACAATATTTGTTTTACCTGAAAGTGCAATGAAAGTCGAATTACGTGAAACAAGCAGCTGTATGAGTCAGCGGGCAGAAATGTAGACTGAAGGAGAACTACTGAGGAGAAATAATATTCAACACTAATAATCTGTTGAAGTTAAAATGATCATGACTTGGCACAGATGTTTTGGAGGAATTTCATTCTACACATGACTGCGAGTCAAAGAGTTGCTCAAATCCTCCCTGCAGCAAATCCAAACATGCCCAAACCAACATAGATTTTTTTTAATGAGCCTTCTCTCATAGAGCATTCTCACGGCAGAAACTTCAACCTGTTGTAGCAGGAAAAAGCTCACGTGTAGCTCCAGCAACAACATCAACGATGGCTACATCTCATCAAGGTGTGGTGACAAGTTATAAAAGAAAGCAGCATGCACTAACCCAGGGTCCTGACACACCTTCCTTTCACACAGGTATTATATATGAATGCTATTTCGACCATTTCAAATGTCCCGATAAGAAAGGCAGGAGCAAAATAATCCCACACGTTTACCATCCTGCGTGTTGCTTCATTTTTCCCTTTGAGAAACCACAGCTGGCAAGAATCTCTCAATCACTATGTCATCTCTGCCCACAAGTATACAAGCTCTCTCAGCTCATTCTGATCCCTGAAATTTGGTAGAGGTCCATTATGTTATGTAAGAAACTGTTTTTCAATACGACTAAGCAGCAGCCATGCAAACAACACAGTGAAGCTGTGTGTGAGCCACACAATGTGTCGAAAAATCACAGGTCACATCCAGGTTTCAAAATATAGCCAGTTTTCAAGTGCTTTATCCCTACACTTTTCCTAGTAACCACACTGGTTGCATAAATATGGCTGATACCTAAATTTTTAATCATTGATGGGGAAATGATACTGAATTTCAAAAGTTTAAATAACTTAAAAATAACCACACTGTCTTAATAAAAGTTAAAGAGCCTGTATTGATCATGAAACATCATGTGACTAGTGACATTTGAAGCTTTTGATGTGTCAAAAAGTGCCTCAGTTAGTTTAAGATTTGAGAGAGTTTTACAGCATTTCTACAGTATCAGTGGGATTGTCACCTCTATGAGAAAGGGAGACTTCTTTTTAAAAACAGGCATCCTCACCCCTTAAACTTAATTGATTTCTACCCGATACCAAGTATTGCTTTTCTTAAGTAATCACTTGATTTAATGTACTGTCCGATCAGTCTTTAACATCTTTACTCCATCACATCATGACTGAGTCACCTCCCTCTCCTTTACTTACACACATTTCATTCTAGAAAACTTGAACATTGTGTACTTTGGTGAATTGGATATTTCTCTCATTGTACTTGTCTGTCTCAGATCTTTCCCTGTAAACTTTTATGTCTTGTTTTTACATTTTTGAATGATTTTTACGCGACTAAATATCTGACGTCCGTTGTTTGGTGATGTGTCTTTCTATAATAGCAGCTGTTATAGTGCAATTTCACACAAGGAATTACATCCCCACAAGGGATTAATAAAACATTTATCCTATCCTCTCAGTTGCAAAATTAGTGGTGTGATCACAGCTCCTGCAGTCACATGCTTAAGTGTCACTGGGAAAGAGAACTCCCTGTGACAAAATCCAGAGTGTGTGAAAGCAAATGAATACTGACGGTCCCTACTGCTGCATCCTCTGACATCAGTGAATGAATGTAGCATGACAAGGTAATTGTGGTGTTGAGTGGTCTCAAAGACAAGAAAAGAGCAGAAGTGCAAAACTATTTTACCAAACAACTACAACAAAGATACTTAACAAAAATACTACATATTGAGGCTTTGTGACAACACAAGGTTATAACTAACTGCAACAGTATAGATATTAAGGGTACAGTGTGTAGGAATGGAACTATTTATGTAAAATATAATGATCAGAACCTAGATTGAAATGCTCCTTTGCTCACTCCTCCTATCAGAGCAATACTGGCCTTTAAGAACAAGAAGCTCCTGTGATGCTTGTGTCCCAATAAATTCTTTTGCACACAACCATTGTCTTTTGACTGCTGTGTTTCCGCTTACTAAAACACTAAATACAAAAACCTGCATGTCATTAGTTTGTCCATTTTGAGGTACTGTAGAGACATGGCAGTGCAAAATGGCAGCCCCCAAGAACGGGGACCTGCTTTATAAAAGCTTGTTGTAAATAACAAATACTCACTGAGTTTTATATCCAGGTGAGTATGAACTAATTGAAACATACTTGTAAATATTTAATAACACTTTTGCAAAGACTGTTCTGCTAAATGCCACCAAACACTGCAGTACACTGGAAAATAAGTGTGCAGATAGTTTCATTTCACGGTACACAGGCTTCTTTAGACCAAAACTGTGGATATCAATGAGGTGAAGTGTTGCTTCATACAGTCGTTAAGACAGCTGCTATAAGTTTAAAAGCCACCAGATGTCACTGTGTTTAAAATGTCAAAACTGTGAATCTTTTGCAGCACAGAGAAATCCCCAAAGCTTCATAGGGTTGTAGATACCTTTTTAATTTCCTAGAGGGTTGATCGTCTAAATTACAACTTTTCAGGTGTAGTTTAAACCTGAAATTTCAATCCTGAGTCCAGATGACAGTCAACAAAACAGCATGTGCTTTAGAGAAGCGCTGACTTAGACTGACTAATTATGACACAATGAGCCGTCCCCCAGGATCACATCCCATCCACTCTCATGACTACAAATAATGAAGTAGATAAGACCAAGAAATCCACAGTCAAAACACCAAACTTGTGGCATCAAAATGAGGTCAAGAAAACAAATGGCGCTGTCATGGTGACAACAGCCGCCTCTGCTACCCAATGCTGATGTAAACTGCTATCTTTGTTTAACAAATTAGCAAGGCAAGACTAGAAAATTTGCACTAGTCTACCAGTCTGTCCAAAGAAGCCAGACACAGACTGAATCAGATAATGTAGGATAAGTATTGAAAATAATACCGGCAATCAAGATAATTTAGTGGGCCAGGGTGTTCATGTTTATCCCAATGAGCAGCGTTTGGTCTTATCTGTCCAGAACATCAAGTACAGGACTCTCTTTAGTCAACAGTCCCTGTGCGTACAGCTCTGTCCAGAGAATTTCACATTTCACAGGTCAGAGCTCTGGAGGCATGCTCCATGAAGAGGGATCAGAGCAGGGATTTGGAAAAATCCAGAGCCACATTCAGTAACCATGTTATGCCTCTATGTGACACAAACACATGAGGGGTTAAAGTGAAGGAGAGAAACAATTAAACTAGTCAGGGAAACAGCACGATTTATCAACCTGTCAACAGATAGTAAAGGACTCAGATACAATAGGCTATAAATCACAACAAATACTGGGTTTTGAGACCAAAACCAAGATCAATTCAAGAGCCATCACACCCATCACTCACTGATATGACAGCTGAGTGAGTGAATTTTGAGCTGGGATAAAAGTAGGGCCTTTTTATGTTTACTGATCACTGATTTTTCACAGGGCTTCTCCTCAAACAACTGTCCATGTTCAAGATTTTTTGAGATTATTTTACATTATCAACAATTCTGAGTACAAATTACAATCTGCTTTAAGATTAAAACAGCTTTAAAATTTTCACAGGATTTTATTTTTACTTTGCTCTTACTTTCTTTTGTATTTTCTGTAAGCTGCTCCACGCACACCCACCCCCTGGCACTGGGTTTCAGGCCAGTAAACAAGTCCATCAATCTTGTCTCTGATGGACTTGTTTGCACTTATATATCATAAGAAGGCATTTATATGAATTTCAGTCCATTTCATCAAAGCCAAAAAAGACTCTTAACAGGAGCTGCAATGATGACAACCTCGGTCTGCTCTTATGTGACTGTCTGAGGGATGTGCAGGAGAAAGCAATAAAAGTGTGATAAACTTAGGACTTTATTGGAGGTGGTGGACACTCTGCTGGACATACAATAAGATGACATTGAATTCAAGTCATTCTAGATGTTGTTTTTCTGAATTTTATGTTTCTACAACAGACAGTGAGGGAAATCTTATACGTTTATGATAGACCTTTATAGGGTAGCTAGAAGTCAGTTGTCAGCTCTGATGCATGGATGGTTTAAATGTCTGTAAACAGAGAGGTTTAAGTTTTAGGTTTTAGGTTTATCCCACCTTCTGATACAGCATGAGGTTTGATGATGCAGCATGTGCAGTCTGTGCAGAGGGCTGTATTAGATGGACCGTGCCCGATAGTGGATGGGAAAAAAAATTCAAGCTCCTGAAACAAACAAACAAACACTTTATTATTCATAATTCTTGAATGACCGAGCAGTATCAGGTAAAAGGCTACATGTGAACATTAATGAGCTACAAGAAGACCTTCATATTCTTACTCTGGCTGCTGCAGCAACTGAGTCTGAACCGTGTCCAACATTTTTGATGCCATCTGTTCCAAACTGGGCGCGGACACTCTGCGGCGCCTCCTTCCGCGCCACAGCCGAGTCCACAGGTCCCAGGAGCCTCCTCCAGATAGACATAGCCTCATCACCCATCAGCTCCATGGCAACCACAGGGCCCGAGGACACAAACTGCACCAGGTTGCTGCAAAATGGAGCAAAGACGGAGTTACTCATCCATATATGTCGAAGTCTTACCAGCAGTGGATCAGCTGAGTCAAATCTGTTCAAAAGTCACAAAAAAATCATTATGCACAGGTTTCTGTTAATGAATGTGGCTGGATAAGAAAAAAATGTGCTCCTCTGGCTCACAGCCGCACACATCCAGTGAATCATTTACAGACACTCACTTAAAGAACGGCTTTGACTGATGTTCTGCATAGAAATCTGCCGCTTGGCTCCTGTAAGAAAACCACAAAGCATTAAGTTAATGAGTGGCCACATTATCTCAGATATGATGCCTGAACACTGTGTACTAAACACATTTACAGCTATCATTTATAACTCTGCTATTAACCTCAGGATGTTTACTCATTCATTATAAAAGATAGCATAATACATAACCAATAATGATCTTTGTGCCCTTGAGAGTCTGCAATAAAATCATTGAAACTATTTGTAAGATTGTCAGTTTTTATCTGTGACAATTCTTCCCATAGTTTAACTGGGCCAGACACAAATGTGTAAAGCTCAGACAACATGTTTGGTTTATTTGGCCCTGATACAGATGCAATGATACTGGCTTTAATGTTTTTAGATATGAGAAAATATGACATTTTTTAACAAATCATGAATGCACAACATGATTGAATTAACCTCAAGTTTCACTATCACTTTTATTTTTCCAGTTTAGTGCAGTTGCTCCATCACTGAGCAAACTATGATCAGCATCAGAATTAAAGTCACATACTCAACAAAAGTAGCTTTGAATAACGTTTGCATGGTCCTGTCTGTACATAATTAGTTTACAATAATCATAAAATAGATCCGGTTTAGGTCTGTTGCAAAGCTCATAAGCATGTAGCAGTGTCAAAAATTCCATATCATTCCAGCTCATGAGCTTTAAAGCTCCTGTCATGGACTTTTGGTGTGCTTTGACTTTGGTGCCCCCCTGTGGACAAAGCACCAAGTCTTATATCTGTATGACGTCATGATAAATCCTGCTATCATTACATGTCAAATTTACCATTCACTATGTTCATGTACTTTCTGTGACTGTGACCCTCAGCCTGCCCTGTGGGCAAGAAGGAGGCAATGCTGCAACAGTATTTTATGTGGCAAGTAAAATCAAACTTTTGAGCAGAAATGAATAAAGAAATGAATCTTTTGATGGCACATCCCACATCAGAGCCCTGCCAAAGAGTTTTCTCAACAAAACTGAAGTTATTTGAATTCACTTTCCATAGTGAATGTGAATTCACAAATACCACTTCCTGGCTAAGCATACAGCTGATGTAGAGTGCTATCCTCCCCTTGTTAAATGCAGGCCAAGCAAGGAAGTCTGTAGAAACCTGGACAACTCCATCAGCAACTAACCATTAACAGTAATAGCTACATGGATGGCTACAGCCTGCATGCTGATCTGAATGCAGAGAACAAGAGTCGGTTTAAATTAGTTCACATCACATTTGACAACTGGAAATATACATTTTCTTCAAGAGCCACTAGTGTCACCCAAATGATTTGATTCCCAAATCAAAAACAGCTAAGACCTGCTTTACTTTGTTGATAAATGATGTAAAGTACTGAAAATTTAGACAAGGGATTAAATGTATGATTTACTGCAATGAGCCATGGAAATTCTGCAAGTACTTACATTAGAAAAAAACAAAACTCTCTTTTCTTCTGACAGCCATCTTGTAACAGTGGTCATAAGCATTTCAAATTACAGCATAGAAACTATCAATCTTGCTGATGAAGCTGTTTTGCTTTTGCAGATCATGCAGAAGTATCATTTATTCATTATATCATGCGTCTTACCAGCTAAAACTTCCTCACAGGAGCTTTGATAACCAGAATATTACAACAAGCCAACATAACAATGACAAAACCTTTAACACTTCTCCCAAGAATTTGTTCCCTAAATCTGGGGAAGAGGTTTTTGTAGAGGGGGTATTACGTATTTTTTTCAGATTCTTTACTTCCTCTTTGTTACCGCTTCAATAGCTTTACGTGATTTTTAGATCAAAAAATGGCTAAAATTTCTCACAGTAGTGTATTAAAATACCATTATTTCAGCTATATATTTTCTAGGAATATGTGTTTAGCTCCTTATTAGTAACTTTGCATGCACCCAGTATGGACACCAAATGTTGTAAGTTTGCATTTTTTGAGGTTAATGTGGAAAAGCATCATACCACCCCACCCTGTTTCAATTCTGAGAAAAAAATAGTGAAATGATAAGTGAATGGAAAGGCCTGGAGAATGGAGCACAGTTCAGATGGCTGTTATAAGCCCTTTACATAAAAGAACAGAAATTCATCCAAAACAAGAAACTAATTAATAAGATTACTGAAACTGCTAAAAGGCCCAGTAAAAGATTAAAAATTATGTAATTAATTTTACAGCTGAATGGAATAAGAAAGTTTTTATCTCTGATTTCCCTATAATTTTATCCTGAGATCCCTGAGTACACCTGTCACACCAGACCTGAAAGTTGAACACCTCATATACCCAGATACTCAGAAGTAAAACAGACATGCATTTATGCATGAGATCATTAATTTGCACTTTTACAAACAGGAAGACAGTGTAATGATCAAGGCAGCACTCTAGGCAAGCTGTACCTGTCTGACATATTTCTTATAACACACATAAAGCTTATGACAACAGTGTAGTATGTTAAAAACAGTAGCAAGTATTTTTATATCTAATTTTCACAAAAATATGTGAATACATCCACGTTTGGGGTGGCAGAGGCTTGGTTATACAGTTTCCTTTTTCTTATGTTGTTTTAGTCCATAATGACACAAAGACTTTCAATGATTTATATGTTTTTTGTTTCAGGTTCAGGTATCTTTTCCTTTTCTGTCTATTTTATCTTCAGAAGTGAAGTATTGCAGTGAATTAATTGATTGATAATATAAGTCAAAAGCACCTATTATTTTATTATTAGTTTATTGGAAAGGGTCTTTGTGTCTTTCAGAGAGAAGTGGGTCTTGGAGAACTTGAGATTTAAGTATTTCTGACATCATATCTAAAAACTTGATTGATCTGTCACATGTTTTAGAATAATGAGTACTCCTTCTCAAATAAAAAGTTAAAGTCTGAGATTAAAAAAAAAAAAATTACTGGGTAAAAAACTGGAAACTTTATCACCAAAGCTTGACTAATGAAAAGCTCTTCACGAAAAAAGTCATTCTAAGCTCTGTGCTGTATCTGAGACTGAGACAGACACCATGATAAAACTGCAGGATGAATAAGCACCTGATAAAACCGTTAATTAAATGCAAAGGCTGTCTGCCACTTTGCCACTCGACAGGCCATATGTTCCCAATGTGTGTGAGAGAAAACAGAGCCATCCATCTGCTATAATGAGAAAAACTGGCACCAAACTGCCTGCATCTCCATCTTTGACAAGAGTTTGTCAGATACAAGACCACACACAGATTGAAAAGGCTTTGACCTTACCATGTGAGCTTTGTCATTTTGGCTTTGGTCACGATCAGATTGGAGGAGTAAATTGATTCAAGAATGTCCCCCATCTTGGTCACCACATCTGGCTTTATCAAAGCAAGAGTTCTGTAACAACACAGAGACAAATATCAGAATTGATCAAGTCTGACATGCTAGGTAGCAAGAGGCAACGTGCCAAGATCAGGGAGGATAACAGGAACACTTAAAATAACAAGCACTTCCAATCAAGTCAGGTCATAAATATTTCCAAAGCACACATAAAGCAACAGAAAATGTCAAAGGCACTTCACAAAGAGAGTAAAAGAGAAATCTAAGCTTGTGCACAGCAAATAAAATTCTTATATACAGTACTCATGCAGAGATATAATTTAATGGCAGACCTCTGTTTTATGATAATTCAGCATTAGAGAGCTCTGGGACAACCAGTTTTAAGAAGAAGAAGAAGAAGAACTTCATTGATATTAATCTCCTGGGAACAGTCAGAGAGTGGCTGTAAAGACTGAGGGCTGATGTATTTAAATGTTGCCTGTAATGTTTAGGGCTGACTTCTGAATTTCTCTGAAAGCATACTGTTTTTACTGCAAGGACTAAAACCAAAGGTACGTTTATTGTGTGAAACTTGTGAATTAATTCCTCCTGAGCTCATTGTTTTCTTGATCAATATATCCTATGTTCCAGGCATGATCCTCAAGTTTGTTAACAACTTTCAACTTCAGCATGTTGGGTTACAAAGGAACGAAAAGAAAGACTAGATGTAAGATTATCTTTTAAAATGATTTTTTTTTTAAATTATGTCCAACTGACAGTTGAAAAGCATATTCATTAAGTATAATATGTACTAAATAAAATCTATAAATCCTTTCAAGAAGCTATAACATGCAATAGATTGGAAAACCACTTCACTGATTCGTCCGGTATCATAATGTATTCGTCACTGTAGCTCACACACTCATTGCCTAGTTTAAACCTTTAAACCTGGTACCTTTCTTTTTTGCTGCCCAGCTTATTAGCCGTGTACTGATCCCCATAGTCGATCAGATTCAGCTGCCGTGAGAACACATTCACTCGATTCCCCACAAATAGATCCTCAGGATGGAGATTATCATATTTGGTCCTTCTCAAAAATATTCGCTGGTTTTTCACATCAAACTGCAGACAAAGAGTAAAAAATCATGTCAATAGATTTGAATAAACAAGTAAATGCACCTAAAGCAGATCATGAGTCCTGCTGAAAATATATAGGGTATAACTTGCACTAAAAACATGGTGAAAATTTTTTACCAAATGTGGCTCATCAGAGAAAAACAGGAACTTTAACAGTTTTACAACATCCTTCAAACCCATAAGAGAAGGTCATTGATTACCATTTCCACTGAGCCATCTTTAGGATAGTAGAACAATTGGTAGCGCCGCAGGAGAGCAGCAGTGGGGTCGTACCACTCAGTAAGAAATGCAAAGCGATCCTCCTGGTGGAAGAAACAGATTGATCCGACTTATAAAGACTAGGAGGCATAAAATAAACCTGTATTAGGCTTTAAAGGAATACAAGGAATCATAAACTCATTAAAACCATCAAGCGATAATACTGAAAACATTACATTATTGCAGGTTTTTCTATTTAAAGAGTGGTATTAGGGTGCTAATAAAGATGCAGTGGTTTCACAGCAAATCACATCAGAAAGAAGCAGACATACTGAGCTCGTCCTTAAAGTTTGGTTGGTTGGTTGTTTTACTATATCATCTACGCTTAAGTAGAGGTACCAGCGGTGATTCACATGAGCCTTACTTAAAATGGCAACAAAACTGCACTACAACTGGCTCAAGCATTTGACTTAAACAAAAACTGGCATCATATTAACATTATAATATTAGTAGGGGATGGAAAGTGATTACTTTGGTCTGAGTTGCTGTCATACAATAGCTTTTAGGTGTGCTTCTACATTTTGAGTAGTTTTAAGTGAGGACTTTTCCATTAACACAGAGTGAAAATGATACAAGCTTTCCATCAATAGCATGACAGTCAGCTGATATCTGAGAAGGAGAACATGCGCATTAAAATCACAACAAGAAATACTCTGGTAAAATTGGAAATACATTAATAGGTTCATCCATCCAATGACAATGAATCCCTGGCAAAACATTGCTTTTACAAAACAGACATATCTTTCCAGCCATATAAAGAGAGGCTGATCAATGTTTGCCATCCTGCAACCTGGCTTGGAAAATTATACTTTACATGATTTGGGGGCCATATCTCCCTTTTTAAGTTCCCTTCACTACCCACATTGAGCTTAAAAGCAAATTCTCTACTCTAAATCCTTTAAGTTATTTTCCAATTAAGTGCTTTTCAATTTTACTGGAGTAGCATCCCAGACTAGTAGCTTGATTTCTACTTGTGTAAAATGTCTGTTGCTGTACTTTCAGGTCAAAAGAACATTTCAGATCTCTTTCACTCCTGATTATTATGATATTACATGCTAGCACAATCGGATAAAATACTCAATAATAGGAAACTGGTAAAAAACTGAATCCCTCGGTGACGGTTAAAAAGTGATGAGAAATGTGGTATGCATCATGGAAAAAATGACTTAAGATCTCAGACTGAGAGGAAATATTTTTAGTACAAAGAAGAGGAAATGGGTAATTTGTGATCAGTGCAAAATGCTTCTGGACTCAATGCAATAAAAACTTCAAAATGCTTGATCTACAGTGTATAGTACAGTCCCTTCTTTGGAAATGGACTCCAGTAACCATGTCTGTTTGGTTTTTGTTTTATGTTAGTTTCTCATACTCATTTTTCCATCTTAATGGTTTAGACAGGCTCAAGTTAAAATGCAAAAATACGTTCTCATGCACAAAAACGTATAAACATTAACATTTAAAACAGGATCTACTGTGATCAGCAACCCATGAACATGTGAAAACAGCTTTAGAGAAAAACACCCAGTTTAACAAAACAAACGTCTATTAAAAAAAGCTACAAGCTCCATGATCAGTGAGGCTGAAACAATAATATTTGCCTGTGCTGGCAGTAACTTTACACTTGAGTTTTTGCAGGTGCTGCCAAAAAAAGACCTAATTACCTCAGTGAAATGGGACATGATTTATTATAAATATCAGGTGGTGAGGTGAGGAGGCACATTTTACTGTTACATTATGAGCAGCTGCTGAAATTACTCATTAGACTGATAGCAGCTTTCTCCAAACAAAGAAGCGATATATCATTGCAGTGGTATATTTTTTGGTGGAACGCTAAGCTTTAATTGTGATATTTTTCTTTCATTCTTATGTTAAAAACTAAGCTTTTATTGTGATTTTTTTTCATTTTGATGTTGTTAAACAAAGCTTTATTTTATACATTTTTTTATTTTTACATTGGAAAACCGAGCTTTTTATTTAATATTTTTTCTTCCATGTTTTTGATGGAACACTAAGCATTTATTGTGATTTTTTTTCTTTTTTTTGGTGGAACACTAACCTTTATTTTGATATTTTTGTTTCATTCTTATGTTGTAAAACTAAGCTTTTATTGTGATTTTTTTTTTTTATGTTGTAAAACTAAGCTTTCATTTTATATACTTTTTCATTTTTATGTTGGAAAAACAAGCCTTAATTCTGATATTTTTTCTTTTATTTTTATGTTGGAAAACTAACCTTTTTTTTCATTTTTTGATTAAACACTTGCCTTTATTTAGATTATTTTACTTTTGTTCTTATGTTGTAAAACTCAGCTTTTATTTTGATATTTTCTTGCATTATTTTGTTGAAAACTAAGCTTTTATTTTTATGTTTTTCTTTCATTTTTACATTGGAAAACTAAGCCTTTATTGATTTTGTTTTTCTTTTTTATTTATATAATTTTTCATTTTTACATGGAAAACCAAGCTTTTATAATGATATTTTTTCTTTCATTTTTACGTTGTGGTTTATGTTTGAAGTTTGGTGCTATGGTGCAAACAATTGATAAGTTATCCTGGAAACAAGAGAGACCCGTGATCTTAAGTTAACAGGAGAGATCTGACAATCTATATTTCTTCAAACAAGAGGGATTAGCAGTTTAAAAGACATGGACCACCAATGAAGTAAGTTATTTCCTTGAGTTAATCTGTCTCTTTGGTTCTCAGTAACATTTAATGGAGTGGCTGCTCTGATTTATTGCGGTTGATTTGGTGGTTTAGTGGGACTTTTTTCCCCGAGCGTGCTTGAATATCGTTTTAATATCCAGCCCAGATTTAATAAATCTAGTTACGGTGGTTTCAGGAACTTGTGTCATTATTCAAACCAAAGTGACCATCTAGCTCCTGTATATGACCTCAGTCTAAAGACTCAGCAAAAATACTGGTTGTAAAAATATATATGTATATAGAGACAAACATGTAATCCCTATTTTACACCACTTTATTAGGCTTATTTCACTGTGAGTGAAACGATGAACTTCTTTCAGTGTTGAGCAGTCAACAATTCAACCTAGGCTAGCCAGTTCTCACATTGGATAATTACTTTGATATTGCCACGTATTGCTGTTTTACGGTTGTTGTTTAATTGTTTCATGTTTTATTTAAATAGTCCAAAATGCCAGAGCTGCTAAAATACCTTTACTCAATCTGTTGGCGGTACCTGTATGCTAACTGGTAACATGAGTTAGCTGTACAACCGTTAGCAAACAATCAGCCATTGGTTCCCTTTTGAGTATTTTACATCGACAGAGCGGCATTTCTGACAAATTAAAAGTGTGCTCAAACTATTGTGACTAATACAAGACATTTTGACTTACCATTTTGACACAATAACAAAGTCTACATGTCCAAGACACTGTTCACACTTAGCAAGCGTTAGCTATCCCAGGATATGGCACGTTGCTATAGTAACTGCACTGACAAGCTAAGACGCGTTCAGGGTACGTTAAACAAATCGCGGCTTTCAACTTTGAACGGTGCACTTAACGGTCTACGTTTAAAATATGTTAAAGGGAAGAAAGTTTCGTGACAAAATCACTTGATATTTACGAATTAATTTACGACGGATACACACTGTAGAGCCACGATGTCATCCAAGTAAGTCGGAATGAATGAATGAATGAATGAAAACTGCTGCAAACTTCATTTGGCAATAGTTCCTTTAAAGGACTATATTTTCTGTTTCAGTATAGAAAAACACAACATATTACATAAGTAGTGTACGACCAATGAAATGTGCCGTACATGATCCTCCACAGCTTCTGTGTCACTGCTTTGACGTTTTAAAAAATGTACGGTTTCAACTATAATACAAATGTTTTCAATATGCCATCTAGTGGTGGTCAGACGGCACCATGGCTGTGGAAATTGTCAATTCCGGACGACAGTAAATGCAACTTTTGAACCCCTCACCCGGAACAATAACAGCCGGACGCTGTATGAAGGTGTATGATGTTACGGAATGAGATACTTTCAGTTCTGTTTCTTGATAAAGGTGAAAAAAGTCCTCGATACAACTTGAGATTCTTTTGATAATGTATAGTCTAAGACAGTACGTGCATGATGATGGACCTTTAATCCTGGATGGCGGACTTGCAACTGAACTAGAAGCGCAAGGAGTTCATTTACAGGTAAAACAATTTTTTACATATTTAAGAAATACAACAACATTGACTACGGTCTCTGTCTTATACAAAGGCATTGATTCTCATTTGAATTTTTGTTATTCAAGCAGGATGGACCTCACAACTTTATATAGCCTACAATTTTGCCGATTTAAACATGTAATTTGGCAATATTCTCACTTTTATATGCGTTTTAAATTAAACTAAAAGATATTGTGGTGTTTATCATGTGATTTGCTTTATGCATTTAGAATTGAAGCCTACATCTTGCATACGTTTTAATAAAACAAGATTATAACAGTTTAATAGAAATATCGACCAAGTATTTACTAACTTCTGTTGTCTTAGTACATTTATCGTGTTAAAGAAATTGCTCATGGTTATCCTCGATAAGCCATGCAACCGGAGAAAGAAAGGCTGAGTCATCTCCCCGTGAAAAGTATCGACAACCTCAGGGCCCAACAAAATATTTCCACTGTCCCAGATAATAACAGTGTTTTGCAGCTGATAGCAGAAAAGATACTAAGAAATTAAAAGTAAGGATAGCTGTATTCAAAAATATTTTATAACTAATACAAGAAGTTGATGATAACTAATATGTAATAGGTTAGAAACAGATCAAGTAAAAGTATGTGGATACTAACTAAAAGTTTAAATAAATAAAAATGAAGTTGTTTGTCCAAATTACAGTACTAAATATGTAGTTAAAAGGGCTTGATTACTATCAGTAGCTATGGGTGAGACTTGATGAACTTAGGCCCTCCCAAATGGTCCTCATATTAACCGAGTCTGAAGGCTTCTTGACAGCTCATTTTCATGCTCTACATCTTATCAACAAGAGTTAATGTGATGCTGTTAATGTGCTTTTTGGTGCCTGTGACGTTACCTGTGATATGGCTTTAATACTTAACTGGTCTTCATTTAGTCCATCTGTTCTTACATCTTCTTTATGTTGACATACATGCTGCAGAACCCATTAAGAAGGTTGTTTTTAGGTTAGGTAGGCCCAATAGTTTACTCTTTGGTTACCCTTATGTGACCCTATTGTGTGTTTATTATTGTACTTTTGCATTTATCTCTGATAAAGTAACACTTTAAATGAAATTTAAATGTTTATACTATTTCGTTGCATGATAAAAGTAGTGGACCATATTACCTAAATTCCCCAACAGATGGCACTACTTTCTCATTGATTATTATTCTGGCAATACTTGATACATAAATTTAGCTCAAGGTTTTTGTAAGTGGGGTTGTCGATCCCTGGGGGATGTCCAGGTGCAGTAGGGGTTGCTGAAACTTGGAAATCAGGGAAAATTAACAGAGGAGTGCCCCACTATACTGTTTAAGATTCACATGAATTACAGTGGGTGTTTACTACAGAAGACATGTTGAATGAAATGAATGAATAAAATAGGGGAAAATGTCTAATGCTATACTGAGGGTCCTTGTCATGGCTAAGTTTCAGGACCCCTGCCCTAACCTAAATATTATTCTCTTAAACTGTTAAACTTACTGAGAATATTATATGAAATTGTCTATAAACTATGGATATTCATAATGAAAATAAAGCCTAAATAATAAATGATAATAAATAAATAAATGAATAACAATTGTGTCAACCTTGCACTCCATGTGGACAGAGCAGTCTTTGGTTATCTTGTCCTCTACATGTTTAAATGGTGTCTTCTCCCAAAAAAAATCTCCTCATCCAAGCTTTTATGTTTAGATATATCATTTGTTGTGATTATTTTGTGTGGAAATTGTAAAAGGCAATGCTGTTTCTTCAGCAGCTTAGCGGACATCTACCCCCTCTCAACAGTTTCAGGCACTGAAAACCACAATATAAAAATTGTCAGTTTTGTTCCAGGTAGTCCTATCTCTTCCTTAACATGAAATGGCATCAACATGAACTATTTCCTAAATATAAAAAAAGTCCTCATAGGAGCTTTAATGTTAACCAAAGTTTTATACATGAAATAAACTCTTACACTTAAATAAATAAATCACAAACAGTTTTTATAAACAAGCACTGAAATGTCAGTTTTATTGCACATGCAGGGAGATCCTTTGTGGAGTGCTAGGCTCCTGCATACTGACCCCCAGGCCATAAGAGACGCTCATCACAGGTAAGGTTCATGCTAATTATGAAACCTGCTCAGAAAAAAAAAAAATCTGCCGACTTTGAATTGAAATGGTTTATTTTAACCATTTCAATTCACAGCAATATGCAACTCTTCAACTGAAAATGCAAAATACTTGTTCTAAGCTTCACAAATGCAAGGTTTTTCTGCTTTAGCATCATAAAGGTTTTAAATTTGGGGGAATACATTTTTGATCAGCGATATCCACTTGTCAACCTCAGGCTTTATAAAGAGCTGAGTTGATTTTGACACCCCCCCTGTGGACAAGGCAGTATAACTAGTCTCTGCTGATGTTAGGCATGAAAATTTTTTGTTTGTTTTTTTTGACAAAAAAGTTCCTTCCTGTGAATGTAAGTTATTATATGTTTTCTTTAGGCTAAACCATTTGCAGAGTTTGTTGAATATCGATAAAGAAAAGTAGAATTAATTTATCTGAGTATGTGCAGGTTTATCGTCAGTGGTGCTGATGTTATCACAACAGCCACATACCAGGCCAGTGTCAGAGGATTCATAGATCACCTAAATGTGAGCTCTGATCGCGCCCGAGAGCTGCTGATGTCTGGAGTTCAGCTCGCCAAAGAGGCTGCAGAGAGATTTGTCTCAGAAAGTCATTCAAAAGGTACAATATGAAGCTGTTTTTGATGTATTTCAAACTGCACAAACTTTGACTTAGCAAATTTTGATTCTGTTACATTGATTTCAACTCTACAGAGCGGAGACCTCCTCTAGTGGCCGGCTCTGTCGGACCATATGGAGCCTTTCTTCACAATGGATCAGAGTACACAGGGGCATACGCAGAGGAGATGAGTGTTGAGGTACATTGGATCAGAAACTGTGAACAATATTGTGCATGATTTATAAAGCTGAAAACAGACATGGAATACACAGCAAAAACTCATCTGACAAAATACAAGGAATTAATTGTCACAAGAAGTGCAATGCTGCAAGTGCTAATAATAATAATAATAATAATAATAATAATAATAATAATGATAATGCATCAAATTTTATAGTGCTTTTTATCAGTGACCTCAAAGCGCTTTACACTGGATACATCATTCATTCACTCACACAGTCACACTTTGGTGGTGGTAAACCACCTTAGTAGTCACAGCTGCCCTGGGGCAGACTGACGGAAACGTGGCTGCCAGTTTGCGCCTACGGCCTCTCTGACCACCACCACCACACAATACTCACAATCATACACCAGTGGAGGACACACACACTGGTAGCAAGGTGGGTTAAGTGTCTTGCCCAAGGACACAACGGACAGACTAGGAATAGGACGGGGCTCGAACTGTCAATCTGTGCTGTCATTTTCGATACTTCACCTTTTGTGGTTTTCACTTGTTTTGCAGTGTAACTTTATATTTGCCCAGATGTGCATAGATATAGTAGTTTCAGTGTTAAGCAATGTTTGCTGAGTTACAATCAAACGATCTCAGGCATTTTTTTCCTCCTGTTCTCTCAAGGATCTTAAAGGCTGGCATCGGCCTCAGGTTGAATGTTTAGCAGCAGCAGGAGTCGATCTTATTGCCTTTGAGACGATCCCGAGTATCAAAGAGGCAGAGGCTGTGGTGGAGCTGCTCAAAGAGTTTCCAAACTGTGACGCCTGGCTCTCCTTCTCTTGTAAGGTGACTGTGATCAACAATAACCATTCATGGCGTAGATTTCATTCAAAACACTGCTTCTTCTCCAGACTGAAAAATACAAAGGGACCAAATCACTCCTAAGCTGCTTTCTCTCCACTGATGCAGTTCGGATGCATAACTGCAACGATGGGTGTCCGAAGTTAGACACAGTTGCAGAAAAGGTTTAACAACACTAAAAACTTTTGTTACTGATGATGTTGTGGCACAAATTCATCCAGTTCAGAGTGCGCAGGTGAGCTTACAGCTGGTATTAAAGTAGAATGGAGAAAACCTGAGAAGTTGAGGAGAAAAGCAGTGTGAGTAGTACCTGTATAACACACACTGCATGTGTTTGTGATATTATCTTAGACACTCAAAGTCTCCTGTCCTGTTACTGTCAGTAGATACTCTGCTAATTCTGATGATGACTAAAACTGAAGAAGGTCTGAGAACTGCACAATGTAAAGCAATATAGAAAATCTAGTGATTCCTAAGTGGAGATGAGAGTTTGCAGGAGTGTATTTATTTATTGGAAAACGCTTTACTTACTTGCTCACTTACCGCTGTCTCAAAAATAAACAGCCTAATTGCTGGGGTGATCTCCAACATGTGTTACGTGCTGTAGTGTGTAATGCATGCTTAGTAGTGTGTCATTTTCACTGTTGTGTGTTGTGTATAATGTGAAGTTAACATATGATTCTAACTGTTAAAAATGTTTTAGACAGCAAAATCAGAGGTTTCTTTTTAGCCTTTACCCTTTCAGATAAGATTGTTCATATCCTAATAGATTTGAACATTGATATCTTGTCATAGTTATTCATTTTTGCACATTTCATTGGTCAGCCTTGGTTTTTTTTTTAAATGTGCTATATGAATAAATTTGAATCGACTTGTTGAGTAAATGTCTCTCTCTGTTCATCTTTTTTTAATCCTGTCAGGATGGGAGTCATATATCAGATGGCAGCCTGTTCACTGATGCAGTGCAGGTTGCTAACACATCCACTCAGCTGGTGTATGTAGGAGTAAACTGTTGTTCTCCAGAGCTGGTGGAGCCACTGCTGGACTCTGCTGGGTCTTTGCTGAGCCCCCACTTGAGCTGGGTGGTTTATCCTAACAGTGGGGAGGAGTGGGACACAAGGGAGGGGTGAGTATGCAGTCAAGTTTGAATACTTTAACAATAATTATAATGATGATGATTAACTTTATTTATACAGCACTTATCCAAACAGGATTACAAAGATCGAAACTTCTTTGATGCACTTGAATGCTTTTGTGCAATAAACTAGAACTTTCAAAGTGTTGTTTGTCTTTCACAAATAACTGAATCAATCTGCTTGTTTTCATAAAAAGGTGGCTCACGTCAGAAAAAAGGTCAGCATCAATACCTAAATTTAGTCACGCGTGGAAGAAGCAAGGCACAGCTTTGATAGGTAAGAATAACCTTTGCCTCTTCTGTTCTTTTTTGTCATCCCACTCTCTGTTCATGACTGATTTTCTCTCTGTCACTCAGGTGGCTGTTGTCGAATCAGACCCACTCACATAGCAGAGTTGAGACGAGAGCTGAAAAGAGGCCGCACAACTGCAAAGTGAAGTGGACGGAAACTGTGAAACTTCTGAAGAAAGATGTCTGTCCCAGGAGTTTATAAAAAAATCTTCATTTATTGTAAAATTAAATAAATAAATAACCACTACATCAAATCACAGGAGGAATGACAAGAGTGGTGGGATCAGAGACAAATGGCACCATAAAGGTGTCGTGATTAAATGTGTCTGAATATAAACATGAAAATAAACCATGCAGGCTTTAACTCTCTTAGGTTTCACATTTGGATTGATTACCAGGGATAGAATACAAACTGTATAGAAAGATGGACGACAAGACAAATCCATAAAAGTGAGGCCCAACTGTTGTGAGCCCCCTCTGCTGACTGGCTACAGTATAGGTCATAGACCTGCCTCTCTATTTGGACAGATGAGCCATGGGGCGAGCTTTATAATAATACTAATAAAAAACATGGCAGAGAAATGTTTGTTATACAGTTTCTGTCATTTTAGTTCTTGAAATGCAGATTTATGCCCTACTGTTGATTGATCTGTGGAGTGTAGATTTAATTAAGTTATTTGATGCATCAGTAACATGTCAAACATTCAGATTGTCAGCTATGTTGGTAAATGAGATGTCCCAAACACTTAAGAGTCCTTCAACTTTCCATCCTTGTGATTGCTGCTTGAAACTGATGCAAGACTCTGTTTGGCTGGGGTCACTGTAAGTCACCACATTTCCCCATTTACATAAGCATTAGGATTCAGCATAGACTGCGAGTCTGTTACAAAGAAGGGCACGCTAATGTGCATATACCAAACACCCTGATAGCCAATTAGAATGAAGATTCCCTGGTGGTGTACATCAGTAATGGACCAGTGGAAGTCCTTTCATCAAAAAAATGGAGAACTAACCAATCAGGACGTCAGACCTGAGCTACAGGATACAACTTTTGAATATTGAGACAGCAAGAAAAAAAGAGCTTGCTCAGGAAAAAGGGAGTGTAGTGGTCAGATTATCTGTTAAGTTGTTGAAAAACAATAAATCTTCACAATGTGGTCAACTTCAACCATGTTTGATGTCATCAGGCTTAAATGATATGAATTAGCCTCTTCTCTATTGCATTACATCATAGACAAGCAAGTGGAGCGAGTTATTTGTGCAAACAAGTTCAGGTGTTCAGATACATGTGAATTAAGCAACTTAGCACTTTGTTTTGCGTTTGGTGTGACGCTACATGAAAAATAGCATGTGCTCACTTCTGCAAAATCTGTTTGTCCTCAGTTATGAATTCAAGTTTAAAAAAGGATTCACTTTTCTCATATTCAGGAGCAGGCTGTCATCACTTTTCTTGTGAAATCACAGCTTAATTACATTTCAAATCTATCTTTTTAATCAAATTATGTTTTGTTTTGTTTTTTTTTTGTTATAGTTTTACAGTATTTTTCTAATAACTGTTTTTATTTTTTGTAAAGTTGATGGCTTTATTCGCAATGATTTTGCCACTTTATTCCTGCAGCTTTTCATCTTTTCTCTTGTTAAGGTGCTTTTTTCACAGCTGAAGGCATGGAAAGTTCTGACCTATTTCTCGTGATCTTAATTTTTATAATTCCTAGATATGGGCTTTAATTTCTGTCACAGGAGGATTCATCATGTGGTTTGGCTTCTACTACCATCTATAGGCTTTTATTTCGCAGTGCACCACAGATGATGTCCCCTTTAAAGCTGCTTACATTTGTTATTGGATCGATTCTGTAACAAATGCACTGATGCTGTTATTGGCAAAGATACCTGTTATTTTGCCATTCAGATTTTCCAAGCACAGTCCAAATCTCTCCTGCCTACACTCCGGCTCTAAAAGTCATCATAAAATGCAATTTATCAGAGCCAATCAAAGAAGGTACTGTAGCTTCATCTTTTTTACAGTGAGAGGAAGTGGAAATGTGTCGTCCATCTTTCCATGCAGTCAGTAGGATTGAGCATCTCCACTATCATTTCTGTACAGCTCCAGTCTTCTAAAAAACTGGGATCAACACCCGTGTAACAGTCTCACAGTAGGTTTCACAAAGCACAACAAAATGTCAGCTGCTTTCACGACACTGAAACTGGACAGAGTTTCCACTGAACTGAACAGACCACTGGACACCAGGAGCAGCAGCTCACCTGTACAAGGTAACATGGAGGAGTGTCATGTTTGAACAGAAAATACAGCAAATGTGTTTCTGAACAGCACTAACGTGACTTCAAATGTGCTCTCTAACAGGATCAATGCAGTGACTGTGTGACAAAAGCATAATAAGAGCTGTATGTGTGTGTGATGAGTAGTGGTAGAATGAGATTAAAATAATACAGTAGTGTGAACATGTTGAAAACACCTAAATTCCTTTTAGTTATTAAATGATAGACAGAAAAAATGACTGAAACAACTTACAATACAGCTGCCATAAAGATAACACCTCTCTCCCTGGTTCACGGGTATGTACCATTTCTAAAATCCATGACTTGGCCCAAAAATGTGAGCATAGCCATCAGACTGTCTTAAAATTTCAACTTTCAATTTAGGGGCAAGTCTGTTAATTTTCTGTCTTTTACATCAACAAATCCCATGAAACACCATTAAAAAGCAAGAATTGGTCCTTTAAACCATGTGTCGTTGTACCCAAAGCTTGTTTTCTCCGCGCTGAAGACTTCCATTCAATCTAAAATCTACCAAAGCACACCATTAGCTAAGTGATTTTTTGAGCTTTGTAATTTCTATTAGTGTATCCCCATAATTTCCTAAAGCGAACCTTTCTAAAAGGATCAATAAAGTCTGTCTTAAATTATCGAGTCTAATTTGCTGTCTTGTCATCTTCAAGAAGAAGGGATGTCCTGATCCAGATTTAAAAAACTGAGACTGAGCCCATCTGGGATTTTTTTTTCTTTTCAAAGTTATGTTTTTGATCACTTTTGCCCATATTGAATATGAATACTGAATAGATAAGGGGGTAGAGAGTGGAGAAGACATACAGTAAAGGGTCATTACCAACAACTGCTGCAACAGGTAATACAGCCTATGCTAGTGGGGCACCCTTAGTCAGTTGAATAAAGGCTGGGGCATCACAGCCTAGCAGTCTGAGAATCAGTGATTTGAGCCACTCATGCCACCCTGATCATTTCCATCAGCTGCTGCACAACAAGGGTTCAATTTATGGACATCTTGGAAACTCTGTAACTAAAATGTCAGCCATGTGGAAATGTATAAAATATTTTGTAAGTGGCAGCTGGACTGTTTTTCATTTTCCATTTTAAATTATAATAGTTTTTAAAGGGGGTATCAAGAACAGATGCACTCAGTACTATAAGCTTGATACATCTAAAAACTTAACATGCAAAATCATATGGCCTGTTCATTACAGTAACGGAGAAAAGGATGCTGCCCTGTTAGAGCCCGATAAGTAACAATGACCTGAAATGTAATTGAAAAAAAATGTTTTAAAACCCAAAATATAATAACTAGTCGATAATGTGACAAGATTCTGAGACCAAAACATAATAACTTTTTGCACTTTAGGCAACTCTTTTGTAACATTATTGACAAATTACGTCATGTTGGGCTCTATCATATTGAGCCCAAAAAAGAGTGAAAATTCCACAGAGATCACACAGTAGGTGATAGCATTCTTCATTTTGGACAACCAGCCCATCTTTGTGGTAGAAAATCCAAGTTTTTAACTTCTTTTAGAGCTCTGGGATCCATGCTATGTCCTGCCTTCTTGATACTAGATGTTATTAAATTTCACTAAGCAATTTCACCAATCTGAGTAATGTTTTGCTTTCATATTCAAGTTTTACAAGCTAGTGGGACAAAGCTAAATAAAATAAGCTGACGACATCTTTTAGTTCATGTTGAACCAAGTTATTTCTGTACACCCAAAAAACAGCGCGCAGCTCTATGATCTAAAGAAATGCAAGTATCTGGTCAGAACTCTGTATCAGATATCTGATCAGGATCAGGGGCGAAAACAGTCGTTTAGAAAATCCCTACTGAATATTATTTGGTGCAATAATGTATATCAATCTTTCCCCTAAAGTTCTCTCTAAAAAATTGCACTGTACTGTCACCTGAGTGACATTTTCCAAGAACTACACGGTCTCCTCTTTTTGGAAACTATTCAGCTTTTTTAATGGCTTTATTGTCTTTTAACCACCAGGCGGAGCAGCTGAACTGTCCTGGTTCAGTTTCACAGCTCTAAGTGTCATTTTTCCAGAGCAGTAGGCAGCTATCTGAAACCCTTGGGAAAACCCACTTTGCACCATGTGCTCAGCATTTAGTTTCCGGCAGGGCAAAATCCAGGAGTGGCTAAAGAGCCAAGTAAAGTCGGGCTAAGGGCCTAAACAGGACAAAACAGCAGATTCTAGACTCCTACTGATGCTTCCAATGCTCTAAGAACGAGTGTGGTCTAGACCTGCTCTTTTTGGAAAGTGTGTTGAGATAATGACTGTTGTGATTTGGTGCCATATAAATAAAAATTGATTAATTGATTGATATATCAGCTTTAAATGTACTACAGGTTCAAAAGTCTAAATATAATGTATAAAATTGAAGTTGAACGAGTAAGTTTTACGGAGAAAGTTTAACAGAGATGATAAAGTAGCACATTGATGGATTTGGTTTTTGCATGGGATTTATTAGAAGTAAAAATGACCAGACTTTTCCTGGACAGATGTACCTCTTGGCTGCTGTGTTGTATTCTACGTCTCTCTGTAAATCCTGTTAAACCTGTTCAGTCCATGTTGTCTTCCTCCAGGTCGCTGTCAGGTGAGCTCCTCTGTCTGTGCTCGGCTGTGTTGGACTGGCGTTTCCAGCTGCTGTCTTTCTGACTCCCCATACTGTGTGAGCGTCCCAGGTTGGCCAGACGCTTCGATGGAATCCTGTCTTCTGGTTCATTGGAGGCGTGGGCTCGCTCTGCACTCGAGTGGTGAAAGTCGTGCCGCAGGTTCTCCAGGTTCAGAGCCCAGGGGCCAAGTTTCTGCCAGTTCACCCTCTGGAAGGCCATGATGCAGTGCAGGTTACCTCCCACCTGTTAGCACATGAAACATCATTTTAGTCGATGTTTGACCCTGAAGCAAAAACTCATTTTCAAATGGCAGGTGAGAGATGGGGAACCTTTTTGGTTTTGCGTCGTTGGGTGCCCCTCTCTGTGTGACGGATGTCCAGATATTCTGGGTTTTGTGTGTTCAGGTCAGTCACAATGTCCATCCATCTACAAGAGAGGCTTCATGTAAAACAGCTCAGCTATAGTGATATAAGACAAAGACTAAACAGACAGATCTTACTTTTTACAGTGGATTGCTGGATGTTTCCTGCTGGGTTCACCAATCAGGATCCAATACTCCATTTCATTTGAGGGTAAGGAGCCCCTTGACACAAAAAAAGAGCCAAATTCTTCAATTAAATAAGGTTTTAGGAATGAAACAATTCAACATTTTATAAGTCCTTAAGCAGGTGGACAATGACAAACAAAAATCATACTGAATATGACTTCACTCTGCTAAAAAAAATCCAAGCCGCTTCTTTGATGGGAGATGGAGTTAAAGAGAGAAAGACTATCTTTTGTAGTTTTGCAGTTGTTGGAAGTCTGTGAACTGAATCACATAAATAATCTACAACAGTTAGGAATAACATCAACCAGTTTTATTCATACAGGGTCTTCATCAGAGCGTGGTTAGGTGGGTTGGACCATTCACTAATACAGACCATGGTATGGTCAAAACATGTTAGTGTTTCCCTAATTGTTGTGGATGATTATGCAAAATGCCACAAACAAATCAAGTAATTTTATTTTATTCCTAACATTAGTAAGTGTCCCTTGAGCAGCTTTTCAGCTCGTTACTTCTGATTGGCCTTCTATGCCACACACCAAAAGAATTAACAAACACATAAACAAGAGGCAAACAGAGTTTACATCGATTCTCTACACCTTCGGTGACTGCTATATGGCAGCTTTGTTTTTATCTGCCCTTCTGTCAAGGTTTTGTTTACAACCCAGCTTCAAGCAACCTCTGAGCTTGATGTGTGAACTCTGGAGTGTGCTTGGAGCACTAAGAGACCTGATTGAAGCATATACTGCAAGAGAGAATTGATCCACAACCACTTCTAGGTATGTTCGTCTAAAAATGAAAAGTATGATTTAGAGCGATTTCAGTTGACAGACAACATGTTTCATGTATGTGTTTACATGTTACCCCGCCTCCAGCAGCCACTTGTTTGTGGGGGATCCCTGACAAGTCAATCACTGAGTGCAGTGGAGTTTCACAGCTCAAGGAACAACATTTATGATTATTACTTCATGGAAATGCATTCAGACTGAGGTGCTAAGGCAGAAGAACTACCACCTCTGCAGTGCAAAATGATTATTATGATGATTATTACTTCATGAGAAGGATTCGCTGCACTCGGTGATCAACTTATCAGGGCTCCCTCACAAACAAGCAGCTGCTGGAAGAGAGTGGGTGAGTTCTGTTTGGTCTCTTTGCTGAAGAAATCAGGCAAAGCTAAAAATATTTTTCGTGGCCAGTACTATAGCTGTGACCCTATATGTACTGTTGATGAAGTTAAGTGCTGTTCTGAGCATTATTTGTGGCTATAGGGTGGCTTTATGGTTGAAGTTTATGCGTGGAGATGTAGACCGCTGTGTATTGCTATTGTGTGGTCATTGCTGAAGTTGGTGGAACTAGCGAAGCAAGCAGTTGCCACCATTCATCTGTGTCTAATTCGGTGTTACGGTGTGTTTGACCCTAACTTAAATTTACGCCAGAATATCCCTTTAAAACCCTCAGTGAAGGAAGAAATTTGCTAATACCAACAGCCGTTGTCATGGAAATAGATAAATCAAACAGGCACTTGTGAAAATAACGGGTTCTCATACCAGTGCCGTGTCTCACCTGTAAGCCTTTGCTGCTTTGAGTGGTGTAGCCTCAAAGCCCATGGGGCAGAAGTAATGGTTCTGGCAGTGATAAATGTAGGCCATTGACTCATCCTTCAGCCCCTGTGTCAGCTTCATCAGCGCTCCTTCAGCTGAAAGGATTCGACAGGTTATCACTTCTGTTTCATCTTTGGGAGCTGACATACACTACAGGCCAAAAGTTTGGAAGCAAGATCATAGTTTCATATATATAATTTGCAACACAATAAACATGACTATTGTATAAAGAGTAACTTATCAGAAGACATTTTGACTATAATTATTAGGTATTTGAGTTATTGTTGCTTAGACTTTGCTTTCTTTAAAGTAACCTCCTCTGGCTTTAACAACAGCTTGGCATATATCAGGCATTCGTTCCACAAGTTTTTTAAGGTATGTTCCAGGGATTGCATTCCAAGCTTTCCTAAGTTCATTAAAAAGAGACTGCTGATTCATGGGACGTGTTTTTCTGACCAATCGATCCAATTCATCCCGCACAAGCTCAATTGGAGAAAGGTGTGGAGACTGAAGGGGCCAAACCATTTTGAAGAACACCTTCCTCTTCTTTTTTGTCTAGGTAACCCTGACAGAGCTTGGCAGAATACTTAGGGTCATTGTCTTGCTGCAAAACAAACTTATGAGCCACAAGTCTTAGTCCAGATGGAACAGCATGGTGCTGGAGGATGGAGTGGTACTGTTCCTTCTTCACATTACCCTTAACTTCAAACAAATCTCCTACTCCATCACCTGCAAAACATCCCCATACCATGGAAATACCACCTCCATGCTGAATTGTGGGTGTAACACATGGTGCTTTCAGACATTCACCAGTTTGTCTGCGGACATAGACTCTGCATTTTGAACCAAACAGTTCAAACTTGTTTCTTGTCATCATAAGTCCAATTTTTGTGAGCTTTTGCCCACTCATATCTCTTTTTCTTGTTCTGTGGACGAAGTAGGGTTTTTTTGCAGATACACAACCCTTCAGACAAGCCTTTCTCAAACGTCATTTCATGGTTGTCAGAGATATATCGCTTTCGACCTTGTCATGTTGATTTCCTCCCTTATTTTAGGTGCTGTCTTTTGCCGATCTCTCTTACTGGTGACAATGTTATGTTTATCCTCTGCTTTTGTAGCTCTTTCATCCATGCATTTTTGAATGTAGTGTACATCTCACAGTGGGCCACGCTGCCTATCTCTACCTGTGTATGACGGATCACTCGCTGTGACTCGCCTGTGCTGTCCTCATAGACAATGTTTCTAAGTGTTTAATATTTTCCCTTTAAGAACCACCATAAATAAGAGTTTCTCTGCTCCTGTCAGGTCAGGATGGTAAATTGAATCAGAAAAGTCAAAAAAGTCTATTTTTTAAAGTATTATCAAATTTTTTAAAGTATTATCAAAAAAATACTTTAAACTTTCCTTCAAGATCTCATTCTGATCTTCTAATCAACAGATATGGACGTAGTTGCTTTGGTGACTGTTAGGTCAACACACAGATCTTTTTTTCCACTGTCTACTTTTCAAAGAACTGCAGGCGTCCATTCAGAAAATAGGACAGCTGCTCTCCTCTTGTTCACTTTGCAGCCTCTCTAAAGTGAAATTGGTGCTAAAATTAACCACAGCTGGTCTCTCAACATGGACAGGGCTGGTCCCTGTCCCTTGGGGGACTCACCTGTTTCTCCTGCTGTCTTGTGTTTTCCATGCGGCTTGTACAGAATGTAGGAGCAGCCTCGTACTCTGAAATTGTCATTGATTTGTCTGAACCACCTGGATGAAAAAAAGTCGATTGATTCCTAAACTGTGTGCTGTTTACAGAAAAAGCAGTGGTGTTTCAAACATACAATTGCTTACCGCATCAGAGTTGCGTTGCCGGTAAAAGGACCAAACTTGATTTCTTCAAAAGGCGGCTGGAAACCCAGAATGTGCAGAGCCTCCTCCTGAGAGATGGGTGGAAGGCTAACAACAGAAACACATCCTCACTTAGTGCCTCGGTATCTTTTTATTTACTCAGTGTTAAGATGACATACATGCAGCTCACCTCCCTGCTCCCAGAGTGCTGTAGAGGAAATTCCAGCAGGACACCAGAGAGGAGATCCCACATGAAGTCTTGTACTGTGGCCGACTGATGCAGTACCTGAAGAAGACAATCCCACAGGCACATCATAAATCAACACTTACAGTTCTCTTACAGTCTGGTTTTTAATCCGGATTTACTGTGCTCTGACTGTTGGGGACTAAATGTAACTAACATTACCATCTCCTGAGGTCCAGCACTTTTCTCTGTTTAATCTCCTCCAGAGAGGCATGAGAGGAGACATCCTGCAGATTTCTGCTGATTCTGTCTGAAGTCTTCATCTTCTTGGTCATACTTTTCTTCACGTTGCCTGAAAAAGAGCATCAGTTATCAGAAGTATCATAAAATTTGACTGAATTTCAGCATCCCTAAATATTTTCTGATTCTTGCTGTGTAACTGTGTATCAATTTGCACATCACAGTTTAAAACGTTTTGGCGCTTTATGTTCAGGAGAACAAATCCAGCTCTTGTAAATTAGTGTTTCTCACACATAGACTATACATGGTTGGGCCACTAAAGTACATTTGAGCCTGCCCAGGTATATTTGCTAACCACTTCTTTTCATTAATTTATTTAATGTGTATGTGAGCGCCGACCAGGATCAATGTACAAGAACATTTTGCCTCTCTACTTTCTCCCCTTGCATCTGTTGCATGTGGTGACTGACTGCTTTGCTACAGGTAATCAGAGAAAGAGTGGTCCTTCAGTATTACCTTCTATTAACACACTGACCAAGGTGTGTTGTCTCCTGTTAAATATAAACTTTCCCATATCACTGATTTGAAAAATGCCTGCAGCCAGTAGCTGCTGGTGTCATTTTGCGCAATGATAGTTTTGGATGTAGCAAATAGGAGGTAACTTACAGGGTTGAAAAATAACACCCACCCAGATGTGCTAAAAATTGCAGTTCCTTGAACGTCCATTTATTATGAAGTCTACAGTTGTGAAATGCTACATCATTTACAAGGCTGGTCCACACAGAAAACACCATTTGGGATTGTTTTATACTAACAGGAACATGACAAAATCAGAGTTTTGACTTTAGGCATCTTTTACCGATCCAACACACCCAGGCAGTGAGAAACAGCAGGAAGAGGGCCTGACACACTACAAGGATGAATATTAACTATCAAAATCAGAGAAAACAGACTGCTGCCGCCTGTAATATGTTTTTTTTTTTTTTTTAAACATATGCTATCAACAAACTTAATTGTTTCAGTCCATCTTTTAAATAGGAACATAAAATAAGTGGGGATAAGAGAGTCAAGAGATTTTTCTTTTCTGATCAGTCAAACACCTAGAGGTTTGAAAAAGCTTCTTTTTTTAAAATACATTTATAAGTTGTAAAAGTTATAACGGTTATAGAAGTTAAAATATTTTCCCATGCTTTCTGTCTTTCTTCCATACTAATCTAGAGCAAGGAGAGACTAAACTTTAACATAACATTTGTTCATTGTTCATAGAAATCAACTATTGCATTTTGGCTCTGAATGTTGCAAAATTTTTTGTGCATATTTAAGGTGCTTTGATTTTTTGACAAGTTTTCAACGGACTGAAACAGGCTAATGTATTTTTTCTTACTTGTTCTTGACTTTCTCATCAGCACAGCATTGAAGTCTGTGGTATCAATCTCCCAGGCCAAAATAGGTTTAGTGTTTCCAGAGGACACCTCCATCATGTCACAGTCTTCATCTGATCCCACATGGACCTCTCCAGGCTGGCTAGAGCTGAAGTCAACCGAGGGTTTAGTCTTCAGCAGTGCTGGGCTATCAGCCTGCTTGTTGGAGACCAAGTCCCTGGAGGTGTTTGGGGGCCGATACACAGAAGCAGCCTGGTTGAGGAGGGCATAATCGGAGCAGACTGTGTAGAACTTCTCACGGGAGTGCGTGACCGGGCAGGTCCATGGCAGGTGGAGCTCAGCGCTGGAGGCCCGTCTGACCCTGACGGCATCCCGAGCGAGGGAGCTCATCAGACCGTGATCTTCCTCCCCATCCGCAGGCCTTTGCAGCCCTGATGGTTCTGCTGGCCCGGGGAGGTTTACTCCTTGACCTTCTGATGTATTAGGCATTGAATGGCGACTTTGATATGACGGATGACTGAATAAGTTCAGGCTAAATGTGATGCTGATATGACTGCTGCCCTTTCTGTGAAACAAAGGACAGGTGTTTTAAGAAAAAACAACAAACTGGAATATAAAAAAAAGATGAAAGTGCAGTAACCTAGGGGCGTGTCCAGAGAGGTAACATGGGTCCCCCCTTGGAATATGATTGGCTTTCCAAACATCTTCAACTATTAGTTATTTGCCTTTCCAGAGAGGCAGAACTTTCATCAAATCAATTATTTTAACTATTTAAACTGTTCAAAGTGCTTATTCTGACAGGTATAGTGTTTACTTTTCTTATATTCAAGGGTAAAACTGCTACAAATATGACAAAGGAAGAGTACGAATGCAGTTATTCAGAGATCATTTTGACCACTCACTACCCCCCAGTGATCTCAGGTAATTGTAACTGTATTTGCAACTGTATTTTTAATTACAAAAATAACATAGGGATATAAATCAATATGAAACTATATTGATAATAACCATAAATCTAAAAAAAAAAAAAAAGATAAGTGGAGACGGGGGGGGGGGGGGACGGACGGACTTTACAAGGAATGGACTGAGGCTGAGGAGCCACAAAACACAGATGTGTCCAGGAAATGGACTACAAGTGTTCCTACTGTCACAATGCTCCTAAACCAGAGGCCACATCATAAGCATCTCACCTGGACTAAGAAGAAAAAAAAACAGGCTATTGTTCAGTGGTCCAAAGTCCAGTTTTTAGTTTAAAGTCAATTTAACCGCCTTATTTATTTGTTTTATAAAGTCAGTCCAAGGTCTACCAGGAGAGTTCAGAGCCCTTGTACTTCCATCTGCTAAGAGGGTTTAAGGAGACCAAGATTTCCTTATTTCCTTTTCCAGCTGGTCCTGGCACCTGCCCACAGCACCAAAGCTTATGGTGTTACTGTGCCTGATTGGCCCACCTAAACCCCATAGAAAATCTATGTCTGGGGCATCAACAAGAGACAGATAAGAAGCAACCTGGACTTCTATAACACCAGCAGAGCCACAGACTGACTGACTCAATACCACATCACATCACATCACTGCAGTAACCATACTCAAGGAGCTCTAACCAAGTACTGAGTGAATAAATGAACATAATATTCCAGGGGTGACATTTCTGTACCATAAATCCTTGTTTGTAATACTGTAATGTTTTGAGATGTTGTTTTTTTATTTTCATTAGCTGCTAGATTCAAACAAAAAAGTCTTGAGATATTTCACTTTGTTTGGGATTAATATAAATATGAAAGTATCACTTTTTGAATTATGGGGAATATTTAACTATCGGGGAACTCTACGTATTGCACCTGTAATTGATGCCACCCCTGTATTAATATTAATTCCTCTAATTTTACCAACCAAAACAAACAAGTCTGGACTCACATCTGCAACAATTAAGACTCACCAATGACATTAGACATTAGGGGAGCGTCATTTCAGTCACCTTTAACTCCGCATAAGTCACCTATGTTCAAAGAGAGCACTCGTCATTGGTTAGCTGCAGGCTAACTGAACAGTACTTGTCATTACACCTGTGCAGCGCTCGAGCCCCCCTCCCGTTACAGCCCTTACAGTTCAATTGTGGATAGCAAATACACGCCCAGCTGCTCCGTTAACTTCGGTTAATCGTACCTTTTGGAGTATCCTGAAGCCAAATGGGCTGCAAACGCGAAAAACGCAACATTAGCATTATATCATTGGACCAACACCGTTGCTTAGCACACCATCGAATTATTAGAAAACAATGCCGAGACGTCGCCTTCTGTACTCCATTACACTTCCTGTACAGTTTGTCCGGATTGTACCATTCTACTTAGCAACCGGGGTGTTCAAAAATAAGTAAAGGTAGATAAAAACATAAAACACTCAATTAATAGATGCTGCTTGATAATCAAATGCCTTAACCTCTCTATATATTGTTTTCTGGTTATCATTCTTATTTTAATTCTAAATTTTCTATCAATGTAATCTGCTTGAAGCATGTAACCCGTGTCGGCAGACAATGGACTGAACCTACAGTTGTATCCAATCACAGGAGCGACTCCAGGGACATCAGAAGTGCGCTTCACAGACGGAAGGTAAGTGTGTCAGTGGTCACGAAAGCTTATTTTAATCTTTCACAGCAAACTATTTAACTGCACCACCTACTGACGTCGCTGAGTCAATGTGACAGGATAAAACAGGTTGCTATTGTGGCAAAAAAAAAAGGTTGCTATTGTGGCTACAGTAACACCCAACCAAAAATGTCGAACAAACACGAACTTTGAATCCTCAATGGAAGTTGCGCAACTTTATTTCGATTAAGTTGATCTGACCACATCTGATCACAAATACGAATAATTCATCTTGTTGCAGAGAAACGTATAAAAGCACATTTTAATCAGGAAGGACGCTTCAAGCACACTTGTCCCATTTGCATTTTTGGTCTAAGAAAATAGGAGCATATAACTACTGACTGAGGATGAATTGGGGCTGGGGGAGGTTGTGCTGGTCATTGTGAAAGTGACAGTGTTACTTTTAAGGGACTTTACTTCAGAGGTTTGATTACTTTTTCAAGGACACAGCTTCATTGTGTGTGACAAACTTTAGTTCCTTCCAATCAAACATTACTCAAAAGCTGGAAAAACTTGCTATGTGAGATTGTTCTTTCGATTGGGTTTAAGAATAAGAAGAACTTTATTAATCCCCGAAGGCAAATTCAACTGTCTCATTTGTCATGTCAATCTAAAAGTCATCTAGTATTTACACAAGAGTTATAAAGTCTAATGGCTGTTGGTAGAAAAGATCTTCTGAATCTTTCTGTCCTGCAGCGAAAAGAGAGGAGCCGTCCACCACCAGTGGTCCTTTGGTCCATCAAGGTGTTGTGAAGTGGGTGATCCATGTTCTTGAGAATAGTCTCCACCTTCCTCAGTGTAGATCTCTCCACCACATCCTCCGCTGAGTCCAGCTTGAGTCCTAACACAGAGCCAGTCTTTTTCACCAGTTTGTTAAGACGTCTTGCATCTTTGTGTTTGATGCTTCCTCCCCAGCAGACTACAGCGTAGAACAGAACACTTGCCACCACAGACTGATAAAACATCTGCAGCATCTTACTACAGATGTCTATTGACCGGAGTCTTCTCAGGCAAAAGAGGCGGCTCTGCCCCTTTCTGTAGATGAAGTCTATTTTCTTAGACCAGTCCAACTTATTATCCAGATGTACACCTAGGTATTTATATGATGTCACCACTTCGATGTCCACTCCACAGGTGTTCACTGGTTGAACATATTTACCCCAATATGTACCTTGTCTTTTTTTTTTTCTTAGAAATTTCTGATAGTTGGATAGAAATTCAAAGGTCCCTTGTGGCATTATGTAACCTCTGAATTAATTTGATAAAATCTTTATCTAAGCTCAGCATTTTTTGCTCATTTGTAAATATTGTTGAATGTCGTGTTTTGTCAAATGCAGACAAAACAGCAACAATGTGATGTTGGCATTATCTATCTGCCATTGGCTGAAGTGCTCTGGTTTTGCCGGTATCAGCCATCAGAAAAATGATATTGATCAACAACTACATTTAGCTGTTCAAACAATATTTTTCAAAACTTAAATATATTTTCACAATGCATGGGAGCAGTCAAGAGTACATGGGGGCACATTCAGCTTTATGGTTATTTAGAAAACATTTACGTTTTTTAGACTTGCATGCTATGGATTTCCAGATTTTCAGCTTCAAAATAATAGCAACAATGACAAAAACAATCAAGGTGGGATGGGGGGTACTTATTGCAGGTACATTTGGAGGATGGCTCAAAAGAGGGAGTAAAACTCTAGATTTATTGCCACTCTGGAAAAGGCAAGGGAAATATCCAAAAAGGGAGGGACAGGCAAGAGGAAAGAGGAGATTTCTTTAGTATAAAAACACAGAGAAACAGCTAAAGAGAAATTGATGCTAGAACTTGAGTCTCTCACAGAGCAGGTGAAAGATGGGGAGGAAAACCAAAAATGATTGCTTGGGTTGCTGTGGACTCTGTGCGACAGCCACACAATGAAATACCTGAGGAACCTCATGGCTCACATGAAACCAAATCCTGACCTTCCACATGTGAAACTGTAGGTAAATATAACACCAAAATAACCACAGGTAGCTGTGGTTGGTAGAACAAATAAAGCAGATGTTCAAAAAGTGTACAGATGAGCTATTTCTCCAATGCAAGAGGCTCTGCTCATCAAAATTAGGCCCAGCCTGAGGAGTGCAACCCATAAACTAACAGTAATATTATTCCTGTATCATTTCTTGTCTTTGGCAAAAAAATGTTTTCTGTGTTTGAAACTTTTCAGGAGACCATGGAAAAAAAGCAGGTGATCATTGACACAGACTGCGGCATTGACGATGCTCAGGCTATAATGATGGCTCTGGCAGCACCCAACATCCAGATTGTGGGCATCACATGTGTGTTTGGAAATGCAGTGGTGGAAAACGTTTGTCAGAATGTGTTGAGGGTGCTCTCTGTCTGTGAGCATGAAGGGGTAAGTACTCTGAAGTGTTTCGAACATAAAGGCACAGTTGCTTTGAATGTTTAATTTGGATCAGACTGATTTGGAAAATCTATTATTTCATACTGTTACTCTTCCTCTTCCGTCAGGGGAATTTGAAGGTCACAGCAGTCTAATTTTTGTTTTAGCTGAGACAAATACTGTATGGAAAAATGACCAGAACTCTCACACTGAACCCACTGTGAGACTGAATCATGCATAATGTCTCAAGAGTCACTTTTAAGACTAGTGAGAAAATGTACAAGATCTCTTTTTGGTCTGATTCATTTTTGTGTAAGAAACACAAATTAAATGAGACATAGACAAGATCTGATTTGAAATATCACTTTCAGGGGTGTGACTTGATGACATATTTTTTATAGAGGGGTGTCAAAATCCACAAAAACTGGAGGTTTGTCTTAAGTGCTTTACTTCGAATTGAAGCCATTAGATGAAAATCTCTAAAGGGTAAGAATCCATCATTCACTTCAGTTTATTTTCGTGCAAAATAAAAAAAAAGTTCCAGGTTTGGGCGTTATTGTTCAACTGTTTCACTGTTAACTAATTCATCTAACCAGCACCAAAGCCTTCAGTGTGTTGCAGCCTGCTGTTGCTTTGTGTAAGTTTTCTTCAGTTTGGTTGATGTCTTTTTGTACATGTCATCATGACTGCTTGTTTCAGCATCGTTTCCTCCTAGACCATGAATCAGAAGTTTCATGTTCCCCAAATGAATTAAAGGCAGAAGTAAAATTGTTGTCTCTTTGCAGTTAATATTATCTGTTTGCATTCAGACATGTATATTTTGGCATTAGATTTTAAAAAAGATACACTCAAGAGGACTCTTAGTGTTTGAACAGCTGATCAAGCCACGATAAACACTGATGTATTTGACTGAAACTCACCTTTAACAGGGTCACATTTTAAATAGAAACACTGTTTGTACTAAATTAGTCATGTAGGATATGTTAACAAAAATGCTGTTTGATTTCTTAAATTATGTGTTGTGTCTGAAACTCTGTTGGAACATGCTGCTGCTGTCTTGGCCGGGACACTCTTGTAAAAGAGATTTTTAATCTCATTGAGGTTCTCCAGGGTAAATAAAATGAAATTAAAATAGAAATGTTAACAATTCTGTAAAACTTGAGTTAAAGGTTGGTACATCAATTCTGACAGCTGGCCATGCAACATCTTGATATTTTGATCCTATTAAAGTTTCAATTTAGTGTGTAAAACTTGCAGGTAGACCAATAGTTCGTAAAGGTTGACTGACCATTTCCAATATGGCGACTGCCATTGCATCCATGGTTTGGTCTTAAGTAACCATTCACAGGAGACAGGATGTCATTATAATAGATTGCTTTCTGCCTGCTTTTGCTCTCCACACAAATTGTCCAGCAAACACCAAATCCTGTTGCTCAACTGGTCGATTTTACTCCAGTCCAGTCCAGTCCAGGGTGTACATTTCGCAAATTCCACATTTTTCTCAGAATCTATAGAACTTAACCATTAACAAGCAGCTTTAATGATCAAATTCCTTTTTCCTGCACAACATTTTGAAGTTTACTAAAATGGTCATAAGGTCATTGAAAGGGTTTAATATAATCAAACTATCTAGAAAATGTTTAAAACCCTTTTCTTACTGCAGAGACATGACCAGTCAATATAAAGTCTTAAAATTAAAACTGTTACTATCAAAAGTCATCATCTAAATGTGTTTGTATTTAGACTGGAGTATTTTGTATTCAAAGCCACTCAAATAATGGCCTCATGCTTAACCTGCATGTCTGTGAACATCTTCCTGAACATCTGTCTGCAGATTCCAGTGTTTCGAGGTTCAGGTGGTCCTCTGGTCGGAGCTGGAAGCTCACCCACTGACCACTTTGGCACTGATGGATTTGGTGATGTGATCAAAGACAAAGACACACAGTGGGAGGAGAAAATCCAGGGAGAGCATGCAGTCAGTGCAATGATCAGACTGGTGACTGAGAACCAAAAGCAGGTGAGAATCCTCACTGTGATTTATCTCTAATTTGAAGCAGCTCTTTGCACACACACAAAAGAATGCTCTCCACAGGTCTCCTTGGTGGCCCTTGGCCCGCTAACTAACCTAGCCTTGGCTGTCAGACTGGATCCAAGTTTTCCCCAAAAACTAAAAGATCTTTACATCATGGGAGGCAACATGGAAGGTACGACATACTTAGGTTTTTGAAATATGTAAGCACTTTTGGTTTTATATAATTGCATTTTGTCTTTGTAGGAAAAGGGAACATCACATTATGTGCAGAGTTTAACTTTGTGATGGATCCAGAGTCTGCCTACATTGTTCTTGAAGAGTTTCTCTGCACAACATACATTGCATCTTGGGAATATGCCTGCAGAAATGCACTTACATGGGTAAGATGTGTGTTAGCAACCAACAGGTGGACTTCTCTTTTTTATCATTTAGTTTTATTGGTTTAAAATGTGATTTTTAACACAATGTAATTGACAACCACTGTCTTGAGGGCCTGTGTCCACCAACAGCATGTGTTACACAAACACGGCCCACAACCTTAATTTCAGAGTGCTTCCTGCTGGATTACGGAAACTTGTCTTGTGGTGCTTTAGCTGCTCCCAGTTTTGTCAGTTCTGGCTGTTTTAAATTGCTAATTTATGTTATAAATTTATTCTAAGCATGTCTTTATTCATGGACAGTTTATCACGTTAACATCAAAACAGTGGAAAGGGACTATGTCTGAGTATTAGCAACTGAGAATCTTGGAAAATTAGTTGCCTGTAAACGACTTTTGTCTTTCTCTGCCTTAGTTGTTGCAAAAGTTCATAAAGGAGTTCCTGCATTTCTTTATGTTTATTGGTTGGTATTAGAGGAGTGATGTACCAATTTCATGTGAAGGCACTGCAAGCTCATTCCAAATGTATTTGTCTTAGTACAGAAAAACCACCGGATGGACACAGGCCCTATCCTGAAGGACAATATGATCAAATCTATGACTGACTTTATTGATGTCTCTTTTGTGCAGGAGTTCTTTGAAGAGATGATCAACCAGGATGCACCTGCTGCAGCCTTCATGAAGAAAATCACATCGAAATGCTGGGCGTACTCCAAAGAGGCCATGATGAATAAGAGAGATGTGTACTTTGGACCTGCTTTTGTCTCCTATGATGCGTATGCGATGTCAGCGTGTATTGATGGCAGTTTGGTTACAGAGAAAATCGAATGCCCCGTCCGTGTGGAGCTGCAGGGTTCAATGTGTCGAGGCATGATGGTACTGGATCGCACAAATCAGCTGAAAAAAAACCACAGTGTGTTTGTTTTGGCTAAATGTGATGTTGACAAGTTGAGTCAGTTACTCAGGATGTCTCTTAGACAACCATGCAAGAAGTAATCTTTTAACTCTGTTATCCGGGATCAACTTGAAATATTGTTAAATGTACCATTTAAAATGGATGATTGGTAACCACTTGTGCATGAGCAACTCTTTGATTAAGGTGAAATTTCTAGTATGCATAGACATGGAAAGAAGAGGGAACTGCAGCTGTAAATGGTACATGTTTTTTCTGTGTGTGCATTCATTAAGAGCTTTAAAAACTAATGAAAGAACCTTAAAATGTACTCTAACAGACACAGGTAACCAATGCAGAGATTTTAAATTTGGTTGGATCTCTTCCTGGTGATGATACCAATGTGATACTGACGAGATACAAAAGCAAACAAAACCAAAAGCAGCGAGACAGTTCATTTCTTATTCATTACTTTAATATCTGGAATGAAGCAGGTGAAACCCAGCAGTCAGATTGGACATCAGTCATCTAAAAAGGATGTAATATTACTATTTCACTGTTTGGTTTTTAAACTCTTTAAAACTCCTGCCAAAGGGTTGTCAGGAGCCATGGTTGAGTTTTTGTATTGTATTCATGGTCGAACCTAATGTCTGTTGATTATTGTAACCTGGTGTTGAAAATGAAGCCAATGTAGAAATGCATCAAAAAGATGCAATTCTTGAGTGTCCACTAGAGGCTGCTTGCAAAAGCCAAGGAATTCACATTAACACAGATGTTAAAATGCTTTTTTTTTTTTTTTTTGCAGAAATATTTAAACATATTTACTTCATAGAATAAACAACATAACTTTTGAGTCATACACACTTTTCAAAAAGTGATTTTTTTATTACGCAGTTGTTTTGAAGATAGTAAGACAATAATATCAAGACAGAGAAATATATTAATTTTTTTTGTTTATTTTTTTCTTTTTAATTTTTTTGCAGTTTCTTTTTTTTTGCATTTTTTTGCAAATTTTTTTCCTGCAAAATTTATTTTGCTGTGTTTTTTTATTTTTATTTTACCTAATGTAGGATGAAAGAAGAGCTGTCAAACAATAATATCAAGATAGAGAAATATACTTAATTCTTTATTTTATTTATTTATTTTTGCAATTTTTTTTTTTTTTCCAAGTAAAGCAAGGAGTTGGGGTTTTTTAAGTCCTGCCTCTGCCTCTCTTAATGGCAGGGATGATTGGGGGTCATGGCCCATTTTTGAACCTTCATAATGGACCGATATACTGTACGAAACAGACACAAGAAAAGAACTAGCTTGTGACTGCTTGTAGGCTACTCTAGAACTATAATAGCATAAAATCACATCATGCAGATTAAAAGATTAAAACAAAATTACACTAAAAGCCAGACTGAAAAGGTTTAGTTTTTAGTTTACTTTTAAAAATATGAACGGTAGGTGTCGCTCTCAGGTCTGCAGGTAGGCTGTTCCACAGATGGGGACCATAATGTTGGAACGACTATTCACCATGTTTTAGTTTTTACTTTGGGAACAATAAAAGACCACCACCTGAAGACCTGAGGGCTCTACCAGGCTCATAGCAAATCAGACAAATAAGAAGGACCAAGACCATTAACCCACTGTTTGATTTATTTGTGAATCCCACAATAAATGTCCTACATGAAAACAATGATGGGTCCAGCAAGGACTTAACTCCATACATGTAGAAAATCACAGAGGAAATAAAGTGGAGCCATAATGTTTAAAAAGCGGGATTAAAAAAAAGAATCAAGTACATTTTCTTCTTATCCTTTTTCTTTAAGTTAAAAATGCTCTTTAACTTTGCCAACAGTATGATCTTACAGCTGAAAACCAATGTGGAGTGGAGGTGTTAGATGTTTAAACAAAATCCATAGACTCTGAAGTTTAGCTTGTTTTCTACAATATTCTAATGTTTTGAGATTGTGGATATTTTTGTGAGCTGTAATCATCAAGACTCAAACAAAAAAGGCCTTTAATTTTTCACTTTGAGTGTGATAAATCTAGAATATATGGGAGTTTCACTTTTGAATTGAAAAATGGGGGAAAATAAACTTATTGGGGATGTTTTAATGTTTTGAGCTGCGACTGTATATTTACATTTTCCAGAGATGTAAAAAGTGAAATGAAAAGCTATTCATTTAAAATGCACTGAAAATGAGCTTTGCACCCTTCTCAGTTATGGTTATGTGAGTAAATCCAAATATTATCAGTTTCATCTTGAGAACTGAGGCCAAAGCAGAAGTGGTAAAAAACTGCAGCTCCCAAGTGCCTGCTTGAGGATGACTGCAGAGGAAGGAGGTTGACCTACCTCAAAGCTTGGCTGAGCCAGGATTTCCAATACAGCGACTGTCTCCGACATAGCTTCAAATCTTTTTAGCAGATGTTACATCCAGTTATTATACAAGTCGTTATTTTTGTGCCTTATTCCTGAGCACACAAAATAATGTCTTTGGCAAGAACTTAAAATTATATTAAAAAAATAGAATCAAGCAAAAACAGGAACCATAATCAAAAATGTGTTTAAGAAATAGTTTTTTTAACAAATTATTTTTGGCTTTAAAGTTAAAAATCAATTAGGAAAGATAAAACACAAAAATAAAAAAAAATCTCAATTCATAATTGTACTTGAACAAAAACTGTATTTTTTTGTTTTAAAAATTGATAATGTATCAAAAGTTCCTGCTCACAAATCCACTCGTAAACAAGTTTTTAAGACGGCAGCTCTATGATACTTTCTTGGCTGTAACAAGTTGTAAGTCTTTACAACTAACAACTTGTTTCTGCTGCCATCCAGAGGCCAAAGATCAGTTATTACAGGTGAAGATGGGATTAAAAAATGAAAACACCGTAACGATCTGCTGAAGTCCTTTATTAAATCTGCTGACAAATAGAGATGTTTAATACAAACGTCCAACATAAGAGTTGATGATTACCGACCAATTTATCTCACAGAGAACTTTGAGTTTCCGGCCACAGTCCAGTTTAAAATGAGGAAAAATGAACATTCATCAAACTGTTTGGGCTGTTTTGGTTCTGAAGAATAATGATTCAGACTTTAAAAGATCCCTGCTGCATAATAAAAGCCTAGTGCAATAATTTAAAAGCAAATGTGTTTCAAACCAACGTTTATACCAAATCAATCAAACTGATTGTGATTCCACATGGCTTCAATTAATATCCAACATTAATACTGAATTTTAGAGCCGCTGTGTATCAAACTTCAATAGCATTTCCAGCCTTTCTAACAGCAAAATGTCTGCACTGGCATTGGCATATCATGTTATGATTTAGAGGGCTTCTGTTCAAACAAATTCAAACCAAAATGTTTCGGCCCCCATTCAAAATAAAGCTGCAGAGAGAACTACCATCACACTTCAGATAATGTTGCTTTCTGTCGGGATTCTCTGATCGTAAAATAATTTGATTTAGCGTTCAGGCTACATCACATTAGATGTGCTTCTGTTAAGTGCGGTCATGTGCTGATTCAGTTGCCGTTGTCTGAAGAGCTGGGCCAGGGCTCAGAGCTGCGCCTGCTCAGGGTGGGGCGCCACATACTCCACGGGTTGTAGGTCCAGCTCATCTCGGTGGTCGCTGGTGGAGATGGGGCAGGACTGCTAACAAGATCGGTCAGAGTGGTCGAGTTGGTGGTTGGAGGGAAAGGGTGTAAGGCTGAATCTGCGCTCGTTGACCAGATGGAGCTGCCGAAGGGCGTGGTTGTAGACCAGGGATTGCGGGCGTTTCCCAGGAGTGACTGTGGGGGAAAAGGGGAGCGTTACAACAGTGTGGAGACACTTCAAGGCTTGAGACAGGAAAAAAGGCTGATACACTGTCAAGCATGCATGCCACAGTGGGTGTAAAATAACAAAAAAAGTAGTTACTGCAGTAGGTGCTGTGGGTGAGCCGGAGCTACTGGGCCAGGAGTGCAAAGGGTCGCTGCACGACATGTCCCAGATGGACGAGGGCACAGGGGTGAACTCAGGCCAGCTCTGCTGAGGCTCTGACGTCTTTGGGAGATTCATTCCACTGAAAACTAGAAGAAACAAACAAACATAGGCCTCAGTATAAATGTGGCAGGTCAACCTTTGACTGTAACACCAGCTCCTCCACATTCATCTGTTAGCATGAATACTTTACCTCCTGTCAGGTTGAAGGAATTGTTTGGTCCAAAAGCAGAAAACGAGTTGGCAGAAGAGAAATTTGGGCTGCTGGCTGTGTCAATGGGACTCCATAATCCAGAGCTTCAAGAGAGAAAAACATTCACAATAAAAGGTGTCAGAGAAAATCTGCCAATAGAATAAGAAAAGCTACTTTTCTGAAGTCCATTAAATGAGACACTTTTTATTTCAAGAATCTTGAAGTCATTATTCCATATTCCATTTCTTCTGTCCTTACTCACTGAAAGTTATGCAGGTCTTATTTTTGGCATGTAATATCTTGAAATGAGTCTTTTTCTAGACTTAACAGGTGACAGCGGCTTAAATTAAGACTTTTTTTTAAACTTAAAATAAGAAAATAACTTGCTTAGATTTGACACATAATCTTTTAGTATTTGTTTTTCTTTTAAAATACTCAAACGTCAGAAAAAGAGGCCTGCATTAAAAGGGTTAATGTGACATGTGTTGTTTTATGTAAGTGTACATTCTCTGTTCTCCTGTCCTCACCTGTCAGAGCTGTCACTTTCCACTGATGTCATGTGTGCCAGACTCTTTGCTTGGGTGTCAGTTTTACCTGGACCAGATCCACCTGAAAAGAGCATAGGACACTGTCTTGATCACAAACCAAAGAAAAAATAACACATTCACTGTGACGAAGTGTTGGATGTCTCACCTGGACTTTTGTCATATCCAGCAGCTACAGCAGCAAAGGTGGGGTTCCCGTTTTTTCCTGGTAGTGGGGTGGCTGCAGACAGTTTGTTCCCTGGGGCCTTTTTCTGGTTTCCCTCACTGCAGAAACATCAACATTACAACATGGATAAAGGTTAGTTGTTGGTCTACTGGAAAACAAAGAGTACCATTGTATTTCACTCTACTGGGATAAACATTCAACTCTTTTTTAAGCAGGAGGATGCTATTTCTGTCAACATTTGGGCTGACTGCTGGAGTCATGTGGCTTTGCTGGACAGAAAATTAAAAGGTCATAATTATAGTTAGAATGTGATTTCATCAAACTGCATTTTTGATAAAAAACTCATCGATTTCACTGACACTTCAAAAAGAGTTTCCTCTTAATAGATAGGGATCTATATTTTGTTTTGCTCACAAGAACTAAAAGAGGAATTTTACAGCAAAATAAATAAATCACACCCCAATAAGATGATACAAAACAGCTCTGTAGGAACACCTTCCCAGTTTGAATCTCTGACAGAGTCTGTACCTGTTACTGTTGAGAACGCTGCTGTAGGTGCCTCTGAACACTACGCTGGGTGATGTGGGTGGAGGTGAGCAGGCCCCGGCTGTGACGGATCTTTTCAGGAAAGGATCTGCATTTATCGTCTGGAGGGAAATCTGCTGAAGACTGTCAGCTTCTGTGAAGGAAGGAGGAAAATTGAACCTTTAAGTGGCTGATAGGTGACTTCTCGAATCTTCACTTTTCACTTTTTGCACATATCTTAAACCAATTATAAAAAGATATATGAAGTTCATATAATGTACATGCATAATTAACCTTTTTACACAAGGACGGTAAGACTCTGGGGAGACCAACATCAACGTTTATAGCAGTTTTTTACAGTAAAAGAACATTTTCCTAAGAATCAAGACTGGCGCAGCATTTTTCTTTGCAGTATTTGTCTGCTGACTGAACACTGCACTCTTTAAAAACCTTCAGGGTGCTGTTGGCCTTGCAGTTTGAGCGTGCTCCATGTACAGAGGCTATATCAGAGTGTTGCTGAGTCACTGTTTTGTGACATTGACAAAGTATTGTTTCATATCTAATTGTATCAGACTCTGGAGGCTAGGGCACCAAAAACTTCTGCATAGTCCAAAAATAGAGAGGACATCGGATGCTATGAGAGGTTCCAGACTTCAACTTACGGACGCTGTTTTTGGAAAGAGGAACATCCCACTCTGGGGGTGCAAACTCCTTCTCCCCCTCTGAGCTGCTGCTGTGTCCGAGCTCTGGCACCGAGCCGCTGGTGAAGAGCTTGGACAACAGAGATGGGCGTCCATCTTCCAGCTTCCCGTCTACTGTGGAAAAAACCATGACACAAACGCACATTTAGTGGAGAATCAAAGAGCAGAGGCAGAGCTTCAGATTCAATGCAGAGAAACTCACATCTTTGCTTCTGTATGGGCCGGCTCTTTGGGATGTTGGAGAGTGGATACAGAGCTTTGGATGTGAAGCTCTTTCGTTGTTTGTTCTCCCGTGGTGTGACATATGGCAGCTCCAGAGAACTGAGAGTGATACTGGTTTGTCAAATTAAACAAGATGAAGAACAAACTTTAATACAGAAACAGACAAGAATGACAAAGTACAAAATTCAACATCAATACCACAAGTTTATAAAAAACATGAACAGATAATAATAGAAATGACCGCTGGGTGATGAATGGTCTTGTGCTACATACTGGAAAAAAATTACAAATGTTCTCTCACAGAAGCCGACATGTGTAAGACAAGGAGTAATGAGTCACACAGCGTGTTGGACACAGATAAATGTCCTGGGTGTGTGAACAGCAAGTTCCTGAAAATATTACGCCTACATGAGCTGAAATGATGTGGAATTATTATCTGGAGTTCCCATGTTACAGGGACTTCAAAAGTCTATGTTTAAACAGGCCTCACGGCTCTTGACCACTTCCCTCAATGAATAAGCATTCTCATTTAGACTAAGGACTGGAGAATATGACAGTGAATGAGCTGTATACGTTGTAAAATTACCTTTAACTATAGAAACTATAGAAAGAAACAAGAACATGTGTGATAGACTTCAAGTGTGACCCACCTGGATTTTTCTGCTGGGCTTTCTTTCTTGGTGGTCACTGGTTTCTTGGTTTTCGGTTTGATTAAAAAATGTGAAGGTTCTTCTTTTGCTTTCACTGTTGTTACTGTTCGTCCTTTCTTTTTGACTGGTTCCTGGAAGAAATGATGGAAACATTTACAGGAAGACCACAACTGTTGTTTTTCAACATCCATTATATTCACTGGTACAAGTCCAAATCAAGAAAGACAACAACAACTTCTCAATGATTGAAAAGTTCTATAAAATTACAAACTGTTGTTTGTTTTTCTCTTTTGTCATTCTTATAAGATAATTTGAACGTAAGCGTTTGCCAAACTCAAACTAGATCCATCTAAGAACAGAACAGCCTTGACGGACAGACAGATGGACTATAACGTTGTTTGTGTCTCATTTACCTCTTTGATACTGGTCTCCACATCTGGGTTGGAGGTCTCTGTGGTGGTGGAGGAGCTGTCATCGTTGTCGGCCAGGTTATCTTTGAGCTCGTCTCCCTGAGTCTTAGCTGATGATTTTTTCTCCTTCTCCTCTTTCTTCCTCTGGGCTTTTGTTTTGCCCCGCAGCTTCCCTTTAGGTTCCAACACTGCAGGTGACAAACATACAGACCTCAGTTTTTTGTAAATGTCTCACAAAGCCTTGATGTCTCCCTGCTTTGTCTTCATGAAAATGTGTATTTACCTTTGTTTTGTATGGACTGAGAGCTTTGCTCCTGGAGATTCTCCCCGCTGAGTGACTCTGGACGGTCGAGGTCGTTGTCCATCGCTCCGATCAGGTTGGCGTATTCTGAATCTTCAGAGCCGAGGCCTCTGTGGGCTGAACTTTGGCTATGGAGGTCCAACTGTTTGGTGCTCCTAGCTTTGCGGTTGGTGAGCTGGCAGGCAGGGCCTTCCTGTCCTGAGGCTGTGCTTCCTTTGCTCAGCTGAGAGGAGGAAGCTTGCATAGAAGAGCGGCTGAAGCTGGACCTCTTATCCTGGCTGTCTGAGTCCGACAAGGTGCGGCCCTGTCGGCCTCCACCCCGAGCTGCTCCGTTACTGGACACATAACCTCCTCTGGAGCTCTGGGCTGAGTCGCCGTAATCATTAAACCTGATGGAGCAAAGAAAAAGTCAGTACACTGCCATGCCTCATTGACACAATGATGCATCTACACTTCATCCACTTATACCACACTTGTTTCTTGTGCAAAGACAACAAATTCCTCTAATAAATTCCTCTCTAATTTCTCTACAACACATCACTAACAGTCTAAAGAGAGGAGCTCAGTTTTCAGACACAGATAAGAAGTTCAACCTCTTCAAGTTTCATTGACATGTAATGTTCTACTGAGAGGTAGAGAATAATCATTTCCTTTTTCCTCACAAAATTTTATTTTATCTTAAATTCTCACACTGTGTGCGGTTGTGTGTGTGTGTGTGTATGTGAGGGTGGGTGTGTGTCTCTGTGTGGGTGTGGGTCCATGGGTGTGTGGGTGGGTAGGTGAAAGGGTTGGGTTTTTGTCTTTATTGTTGTTTTTAGCCTCTGTGAGGCACTTTGAATTGCATCTCCTTCTGTATGAAAAGTGCCATATAAATAAAGTTGAATTGAAATTGAATTGAATTGAAACACATTTTCAGTCTAACAAATGTCGACTTTGATGAAAAGAATCAATTCAAGTTCTTGGATTTTTGGATTCTTGTGTTTTTCAAGTTTTGTTTGTGACTTTTCATGACTTAAATAGGAAGAAAATGCTTGGAGAGATTAAACTACCCCTTTGGTTTTAGGCTGGAGGCTACCTGAAAAGCTCAACAGCAGGTATTTTTGAAAGAGTGTGGATTTGAGTTTTTTTTTTAAAATAACATTATAAACCAGAAGTCGGGACAAGGATATGTTGCTGTTTCTATATTTGTCCCACCGCTTTTTTACCTGAGCTACAACTTTACCTTTTCTTGTTCACACTTACTTTGAATCACTGTGAATTTGCACGATTTCCCTGAGATTGAATGGTCTCCCAGTCTCCAAAGTGGAGTTGGACTCTACCGACACTCGTCTCTTGAAAGGCTCCCATATGCTCTGAGCCTCCAGGTAAGCGGTGGCGATCACCAACAGAAACATGGCGCTACAAGAGACACACAGAAACAAAACAAACAGGAATAAATGTTAGCTTAGTTGTACAACATGTTCAAGTTCTATATTTCAAAGCTTTGAAGGATCTGCTCGAGGAATAATTTTCACCTCATAATGAGAGACACTATGATGTAGAGCTCCAGCTCCCAGCTCGGTCTGGGCAGCGTCTCTGCACATGTGGCTAACATGTGGTAGGGCAGCGAGGCGTTCAGGACAAACACGAACTCGGAGCCTCCACATGTCACTAATTTCAGCTCCCGGATCACTCGAGATGAAGTGAAGTCGGGTGTAAACCTGGAAGAAAGGGAAGCAAACTTTAAAATAAAGCTCTCACCCAAACAAAAACATCTTTGCTCTGCATCTTCTATTGGTTTGTTTGTCTGTTTGTTTGTTGAAGAGTCTACAAAGAAGTACTCAAAAGTCTAATGATGCATCTGTAGAGGTCGACCCTTCAGTCGAAGAATCAAACCTGTACGGGGAATTTTATTTTTGTGGCTTTTTGTTCCAACAAAATCAGCAAATTCTTTCCTGACTGACAAACATTGTGAAGTGAAAGATCCCTGCAGTGAGGCATGCTGCAGGAATGCTCACAACAGTTTCAGATTCTCCTCTTATTCTCTCACTTCAAAAACATGCATGACTCACAAACTGAAGGAAACAGAGACAGGGAGAAAGCATCAAGCACCTCAAGCTTTTGAACAAGATCCAGTTCAAACCTTTGGTGGATCTATTCAGTTATTCTGAAAATCAAATCAGCTGTACTCAGGATTTTACTCCAACAACAACAGCTTCAGAGTTTGCACGTCCACCCTCCACTGACAGTTTCACACTCTTGTTGTTTTTTTTACAGTTTACAGCAGGTGAGTTTATCAAATTCAGAAAACCAGTCAATAAGTGGCTCTGATTTGATAAATGTGCACGTGTTGGTGATAAGACCTCCACGGGTCTTTATCACATTTAGGCAGATCAGACCTCTGCTCAGGTTAAAGTTCACTCCCTTGGACTGGTTATATTGATAATGATGACAAGGTCCTGATCTTGTGCATGATGGTTCAGTGATACCGGGACTCTTATTGATGATAGTGGGCATCTTGATAACAGTGAGACAGTGTCATAGCAAAACTGACTGTGTACAAAAATGCACCTCCAGCTCTAACTGTAGCAAAAACAGAGCTGACATATTGCTCTTGAAATATATTTGGGGATTAAGGCACGCTGACCAAAACACACACTGAACTTGCCAATAAAATGTCAAAGATCCTCAGGTCAGTACAGACCACAAGTGAACGGACTTTTATGTTGAGTTCAGGGTCCAAAGGGTTCATCCTCAAATAACCTCATTACAAAAAGCCTCAGAACACAAGTCTAAAAAGCACAGATGGTTATTTCTGTAGAACAGTGCATTTGCTTCCACTGCTGTAGTTGTGGGGCACAGATTGAACATTTTGCAGAAGCACAGTAAGATTGGAGGTCTGGATGTGCAGACTAAAGCACCAGAACTTGAAGTTGTGAAATGTTAATCTTAATGTCCAGAGTTGCTGTTAATTTTGAGTTTGAGGAAGAGGAGATGAAATAAAAAAATTGCTTTCATTTGTCAGGGTTAACTTGAACTCTGGGTGATGAAAAACAAAGAGACTTAAGGGGAGCAGAAGAGGCAGCTGAGAGACAGAGAGCCAATTCATCCTCTTACCCAAGGCTTACTCAGCCAGAGAGGCTGAAGAGTATTAATAGAGCTTGTGGCTGATGCAGAGCACACACACACACACACACACACACACACACACACACACACACACACACACACACACACACACACACGCACACACACACGCACACAAACACACAAACACACAAACACACGCACACTCTGGAGTCTCATGTAGTGTCTATTTACTCAGACTGACTCTCGGTCATAGTACAGAAACTGTAACATGCGCAGACTATTCCTCCACTGCTTGGTAAAAAGTAAAGGTTTGGACCTGATTTGAATGAAGCCATTACAGATTAACTGTTCTGAAGTAAAACACAAGTATCCTGATAATACCCATGATAATAAAAAAAATGTCCATATCCAAAGATAACTACAATCTCAGAGCCCCTCTGATGACAGTAGAGCACCTGGAATCAGGGTGAAATGATGTGTCAACAATGCCACCAGAGTTCACAGACAAAATTAACTGAAAACAAACTGAACTGTTAACAACTTCAACCTTTTACGACTGCATGTTCTTGTTGTTTTTTTTATTGCTATGAGCAACAACCTTGTTTTGTGGAGCTGAGCTGCAGAAGAGTGAGCCATCTCACTTCTCCACTATCTCTGCTGAGATCCATTCATGCAAAACTCCCACTGTTTTGCATGAACAAGCCTGAACATGAATCAACCTTCGTTGATGCAACATGATCACATCCTAAAAAGTCTGACAGTGTCTCTCTTTTAACCATCACCTTTTGCTCACTTCTTTTTAAACCCTACAGTCAACAACTTGAGCTAAATAACATCAAGGATAAGATGAGGTCTCACATCATAAAGGGTTTGTTTCTGTAACACAAAACTAAGAACTTGGTCACTTCAGGAAGTTTTTGTGGTCTTCTGGTCTAGAAAAAAAAGACACAGTATATACACTCACAGATAAGGAGAGAACTTACAGGATTATGAGGTCTTTTGATGTGTTTGGCTTAAGTGCAAATTCTTGACAGTTGAGAACTTTAAATCCGTATCCTTCACACGCTTGCCCGTTAATTTCTGCTGATTTGATGGTGATGGGGAGCAGGCCGGTGTTCTCCACTCTGAAGGTTCGTTTGAGGGTGAAGTTCGGCTCCTTGACTTTTGTCTCTGAAAAACACGAAAGAGAGAATTAATGCACATTCATCAGTCTTAAACATTTCTCTTTTATAACATTGAGGATGTTTCATTACTAATTGAGTCAAATTATTAGTCTACATGAATTGTCACTGAGTGTATCCTAAAGCGTCTTATTATGGGTGGAGATCAGATACAACAGAGAGCTGAAATGCCTATTTAGATGGAGATCTTTCCTTGGAAAAAAAAACAGTTTTGAAAAGGAAACTTACAGTGTTAATGTTGCTTATAGGAAAAACAGGAGAAGAGTTTCGAAATACTGCAAATCTCCAAAACCACTTGATTAGTCATCCAGCTCTCTGCATGTCTGAATATGACTTAGACCTGACTGCTTTCATAAGTTTCAATATATGGCCGTGCAGTTATGCTTTCAATTTGCTGAAATCAAGTAACGCACCATTGGCAATAAACAAATATTTGAGAGCTGTGGCCATCCCGAAACTGTGTGCAGAAAGGAAAGTGTTGCAACTGTGAGGACTAGGACTTGTTCTGACAAAGCATCATGCATCAGTATAAAAAGATCAGTTGATCCTTTGCATCAAAACTCACTAGAGCTGATGTAAAGGGCTGCTGCAATGACATTCACATCCTAGATTTACTGTATCTATATGTATCACGATTCTACAACATAAACATATTGAGCATAACATCATCAACATCTGACCTGGAATCAACACGATGGATGTAATATTATGTTAAGGGACTTACAATACGACAAAGCTTTGTGATAAGGGGAAAATTAATCAAAAGTGTTATTACAATACTGATACTGTGTGGTGTATTTGCCAAGTTTAACATATTTATGCAATTTAGCAGCTCATGGAAAACGACAGTGAGAGTACAGATCAAATCATATAAAATGTTGTTGTCTGTAAAGTATCATGGAGAACATGTTACGTCTGGAGACACCTTGACTTCTTGTCCTCCTCCAAGTTACCCCATCTTTAAAAACATAATGGCAACCAGTACTTATGCAAGACTTTACACCTGCTCAGAGCCAGGTCTGAGTTTAAGCTGCAAAATTCATACTTAAGTTCAAATTATTACAGCTGTTGTAACAGCTAAAATATTTATTGTGCATAAAGTCCATCCTAAATCAGTTAAGATCTTTAACAGCATTAGTTCTAGGGATGGGAGAAAAAAATCGATGTAGCATAGTATCATGGTATTTTGTCTGGTGATGTATTGTCTCATTGACCATGTGTCGATTTTTTAAATTAATTACTAATATATATTTTTCTTGTGCTGCTATCCTGGCCAGGACTCCCTTGTAAAAGAGATTCTGAATCTCAATGGGTTTATTTCCTGGTTAAATAAAGATTACTAATATGAAGTCAAATCTATGATAATTGAAAAATAAAATCAACTGTTTGTCCTGTGAGGTTGGCAGAGGTGGCATCATAGAGCAGGAGAAAGTTAGTACAACAAATATATATATATATATATATATATATATGGTTTGCAAGATGTGCTACATGAAAATAAAATACTGTGTAAATAAAACAAACATAAAGGAAAAACAAATGCTAAATTGTATAAATCGCAATATATTGGATCGCAACATTCACTGTATTGCAAAATGTTAAAAATCGCAATCATATCGTATCGTGATAATATTGTATCGTGGGGCTACTCGTGATTCCCACCCCTAATTTGTTCCCTGAGAATCTCTTATATTTGAACAAAATTGTCATAACAGAAATATCCCAAAACAGATAGATCAGAAACCAAACCATAATCAAATCTAATCAGTGGTGATATAAAGCCTCATCTTTAATTGCAGTCCCTTCTTTGCAAACAAACACACACTACTCTGCCTTCAGAGTGGGGCTGACCCCTCTCTGGATCTGAACAGTCCAAAATTAATCTGCAACGCCCTGCTATGTGGTCGGTCTGGTGAGATCGGTACAACCTGATCATCAGGATTTCATTAACATTAGATACCATGAGGGAAACAGTCACACTGGTTTTAGCTGCAGAGATAGAAACTCACTGTCTGTGCAGTCTTTTAACAGAGCTTCAGTCATCTTAAACCGCAGTGAACTGCCTTGTCCTGGAGGCTTCCCTGCTACTTTCAGACTCTCTGTGGTTCCTCGGCCTTGAAGTAAGATGGTGTCGATTATGGTCAGATTATTCCTGAGAAGGCAAACAATGAGGAGCACTTTTTCAGGACAGGAAACACACATTTATTAGAAAAAGTGTATGATGTGAAGGAACTGAAGGTACCTGACTATAAGGAGGGAGGTGACACTGTGGTTGCTGATGGGAGTGAACCTCACGTTGAATGTTTTGACCTCTCCAGGCAGCAGGAGGAGGTTGTACACAAAGGGTCTGGTTGATCCCTCTACGAAGCCCGTGCTGCTCCTCATTAAGGACGTCTGTCAAACAAATAGAGAGCTTGTTAGAGACAAACAGCTTCCACATGCTGCTCCCACCACACACAAGTAGACTGTGATTAGTGATGCAGTCATAAGTCGACCTGCTGATTCAGTGAATTCCAGAAAGATAGGGAACTTGGAGGACTCACTTGATTTCTGTGAACCTGAAACTCCAAGGTGTTTGTGTCAATGTTGATGTTGGATAAATTTCCTAATGGAAACCTACAAAACAAAATGAAATCGCAGTCTGAGAAAGATGAGGAAATAAGAATGTAAAATGTGCTGCAGTGAAGAAGACTTCTCACCTGTCGGCTAACCTTCCAGTAAACACTGAGGGGTTTGGTAAAAGGGCCAGGGGGAGAACCTGGACATAGACAAGGACGTCTGCAGGATTCTGCAGGATCACCTCCTCCTCCTGCAGAGACAACATCTTTAAACATCCAAGTTTCTGCTTTTGCACATGCAGTAACAAGAGGCAGCTTGTTTGTACTCACAGAGGAGCTGTTTGTGTTGGTCAGGGGGAATGTAATTTGCTGCGAGGAGTTGATCAGAGAGGGCCAGGACAAGTGTGCTGTAACTTTAGCTTGTACATTTTTTTGAAGATCTGTGTTGACTTCAAAGACAGCTTCAACCCTTTAAAACAGAAAACATCTTGTGATTTTCTTTAAATTGCTTGTCGGTGTTGAATCTAATTTACTGAGACAATTTGATAACCGAAGCTGCAAGAACACTGAACTCTAACTGCTAAATATAGCTGCTGAAGAGCACAGCCAGTGCTGAGTCTTTTCACGAGAAAGCAGAAGGAAGAGGATAAACAGTAGCAAGACACAACAAGACAACAAACAGCTGAATTTAAACGTGTCACACCCTGTTATGGTTAGTATGGTTAATGGAGAGGTGTTTCTCTTTGTTTATTCAGTCCAGCTTACAGGGAAACTAAAGTGAATAACTCTGCAGTTAAGGACCAGACTCATGAAACTGCTTTAGACCTGTCTGAGGAGTTTTTTTACAAACATATTAAACAAATTTCTCGAGGAAACGTTGGTTAATGTGGTCCACTGACGGTTCAGTGCTAAGCCTTGTGAGTTTGGATTTTTAGTAGTTTAAGATTTGGGTTGAGGAAAAGGAGAGGAAAAATACGAGTGAAGACAGAAAATAAGAAAAATGAAGATGACGATGATCAGTAAAGCAGAGAACAGACCCCTTTCAGAGCAACCTGTTCTCAAAATCTGTCATACTTGTGTCCTGATCGCTCTTTCAGCTCTTTCCATCTTCTGAGGAGCTTCTGGTGAAGATCAACGTCAGCATCCCAGATATCCTCCTGTAACACCAGCCCGTGAGGCTTTGACTCGGCTGTGAGGGGGGAAAAGATTGTTTGTTACATCTTTGCCTCTTGTTTTTAAGATTTGAATACTACCTACCAAAAATAAATAAATACACTCACATTTGAGCACAAATGGCAGCCCCACATAACAGTGATCACCACACTGCAAGCCTGCGTCGAAATAAATATTTGCCACCTGAAAGAAATGTGAGACAGGAATTGAGCTTTATGGTCATGAGGGGCTGTGTTGTGTCACTGACCGTAAGATGAGGAGCTACCTTCGATTTACGTCTAGGCTCCAGCTCATCTTTGTTGTTTCGGAGCCGTTTGTAGTAAAACCGTATATCTTCTGTCAGAGAGCGGATCTGCTGGAGCCTCACTTTCTGCGTGAAAGAACTCTGTATGCTGAAGCTCTGATGAACAATTTTCCCCTAAAAAAAACAAAAAAAACAAAAACACACATGTACGGACATGTAAGGACCTGTAACACCTCCAGCGATCAACAGGAAAGTACTCTTCTCTAAATGACACTTAAACTCATCTTCAGTTAGTGAAGACCAGCTGTGAAACCTTTGCACACCAGCAGACTTTAATGCTACTCACTGGAAAGGAAGGCGGGAGAATGATGTGCTTTGGAGAGCTGTTCAATGTGCCCACCGCGATGAGAGCTTTCACTGGGATGGTTAATATCTGAGGGGGAAGAAAGAAAGAACAATCATGGCTCCATTAGACCGAATCCTCTTTATGCATTTTACAAAGAACAGCTCTAACAGGCTTCCATTGATGCTGCATACCTCATAATCTGTGGTTATGTGAACGGCTCCATCGTACATGCCCTCCAGCGCCTTTGCAACAAGTGTCACTCTGAATACTGCATAAAATCCGGATGCTAAAATCACCTTTAAAGAGAGAAAAATACCCAAGTTCATCTTTAAAAGCATGTTAACTTTGATGAATCACATAAACATAAAGCGCTAAAATGCTGATCGAACAGCAGCTTCATAGAAATCAGACACCGCCTTATTATTTGGTGTCAACCTTGAGACAAAACACACAATCCATGATCGATTCATTTGTGGGCATCACCCTCTAAGTCTTCATAAATATGTATATCTCATAAAAATCGACAACAATCAGGAAATATAACAACAGGTTCAGCCCTCACAGATTCTTCATTAGGGTGTGGTGTAATAACAGAAACAGGTGAGGTTTATTTATAAGATCACGCGGCAGGTAGGCTGAAACTCCACCTGCACACTGGGAGGGTCAAAAGACAGAAAGAGAGTACAACACCCTCTATGAGAGTTTGAGACAGGTTTTCTCCCTGCTGTAGATTTTTACGGGCTACGCCCTGAGGGAATAAAGGCTTTTTAACATCGTCCTTGATTCAAGTGCTCTTCAAGAGCTGCCTAGTCTAAAGAGTCTAAATATTAAGAGAATTCTTAGAATCACAAGTTTTTTATTTAATAAATTTTCCCAAAAAGTTAAGACTAAACTTATTCAGTTATAGCATTTTAGCTCTTAAAATATCTTAAGGAGTGAGGAGGACTTTTAGGAGGTTTAAGAGTTTCCCCAACTTATGAGGAAACAGGGAGAGCGGGGAAAATGGAGGAAATGCACTCCAAACTGCACTCACTTCTACACGCCAACACAACAACACTTATCAGGAGAAAGATCATGAACAAAATGACAAAACTGTAAAACAACCAACGACATTGAAGGTTCATGAATAACATGAGATGTCACACTAACAGTTCTGTCTCTCATGATGAACAGAAGAGAGCAGAGCCAGGGCAGATCACACTGTAGACTATTTTATCCATCTAAGATGTTAATCCTATATGGTGAAAATAATGCACTAACAGTGATCCCTCTGTTTAGGGTTAGTAGAGTGAATACAGGCCCTGGCTTTTACCTGGAGTTTACCACAATACCTGCGTTTTTTAATGGGTAGATATTAGCTCAAACACTCCCTTTTGCCGTGCTTTATTGTTACATTATTGAGAGCTAACTGGTGCAAAGTCAGTAGGAAAAGAAGATGAAGAGAACACGGTGGGATTTCTTATGTAGGCTGCCTAATGCTGCGAAACTCATGGTGATGGTGATGGTTATGTGGTGAATGTGGATCCAGAAGCAGCAAAGAAGTCTCTCTGTTTTCAGAGTGGCTGAAAGACTTTGAGTGGCTCTGCTACAAAAATACCACAATGCACTCTATCCACTGTAAAAGAAGGGGGCGGCAGCTAACACTTTGTTTGCCACGGACTTCGCGCATTTCAAGCCTGAGAGCTTTACCAAACATGGAGAGTGCCAAACACAAGAAATGCTGGGACGTGTGTGTGGAAGAGAAAGATTACGAATCAGATCGTATTTTTCTTTTGAAAACTCCACCCATTTCTGTGAAAGCGCTCGTAGTAACTTTGGGCTTTTATATCAGGTGTTAAACTAGCTTCATGTGACAGCCTGTTTTAGTCTCCTCTGTCAGGGTTTGTGAAGGGAGTGAACCATAAAAACCCCGTGTATGCTGCACTCACTTTATAGTCCATGAAAAATAAACAATAAGTGATAAAATTATAGATGTTTCTAAATATGAGGCACAGTTAATTTATTGCCATGTTTCTAATAACATGAAGCGACACTGCGGAGGTCTTACTGTTTTGTGTTGTGAGGCTGATGTGTTCTGCAGGTCTCTCATGCGACTCAGAGCCACTGTCGTGTTTCCTCTCTCGGTCTTGAGCAGCTCCATGGACAGACTGTCTCCTGTGACCAGCCAGGACTTGATCTCCAGCTGCAGAACAAGGAGGAGTTTTAAAAGGGACACAAATGACAACAGCACATAATACTCACTGCAGTCAAAGCAGCAGAGTTCATGTGAGTAAATAATCTATGACTGTGGAAATGAACATGTGAGTAAAGTCATAAAAAAATACCATGTGATTTAAGTGTCTCACACAGCGGACCTGACTGTGTTTTGGTTAAATCAGCAGGAATGACACTCAGGCCGCAAGTGAGTGCAGCAGAAAACCAGACTAATGTCACTGCAGTAGTTACATGTGTGAACCGACTCTCACCTCTATTGGGTTACTGTTAACCACCACAAACATGATGCTGCTGGTGTCTGTTGCGCTGCGAACACCGAAGTCTAGTAAGTTTTCCTTCAGACTGGGTGGCAAGACCAGAGGCTGTTCACATCAGGTAAAAGACATGGGGAAAAAAAATAAACACACCAGATTACACACGTATATACCAAGAAGTTTCACATCTACACTGTCCTACCAAAAAACACACAACTTTATGTGGAACTTTTGTTACAGGTACATATATTTTTACAACTGGGCCTTACTTTATATACTGTCTTTTGTGTTCTTAGAGAAATGTAAAAAGTTTTTAACCTTTGCATTGATAAATTACTTGAAACAGAAACGGCAAAAATCAACAAAAAAAGGCTTTATGTGTCCTCCTCATTTTTCCTTCTCTATTGAGCACAAAAACTTCAAACTCCTTTTCTGTCTAAATAGTAAATGCTCACAGCCTCTGCAAACCAGGAACTAAAAAAAGGCTGCAAACAGTTTGTTTATTGATTCATTTGCTCTTAGTGCAGCACTAGCTGTAAGGTAAACAGATGCCCTATAAATAAAATTAAGAAAGTGTGCCCTGACTTTGTACCTCCAGGAAGCCTGTGTAGGCTCTGACTGGCAGGTGAAACTTTGATGCGTTTGTGATGAGCAGGATGTTGCTGTCAATGTGGATGGAGGGTCGAACTGGCCGGAAGAGAAGGCTGAAGATATATCGTGACTCATGTGGGGGGATAACAATGGCCGCAGTGAAGTTCTGCACCTGAAACACAAACAGTGAAATCCCAATGAGCAAGGCGTACCCATCATTAGGACTCTGTCTGAACACTGGGCTGGCACTCACATTAAACATGGTTTTGGCTTCTTCTGGCAGCGACACATTGTGGATGCAGATAGCAAAGCTGAAGGCGTTTGTGAGGAAGATGGGTCTGTCCACGGGGTCCACTGGGCTGTCCCTGATGTGGAACAGTGTTGCTGTGTGGTCAAAGCCCAGGTAGCTGCAGCGAGATGTGACAGAGCAGAGAAACCGCTTATAGAACCACTTTCCTCTTATATAAAACATGACTCCCCCACTCTCCCTGCAAACCCACAGAGTCACTCACCCTTCTAAGACCTCCGCCTGGTACGGGATTTCAAGCTTGGAGTAAGTCTTTTCTTTTGCTTTAACTGTTATTTTTCCAGAGAACTGATACGGTCTTCTTGCTTTTGAGGCTGAAATGAAAATAAAAACAAGATTAAAGCAGCAGATAAATGCCCTGCAGAAGCACGCAGGGCCTGACAGGAGGAAGTTGTGCAACACTTAACTGTAAAGTGTTAAAAACCACCAGAGAAAAAAACATGATGGAAACTCTTAAAGCTAAAGAAGATCATAATCGAGACTCTACTTTTATTATGAGAAAAGAAAAAAATGAATTTATCATTCTTTTATTTTGAACTTTCAGCCAGTTAGAGGAGGTTGATACCTAAAAACACTTGATTACTCATGTTTTCTTCTGTTTGTGAAGTAAAGACAAATCAGAGGAAACTGACATCATGCAAACTTTGCAGTTCGAATTTAAAAAGTAACCGTTTCCCTGTTTAGAGCCGAGTCTTACAGGAAGTGGTGTCTCTAAATGCACCATTTGACACCACTTGAAGACGCAAGTGTGTATTTCTGCTTTATGAACACACCTTTTGCAAACAGTCAGCTTGAAACTAGGAATTTAAAGCTGCACTGTAGCATTGAAAGAAACTTTTCTTTGCTTAACTTATTTTCCTACATAAAAAGCAAACAAGGTAGAAAAAAGAAAAAAAACACAACAATATAATTCAACACCAAAAGAATAAGGTGCCTAAACCACACCTCAAATTACAGGTGTGAAATAAACCAAAAACTCTTAAGGTCCTTAAGTTTAAGTTCACACACACTTCATGACGGCAAAAACAGTTCACTTCACACCAAACATGTTTCAATAATGGCAAAACTGCTTCATTTAGTGAAACTGTTTTGTTTTTGTTTTGTAGAATATTTAAAAATTTTGCTGGGAGATTTTTGTAATTTGTAAAACAATTTTATTTTTTTGTTTCATGAATATGTTTTTGTAAACGTCTGACAGAACAGTTTTGTGTCATGGTCATATTTCTGGAGGTCAGTGAATTGTTCTTGAGTCCATAAATGTTCCTGTTGTCGACCTTCCGGGCCAACATCATACAACTGTCCTGCTTAGATAAGTGTGATAAAATCGAAGCCACCAACTCAGTATTTCTGCATCGCTGCTTCACATCTGTTAATTTCTTTGGAATCAAAAAGATTTACAGAAAACTAAACAGTCATCATCGGTTACATAACTTCCAGAGCAACCTTTTTTTTTTTAGCTTTTTAAAGTATGATTATGAAACAAATCTAAAAAAAAAACAATAGATGAGAAAACTAAGAGATGTTTCATAACATCTCTGATCATCAGGTTTTTGCATCTGCTGGAGGAACAGTATCTCCTCATTAGGAAATATTATCATGACCTCCTTTTTCAGAATCACCTGTCGCTTGTTTACTCTGATCAAAGTGAAATGAATAGCTAGCACAAAGTTGCATGTTTCCCTTTGAGTTTTTTGTGATGCATGCATGTGAACTCTTTAATAAATTCACCCATCTCTACACTATCTGTTGCACATGTGTGGTTAATGGATTAAATGTGGACAGAGCGTCCACTGTAATGGGACCATCAGAGTCATGACTGCCTTGGGGCATGAATGAACTTACCATCAAAGCTTATACTTGCAACTTTGGTATATCTGCTCTCTCCTGCTTTCAGTGTGACTGCTTTGAAATCTATTGTGACGGCTTCATTTGATGGCGTTGTGCGCACACTCTGTGAAGCAGACACACATGTTGATGTTACTTAAAGGGTTAACCGGGCTGTTAAAGGTTTTTAAGAATCTATTGAGGGCACTTACTGTTATGGGAACATCTTTTGTTCCTGAGTTTAAAAGGTGAAGGTTCAGGAGTTTTGGACGATCTGCAACACAGAGAGAGAGAGACAGAGTGAGCGATCAGCACAAAGGAAGAAACAACAAGAAAGTAGAGCGTCTTTTCTGGGACTGATTACCTTGTGACCGCAGTGTACCAAAGTCAAGCATCTCTGTGGAGGAGTAAATACCAGGCGCTGCAGGGATAAGAGAGAAAAAAATGTTTAACTATCAAGAAAATAAATGATCAAATGAGTTTAAAAAATTACATAAATGAGACACTGGTCATTTCTTAAAATTTGGAGCTGCACCTGATGTGACCTCCACCTCCACTGGGAGGATGATGAACTGGTCCTCGTTGGGAGCGTTGGTTTTGATTCTGATGAAAGCTGTGTGGTTGTCGACATCTCTCGACGAGAAGCTGGCTCTCATCACTCCCTTTGTCTCAAATGGAGGAATCTCCTGCGGGGGGAGGGGGGTAAGAGTGGGTGAAAAAGGGACTCTTCAGCTGAAAACAAAAACTCTAGTCCCTTTTAAGTATGATATACACTCCTGCAAATTTTAGGATTTCATCCTGCAGGGCTGCACTTATGATTGCAAAAAGCTTTGTTTGCCAGTCCAACTTCACTCAGGCATTGTCCTGTTACCTTCTTAATAATTTGTCTGCAAGAAATGAGGGTAAGCAGATGTTTAAAACCAACCATGGGAAGGTCAGAGATAGTCATCCTTCATGACCAATCTACCGCAGTATGCACCGATGGCAGTAACTTTTCAACATGCTTTTATGATGTCTGCCCTTTGCAGACTTATCTCTTGCCTTCCCTCCCATTGCTCCCTTATCTGATAAGACAACTCTATCGGGTCATGTGTATCAAGGACACTCTAATGTGAGGAGCAGACCTAAGCCGGTCCAAAAATTTCAAAGCAAATATCAGAAGCGCATAAGTGACTGTGTAATAAAACTTACCCATAATTTCCCAGTGCCTCCTTGTTGACCCGTAGGAAGCTCTAGGTGTAGATCCCCACCACTGGAGTACATCTCCACAACCTGGAATAAGATAGTGTGATGGAGTTAGACAAGGAAAAGCAACACAACCACCACTTTAAAGAACACATGCTCTTTTTAATTCACCTAGAGCTGAAATTAGTACTTTCTCTGTTACTTTACACCCTATTCCTGTGCTGTTTTAATCCCTTAGGTAATAACGTAATAACACCTTTATGTCAATGATGATCTTGTCCTTCAACACTTCAAATGCTACTAACCTGGCTCTAAAAAACAGGGCTGTGGTTAAACGTGAACTGCAGAACAATGACTTTTGGCCACTGTGAAGCAGACCCTTACACTTCTGTGCTCGTTGGTGTCATTTACCATGATATGTATTTCTCTAAAACACTGTCCTGACCTTAAAAAATAAAGCCAATTCAAAACTCAGGTGAGCTCACATGGGACCTGGGTGTAGGTGTTATCAGGAAAGTATGGGGTACTAGATACTAAGCAGCACTGACTGATGAAAAGAATGAAACAACCAAAACCATGTAAGACCAAGTGAAAAAAGGAGGCCATTGCAGGAGTGAAAAAAAACAACAACTGCAGTTACTTATTTTAGACTGGTTTCAATAGCCATGTAGACCCTTTAGAGCTCATGTTAGAGTCTGGTAGAGACAATCTTCTAGATCTCTGCAGCTCATTTCTTGTGAAATGACTGGTTGAATTTAAAAAATGGCTATGACTAAGAGTGATACATTCCCCTACACCTAAACCTGATATTCTGTGAATTATGTGTGTTACTTTTTAAATGAACTTTAAACATGGATAATGATGATAGAAAAAAGATCTATTTTCTCCCAACCAAATCATTCCTGCAATACCTGACAGAGGGTAAAACTTGACCTGGCTCCAAGCTCTACCCTTCAATGGTAAGATGGATCATAGACAAACTGAGCACGATCATAAGAGTTTTGTTAATTTGAAGTGATTTGTGGATCTTTAATGAATATAAAATGTTTGGATTAAATCTTCTAGAGCCTTTTTGTTGCACCAGGAGGGTAGGCAGCTCCTTGGACTGTCAAAAGGTTTAACTGATTTGAACTTCAGTTAACTTTGAACAGAATTCACTGATTAAGACAGTTTACAGTCATGATCAGTCCAGTAGAGCTGCACCTTTAATTGATAATTTCCAATCAATATATGACTGTTCAGCTATTCAGCCACATTTAAAGAAATTTGAGTAACAATTACAAGCATAAGAAACCCAAAATCACCTGTAGCGGTTCGCTGTACGGGTTGTGGATGTGTATTAGAGGTGAGAAGCTGCTGTTTACAGGGACTCGCGCCCCAATGAAGGGCCGCAGTCTGTAGGGGTTTGGGATACCCACCCCAAAAACCTTCAAGACAGAGAGGAAAATGCAAATTTAGTCACATTTCTCTTCAAACTAATCATCAAACCTATGAGACATTTATAGATTACCTGGTATGTAAACACTCCATGATGTGATGTGTTAATAAATAAAGTGTTTTCTACATTCCCAACTACTCGAGCGAGAAACACGACGTCAAACGATGTGTTCCCTCCAGGTGGAATTATCTGTTGAGAGAACAGATAAAGAAGAGCACAACAAACATGATGTACACTGCAGAAAAAGACATTTTCACAGCTTGTTATTCACACACTGACCCACAGACAGCTGAGTAAATGACCTTTAAGATCCCAACACTGACTTCTAAAACAGCTGACCTTGAAGGTTCACTGCTATGAAAACATTACAGCTACTCTCTAACTTCGGCATTTTGGTGGTGACCGTTTTTTTTTTTTTTTTTTTTTTGACCCACACTGGTTCCACTTTTTCTGTTTATATTGGCACAAATGTGTACAAAAATCAGCTCAGAAAAAACTTCAAATACAAGCTAATTATTCTGTCAAAAGGTCCTGCACATGGCCCCTATAAGATTTTCACCTTGGAACCATGCTTTACTGCTAAAATGCCTTCGATGTTGTCTTGGGGTTAAATTCCTAGAAAACATCAGAATTTTTTCATTTTACGTGGAAGTTTCACAACATTGACCTTTTTTATAACAGAAGTTGAGGTATTTTATAAGTTACTGTTATAGCTTAGAGCTCAGATAAGGACCGAACAGAGCCTTTTTGTGTCATTTCTGCAGCTGCATTCAGAAAGTCCAAACATGCAGATAGTGAGACGGGAAAAAGAGCAAAGAAAAAAAAAAAAGAAAAAAAAAACATGTTCAACATTCACGTCAGTGAGAGAAATAGATCACCAGATGAAGACATGTCGACAGAGCAAATAGATGAAGATATAAAAAATAGCGGCATGCACTTTAACTTGTTTATCAATTCTTCACCAAGATGTTTTTTTTTTAACTGGAACTTTCTTCAAACAGGATACGATAAACAAATTGTGGCTTTTTTGAGGCTCTGTTAGGTTTCAGAAGCATATACATATCCTGCTACAGCAAAAACACTCTACTTCCTCTTTTTTTCAGTAATACAAGAAGACAGATTATGATACCATGGGTTCTTGAGGTTTCCATCCAATCGTAGCAAACCAATAAGAGGCAAAATTAGAAATGCTAATCTGTGCTGTGTTGTTATTTATTCAAGCCCACTTAAAGTCATTGTTGACTGGACTTTTCAGTATGATAAGAGTTGTATTCTGACTTGAAAAAGCTCTGTGGCCCATTTTAAGTTAAATATTTTATATTAGTATGTAGGTAGCAGGGTGTTTTAAATCACAGAACATGTATTAAAGAGGTTCATTTCTTCTGCAGTCCTCATGTATTTTAAAGACTGTGAGCTCTAAACATAACCAGTACATCCAAAATTATATCACAAGAAAGCTGATGAGGATGTGCTGCTATGGAAAGATTACCAAGCATGTCATCATTGGGGCTATTTTTCTTTATATATATAAATAAACAATTATACTTGAATTTATAAAATGATCCCTAAATCAAAATTTGGGTCAGCCTGTTATGGCTTTAGTTGGTAGCCTCCACAGCACAAATAGTCATGCTCACCCTGTCAGTGTTTTAATTCACAAAACCACCTGCTCACTATACATGATGGCTTACATATCCCTCATATCATAGCTTGGTCTTGGTGAAGTATGACTGACAGGCTTGTTTTTGGATGTGGTTGGTCATATGCTGCTACCACATGTCCATACAGAAACTTTTGACTTATTTATAAAGTTGGTATCTGGTTCTCTAGAGGGGTTAGTAAAGCCTGCTGACCAAAAGACACCTTCGGTCCATGGGCCAGTGGTACAATCATGCCTGAATCTGACAACGTGAACAAAAAGTGATCCATTCTATTACATTAACATCTCCACATTAACCTACTCCTGTATTATGCAGGTGCAAAAGTTTTGCAGAACAATTTTAACTGTGACTGTATCCAAAAAAGGTAAACAGCGGCAGCATGCTAATGTTAATCTGTGCAGAGTACCACTGTGCGCTGTTTTGTTCTGCATTGATTTTGAAATGTTATTGATCATTTCTAAAGCTTTAACTGGCCTCACTTCAAATTACATAAAAGCTGTATTGACCCTCTCTGTGCTTGCTGGGTGAATTATGGGATGCTGGTTGTTATTATATCTCAGCATATGACTAAAAGTGCAGTAAGAGAAACCCCCAAAAGTAGGGTTATATTAAACCCCCTGAGCAGGACTTTCTATTTGTGCTGTCAAGCAGACAAGTGATGTTAGGTGAAATTCTCTAACTGTGTTTCTGGACAGAAAATATCATACTGCTCTCTAACTGTAGTCAAATTAAAATCTGTAGTGTGGATCATGTGAAAAAAGGCTCCACCAACAAGGTTTAGACAGCCACTTGGTCTGACACTCACCCTCACACAGTGAAAACAGTTATATTAGAGAAATAGTCCCACTTGCTTGTTACCATTTCCTTTTTTTGGTCATTTAACATATCAGTATGATTTTCAGTTTGTTTCACAACCGGCAAAAACCCCCTCACAGCAGCTTTTATCAAACAGGTTACTCTGCCATTTGACATCATGCCAGTCGTGCGTAAAAGTGTCATTAGCGAGAAAAATCTCAGATATGAGGAGACCTTGGAGAGTTGTCTTTCCACTCTTTAGTAGAAATGTAAAACTTGATTCCCGTAACACAAGACTAGAGGCCTCAGGCTGCTTTCCTGAACCTGAATGACTCCCCTCATACTGAATATCTTTGTGAACCAGAGCACCTGGTTTGGCCTGAAGCTTTTTATTTACCTTCACATTTACAGCTGACATGCACAGTAACTACCTGGACTTTGGTCATTTTTACATGGACCTTCTTGCAGCTACAGTAACAAAAAAACATTCAAGGGGCGCCACAATGCTTTCGAATTCTTCTCTGCTATATGTTCAGATGTAAATCACCAGTTTCTTCTCAGTTTGTTATCACATCAATCTGAGAAATCAAACCAATATTTATAATTATGTTAGTTTTTAAGAGCTGTGGATACACATAATTGAGTTTTTACCAAAATCAAATCAATATCCACACGTCGTCCTGATATGCAGACTTAAGCAAGTAGATGATTTTATTCAGGCTTGGTGTGAATGCGATATTACACACTGATTACATATGGCTATAAAGTGTTTCACCAGAGGCACAGCTTGTAAACACACAGCAGAAGCACCACATACACACCCTACCAGCTCCAATGCTACATGCAACCTTCATCTCCTCCCTCTCCACCTGTTACTACCTCTGAAGGAGGAGCGGAGCTGAGATTACTATGCCCCATCATTATGCCTCTGAGCGTTACAGATGAGGTGTATCAGTGGTGTAAATATTCAGCCTTGTCACGGCAGGATGTCAAAGCCTGCTGACAGCTGCTTTGACATTAGCAGGAGGCGGTACTCTCTTGTTAGTGTGCGCTGCTCTGAACAGTCAGAGGAACAAGGAAAAGACCAGGTTTAAGACTACGTTGTTTTCAGTTACACAACACGGATATATTTTTTTGGACCCACTTTGGTGTAAGGAAGGGTTAATCACTATTGCTTGTTCACTGAAGACATAATGTATGTGCGCAAAATACCCAAACTACTAATATTGCAAAATCCTGGTGTGTCATGGCAGAACGGGACTCCAGCAATGGTATTGAAAAGTGGCACACTTCTCTCCCCTTATCCCTTTCTATCTGTAAAGACACGTGACAGTACAAAAAAAAAACATTGAAAGGCTAACTAAGAGGTCATTTCAATGAAGTCTACATTTATGCCACACTCACACAGGTTCTTGTAAGGACAAAAAAGTAAAAAACGGTGTCTTAGATGACTTAGAGCTCTTATTCTGCAGATGGACTGTTTATGAAACAGCACCATCCTGTAGCTTATACAGTTCACATAATGAGTGTCTCAGGGCAATGCTTTTCTCAAACTACACAGTGTTCTTGCCTCAGTTAGAAAGTTTATGCCTGCGTGTACAGCAATGTGCCTACGGCGATAAAACGGGTCTTTCCTGTAGAGTCTTCACATGCAGTACAGAAAAAATGATTTATTTGCTAAGGTGTCAATGTGACAAAATGCAAAAGTATGACATTACTGCTAAGAACAAATCTGTGACCTAAAGTACTCCTTATTCAAATACTTAATTCAAAGAACCTGCTTGGACTTCATACTGTATGGTGTACATGAAGATCAAACTAGCACTTTCATTGACACCTATTAGCTTTCTAGAAATGCTAAAGAGATAGAAATATCAGAAAAGTTTGACTAAAACAGTTTGAAACACACTGACTGTGATCCTCTCCTGTTAGAAGAGAAATTTCCTTTAAAATTCAATTTGTGGAGACTATAAATAATGTCAGTAAAATAATCTACTGTATCTGATCCAACATCTGCCAAGTGTTACATTAAATGTATGCCAGTTCTGATAGATGACAGAATATTCCCATTTTTATAGCAAAAACTGACAGTTTAAGACTGAACTTCACAGAAGGGATTCACATCCTTTACCAGTTAATTAAAGCTGGCTCTAAATTACTGGCCAAGGCACTTTTTATATTTCTTTGACCGAGAAAAACTTCCTGATAGGTTCACTAGGATCTTACATTAGTTACAAGTTTGGTACAAATGCATCATCAGACATCTCCCCACAGTTTGCTCCAGATTATTGTGTCATTGTAGCTGAGATTACAACAAACTGTCAGCATCTCTGCTGCTCAGAACTGCACTCTCATCTTACCAGCACTTAGGAGTATTCAATGAACCACACAGAGGTCTTCACCATTTCATCAAAGAGTTGATTCATTACAGACATGGCGTAGTTTAAAGTTTAAAACCAGCTGACTGCCAGGAGTGGGCTAACAAAAACCAACTTGTCCAACAAATAAAGATGTCAAAGCAACATCAATAGGCTTTATGTATAGATCTGTTCTAAAAATGTCACCCTAGCTGTGTGTGACTTTTAGTACTGGTGGGGGTGGTGAATTAGGGTATCTATGTGTATATTTTGTTTGTGTTTTGAATTGCAAATGAACAAAAAACAGATGATTTATCAGCTCATTTCCATACGGCTATTTTTGAATCACGCCCTCATTTTTTTGTAATATGAAGACTTCTCAGACAAAGAATCTAATTCAAGCCTGCTTCATTTAAAGGCCTGGTACCTTCAGCTGGCTTGTATTTGAGGATTTAAGGCAGTCATTTTAATTCATTTATTTGGCTGCTTAAGTGTGGAAACATTTCACTGTATTTTTTATAGTTATAATGCATATGTCACACTGAAACTGCCCAGTGAGTGTCAAAAAAGACTCAAGTGTTCACTGTAACTTTCTATCCTTATTTCCAACCAGTAAAGGCAGCAGGGTCTTTCCACTCCACCCGTCCTCCTGGAATTCCCCTAAACTTCATCCTGATCAGCTTGTGTCATGCTGATTAAGCACTGTCACTGAGGAACAGCAGAGGAGTCTCTGGTGTGTTTGCATGTTTGAGTTGGGAGTCCTGATTCAAATAACAGCATGTCTTTCAATCACCAGGGTTTTCATGGGGCTGTTTAACAGTTTTATGTCCCAGAGTGCCTGAGTATTTGAGATCAAGCGAGGGAAAAAAAAAAAAAAAAACATCACCTGAGAGACAGAAGGATACAATGCGTTTTTTTCCTATCTTAATAACCATGCAATTAAATTGTCACGCTGATTTATTAATGTTTGAAAAATCCCCAAGAGGCATTATGTTCAAATAACAACGTCAAATCAACAAACTGCCAGAACAGCAGCATCTGTAATTACAAGATCACCTGCATTCCCCGAGTTCTTGTCAAACAAAATTAGGATTTGTAGTTCCTGTAAGGAATCTTAGCCGGTAATAAAATAGTATGACATCAATGCCGATGTATCTTCATAGCCAACAAAAGAAAAACGAGACTGTGTCTACGACATCATATGTCAAAAGCAGCTACCGGGGAGGAAGTATCAGTTGAGATTAACTGCAGAAGATGCCTCTGCTTTTTCTTTTCAGAACAAAAGACTCTCACTGACTGATTAATTTTATCTTAGATTTTCTATTAAAAATACTCCCCATGCAGAAAAGGAGACTGTTTGGTCTACAAGAGTCACCAAATCAACCCAACCTAAACGTTACCTTACAAAAGTTTGCAAAAAAACCCCACAAATGAGTGTGTAGAAAAGTGCTTTTTCAGTTAGTAGTACTTACCCTATTCTGGAAAAAGGAGGCGTGAAAATGTGCTGTTGTTGCTGATATTGATATCAAACTAATTTCTTCTGAGCTAGGGTTGTGTAAATAAACTTTCTCCATTTTTGGCATCCCAACGGGCCTGTAAAGAAAAAAAGAAGCCACTGTCAAAACACAACAAATAAATGACAATAAAAGTAAAACTCCCTGTACAATTATCTGAAACATTGTTCTAGTTAAGTTGTCTCAATGAAAAAAATCCAAATAAATTGGAACTGATCATGACCCAAATAGAAAAGACAATAGAAGAATTTAGCTGTAGAAATAGATATGCTATGTCACAGAGTTTGAAAGATATGAAGACAAACAGGAAAGCTGGAGATAGGTCAACAACTATGGAGTCATAAGTTTCTTTAAACAGATAAAATAAAAAAAAAAGTTGGCATAGCCTCCCTGTGTCAATAACCAACCAGGTGATTAACTGTACTCTTCACACAGCTTATGGTTCATTGAGAAAGACAACACACGTGGTTTTGCATTTTATAATCAATTAATCATTTATACAATGCTTTATATAACTGCATATCCACATTCAAAACACGTCATAAACGGCTTTGATTTTCTTCCTTTCCAGGCGGCCTGTGGTTTCAGACATTTTAATAGGGTATGAAAATCAGCTCCAACAGACTGGACACTTAAAGACACTTAATCATGACAATGTCAAATCATGCAACAACAAAGCAGCTTTGCCTGGAGAGGAAAACCTGTGAAACAGACTTAATAAGCACGAGATCGCTCATCTGGTCCTAACAGCAGGTATTTTTTATCACAGATAATGAATCTTTGTTGAAATTTGTCCAGCCAGGTACAACCTGAGCAGTAAAAACAATGTTCTTTTTTTTTCAAGAAAAGACTAGAATCCATTTAGCGTAAGTGCGTAAGAATGACAAATATTGATATTTTGGTCAAAATACAGATCTACTGAGTTTTGGGAAGTGTGGAGTGACAAAAGATGTGAGGAAAAAAGCACTTCAGATCTTCAAATTTGTTTGTATTAAAGGTTGGTTTGGTTTGGTAGTAAATCACACAAAAAGTCAGCCTGTGAGCCCAAACTATGTCCTCACTGCTCGCTCTTATCAGGAGCAATAGGACATTGGATGGACAAGTTTGAAAAAGCTAAATTAAACTAAGGAATAAAATATTACTGTGCTCTAAATGAATTTACGCTTGACTCTGACTCGCCACATCTCAACTTAATGACTGCCTACTGTAGTGCTAATGACATTTATCCTGCTAGTTACATTTCAGGGGCATTTGTAAACTCTAGTTGAGCCGATATTGTGATCTATCAGTACGTTTATTATTGCCTTTTGTACATCTTTGTCTTGTTTACCTTCATCTTATGTTCTTATGTGTGTGATTTCAGTCAGACTAATATGGCTACAAGAATTTTAAAAGTTTGGTTTTGGTCACAAATATGTATTGGCTATCGAATCCTTTTTTTGGGGGGGGTGGGCTTGATATAAATTTATATTGATACTTGATATAAAATACTGAAAGAAAATGCTAAAAAAAAATGAAGGGCAGGATGAATCTGATATAAACCATAAAGCAAAAAAGTTACATATTGGTACTCTTGAACAGCTGGAGTTTGTCTGGATGCTGTAGTTGGTCCCTGTATTATGACATTGTCATCAGAGGCAATACGGTGGGTATCATACTTTCATGTATTGTACCATATTGCATTGTGCTGTATTGTGACATAACATTTCCCAAATTATCTTGCAGTTATGGGATGGATTTCAACACCTATTTGTCAGAGGTATAGTGTAGTAAACTTCTGTTTGACTACAAAACACATGCTTGCATGATGAAACTGTTGATGCAATTCACCCCTCCAAACGTTTTTCTTCACAACTTTATTCAGAGGTGTCTGTTTTTAATGTAATTATGTGATCTGATTGGATTTTCTGCTGTAATTCTGAGTGGCTCTTAAAGCACTTTTAAGCACCCCAATGGGTATATATACGACACCTCTCATGGCAAAGTAGTTGAAAGGGCATACATGATTCTTCAAACACACCTAAGATAGATGTAAACATGCCCTTCATCTCAAACAGAGCGTCTAGAGTTGAGCCTGGGCTGATCTATTAAGACCTCTCTGGTCCAGTCTTGCCTTTGTATCCAGTCTATTAGAGACAGGGTGAGAACTTCTCAAGGTCTAATTTTCACACCCTCCAAACATTCACAGCTGATAAGTGGATTGTTTATTGAAGAAGCAGGACAGGCAGAGGACAGGCCGAGACAGCTGCGTCTCTGGCTGTGAATCATTCGCTCACTCTGCCGCTCACTCTGCACCCTGGTGAGGTGTGCTCTGCTTGAAGCTGGGTCATACAACATGGGTGAGCACTCGCTGTCAGGGAGGAATGTGATCTATTTAGTCCGGCCTTGGTGAAGCAGGGCGCTGTCACGGGCGATGAAGAATGTTGTTTTGTTAAGTATATTGAATGCTTCCTCAGCACTCCAGTCACTGTTGACAGGCTGAGCAGTGTCACCTCAGAGACTGACTCAGAAGTTTGACTTCACATATTCTGGAGAGCTCGAGGACACGTGTACTAACACACAGCCATCAAATTAACAGGACAAAAAAACGTGGGTGTGTTTGAGCAATTAAATAATCATTAAGGTTAAACTGTATAGCCTGTAATTTCCCTGAATATTTCTAAACAACAACAACAACAAGTGGATGGACACAAAACTGAGGGCTTTTTACGTTCATGTCAGTCAAAGTGTTTAATTAAAATTAGTTAAGACATCAGTTTCGTCCTAATCTAAATCTCTGATACTAATTAAAACTTGTTATACTTTTATAAAATGGTTTAAAGTTAAATCTCCTACTTGGAGAGCATTCCCACAACATTTTTTGTGATCAAGGAGCATCTGATGTCTGTTCAGAAGCGTAAGCTGTGTTTTGTCTCTGCACTCTCAGTTTAAAAAAATAATAATAATAACTTTGGTTAAAAAAAAAAATCTGCACTCATCAATGTCCTACCATCATCTTGACCAATCAGAACCCAGATAAGGTAGTATTTTGATAGAAACTATGGCAACAAAGGCATAATAGAAAAAAAATGAAAATGTAACCTTGAAAAAAAAAAACAGCAGATCACATGAGGACATACCAAAAACTGTTTCAGAGCATTTCATACCCTTGGAATCTGGTGTATATATTAATTGTAAGATACTATGAACATTTTAATTAATGTTTGATACACAAAAACTTTGACAGTGATTAAGTCTGTTTGGTTTCTTAACACTGAAACACCAGGTTACATCAAGTAATCTTCTTTTAGCTATTTGACCCATTCTCTGAGGTGATAATGTGATCTGTGCAGTCATGGTATGTCCGTATATGACAGGAGAAGCAACAAAGATAGTGAAACCTGTCACCCTACTTACAGTGTGGTGACAACCTTAAACTTTATGAACCGTGACCTCCTACTGTGATCACGTCACCAGAGAATAGAAGGTAATGTAATGTTTGCAGGAATAATTATGTCTAAGTTTATAAGTCTGGCATTTTACCTCTGAATCCTTGCATTAACTCTGAGTTTTGTAAGAAAACGGCGCTGTCAATTACTGCAGCTGTTTGTTTAATAATAAAACAAAAAACATAAATCAGAGTGCATTCTTGGTTTGTTTGCGAAACCAGAAACTCATTTAGGTTTCTCAGTCTTTATATTTATTGGTCAGCTGGTACACTTATTTTCTTTGCTAAACTAGGACCACTTCAAACTGCACTGTCGTTTACATTCTCATTTTACAACAGATATTAAAGCATTACCACAGTTTTCATTCAATTTTTATTGATCATAACAGTGAAATTCTACTTTTTTGTAGAATTGTAGTCCTAAACTCATACTTACACCAAGTGTCACAAACAAAGAAAAGTGTAGTAGAAAAACAGAGAGTACCGAAATGAGACAACAACTGAGTGTTAAAAGTATCAAACACTCACTGTTCGTGAAAGTCCAACATTGGAGGTTCGAACCGTATAGGTCGGCAGTTCCCACGGTGCGGGGACGTGCTGTGAGAGAAAGGAAAATATGACAGCAGCAGAAACAGCATGCCAGGAAAAACTGCATCCATGTTTGTGTGCTTTTCAAACTAATTTGAGGCTGAACACACAAACACAGACAGCACAGCCAGGGTCCAGGACTTAAAACAAAGCATCAAGATGGGAACAGGACCCCTTTCTCCGGCAGCGCAACATTTCTGTACATAATGAATCCCTGAAATCCATAGATGAGGGAAAATTTTTTAAAAATAAGACAAGAAAAAAAAGGCGACGGCTCTCTTATTGTTACTCTCAGAGTGAAGTGATCTGAAGGCAACACCTTCACTAGTCAGGTTTTAGTACACAGGCATAACTCACCAAACCTGTCCAACAACAGGTGGATCTTAACAATAGACAAGGCTGTCCCTAAAAGAGAAGCTGCTCTTTTTTTGGTGGGGCTGAAATGTAGCTGAACTATAAAATGACACTCTTGATGTAAATCACCTGGAAAGAGATCATCATCATTCATGCGGGTGTGGTTTGTGACAAAGCTTGAAGTTATTTAATGGAAAAGCTAACGCCTAAATACACGGATTCACACCTGGGAAAGTTCAGCCAATGTTATTCTCCTTTCTTATGCACCAGAAATGAGAATTCACTCACATTTTAATCACCCCACTGTCACCCTGGAGTTAGACCAGTTACCAGAGATCAGTTTCATCTCTTTACAACCAAGCCTTTGCATACAGGAGCAGACAATAGCTGCAGCAGTGTGCTCCAATGGCAGCGCTCGCAGGAGATGGATGGATTTCCTTCCCTTGAGGCTGGCAGTAATCCACACAGAGCCCCCGACCAGGCTGTGTGCTCCCCTGGATAATCTCTCATCTGCAGCCTGTCCTCACTCCTCTCATTAATATAACAACTACTGACAAAATTCTTGTGGAATTAAGGATTCAAATGGATCCTGGCTGTGAATTCTGTGTGGTCCTTTTGCTCAGGCGCTTCAGAGCTAATGTGTTGAATGTCAGTGGTGTAATTGGAGTAGCTGGGGAGATCATGAGGAGGGCTGTTGCCTCAAGACCTAAGATCTTTATATGTCCACTGACAGGCTACACTTCAGACAAGCGCATTTTAACAACAAAAACATGTAGAAGACTTTTACTCCCCCTTGATATGACTGGCATTATTCACAAACTTAAAAAAAAAAAAACCTGACTGTAAAAATTTGTTTCCTCTTTCTTTACTCAAAACAGACATGGAGGCAAAAGGGGAAGTTCAGCTTTCAAAAATCATGAATCAACAGTCAAACAGCAGAGTATCCCCTCCCCCCAAACTGAAGGGAGTGGTCATGCTATGCTTGTGCAAGATAACCCTTTTATGGGCACGAACACACAGTACACAGTAATAGTGAGGGCTCGCTGCACACTGAAGCCAGACAAAACACACATGTGTAGAGTAAGGACGGGGCGATGATGTCATGTGGAGACCCCTACACAAGAACTGAGTGACCCTGGTCAAAGAAACCACTCAGCTCCTAAAGTCTGACACTTGGACCTGAACTCTACATTTAGATTTTGGGGTGTTAATACCTCATATAGAAAAAGACTGAAATTCATGATGTGGATTAATTGAAGCCAGAAGACAGATAAATGTGCTGAAAAAAACTACAACCAATCAAAATGTTTTGAAGAGATGTTTTTGTTTTCGTTTTGTTTTTTTCTATAGGAAGACATTAACTTTACATGATGGTGTCTCTTTTATACGGCTGCGAACGTCTCATAATGTCACCTTCTGTCACCTTGTTGAGTGAGCTGATTGGCTCATACCTGCTGATTTCAACACGGGTTTCAGCACTGCTTTACTGGACTTGAAGCAAAATTGAGGCGTAATTACGCAGCTGCTTTGGGTGGAGGAGGAGGATGACTGTCCCACAGCAGTGTTTTCAACCTGCTGACAGTCAGTTGTACTTCATTTGAGTAAGAGTGGATCAATTACCAGCATTAGCCAATTATCTCTGCCTTTATTCAGCGATCAGCTCATTGTCTGTGGCAGCAGCATTATGAGATGATAAAACTTATTCATCTAAAAGTGTGCTTCTTTGGCACCAGTGTGTCTTTTGTCTCCGAGTCTAGTTTCACTCTCACCTAATGTCTGATTGGCTGGATGTCACTGATAATGTACCTGGTCAGCTGTTAAATCCTCACCTTAAAAGTCTCACTTTTAACTAACCACTAATTTATTCATTCTATCAAACATTTGCTAAATATTTAAACAATGTAAACAAAGTTTTGTGTTAAAGTTGAATACAGTTTGGTAATTAAAAAAAAACACCTTGATTAAACAGTCAGTGTATGTTTGTCATGTTTGAGTCAAGATTTAACATTACATTTATAGGACACGCAAGGCTCATTAGCAGAACCAGTGAGCTCAAATATTACTGATTTTCCTGTTTGAATAACAGGATATGTTCCTTAATACAAGATTTCAATCCACACCCATAAAAACTGCAGCCTGCAACGTTTGACTGCAGCCACAAACAAAACCTCGCAAACAAAATTTTTAATTTATCAATGTGTAAAAACACCATATGTCTAAAGTACAAGAAGTCCCTCTACATTTTCAAAGATCTGAACTGAAACTAAGCATTTCAGTGCACTCAGTTCTTGGAGAATCACTAAAGTTCACACAGTGCCAAGATATGAGAGTCGAACATCTGACTGATACTAGAACGAAAACTACAACTTTCCTGAACTCTTCCTCTGGCAGCTATGCTTGTCTCTGCACTCACAGTCCTGACTGGAGGCAGAGTGACCTAACCAGGAACACCTGTGCTGTTCTGATGGTCAGATCAATCATAAAACAACAAGACCACCTGCCCGTCTGTCTGTGTGTCTGTCTGCCTGTGTGTCTGTCTGCCTGCCTGTCCCTTCCCCATCAATGATGAATAAAACTATCTGCGCTCTGACCCTGCTAAACTCTCATGTCAGGAGAGATGGGGTCTGGTTGAATGCTAGGTGCCACACATCCACATTCACACATACACACTTCCACACACAAACTCTGAGGACTCATGCCACTGACCGCACATGTTTCAGAGGACTGGGGGGGTCGGGTGTGATATCAGGTAATTACAGAACAGGAAGCTGCTTTTTGCAGATCTGTCCGCAAATTGATGTCACCCCTTGAAATGAGTTCGTTGGTTAAGTTTAGACCTCTTCAAGTGGCTGTTGTCTCGTCTTATCAACTCTGGCAGCTTGAGATCCAAAGGCTCAAGCCTTTTATTTTATTATGGTCATGAGCTGATACTTTCAAGACAGGCACGTGTGATTAATCAAATCTAAGCTGGAAGAATCTTTGCTTTTTCACATGATAGAAGTGCGTAATAATACATTTGGAAGTTTGTTAAAGTGAAACTGTTGCAGCATTTCTGTCACTTTCCACTTTGTGCATATCATGTTAAAACTGGAAGTGCCATAAGAATGCTGCTCTTATTTTGCACTGTCTATTTAGTTCGACAGCTCCTTAGGCTCTTCCTCTTTATGCTAACACTGCAGCAACACTTCAAAGATGCACAGCAATTCCCCACCCACTCAGCAATTATGGATTTACCTACATAAACGTGGTTGTTTGACTGTAAAGGGGCAATAAAAGGAAAAGTAGTCAGGAGTAAACTTACCTTTGTTGGTGATATAAACTAAAATCAATGTCAGACTCTGCCTGCAAAGAGCAGAGAAACATTTGTTAATATTTACATGTTATTCAAATAAGGCATATATGATGATACTGAGAGCAAGGTGGGTCATTTGCAAATCCAGTTCATAGTCTTATTTTAGCCTTCTCTTGTGTATCTGGGTTGGGTAAAAGTCAAACAAAAACAGGAGTGATGTCATCACACTCACCTGCAAAAGGCCGCCCTCACCAAAATGTAAAACTTCTAGGATTGTGTCTGACTGAATGAAGGCTGTGAAAAGAAAAAGAAAAGAGAAGAGGGCACATAAGTTTGTCACCCTGACCAAAATGGGGACTGAGGTGTTTGTAATTTCAGCACTTTCTCAAATTTAACACTTCTGAGCAGAAGAAGAGAAAAGTCCATAAGAAGAGCTCTAAAAATAACCTTCTGGTAGTAACTCCTCCCAATCCTCCAGAGCCAAAGTCATCCTTAAGCTCTGCGTATATCTCCACGAACCACCGAGTTATATTACCACTACAGATAACTCCACTCATAAACTTTAATCTCTTGTACTTTCAGAGCAGACAAGGGGCAGATCAGACCTGAGATCTGAGTTCATGTTCTGCTCTGCTCTGCTTGGAGTGGAAGTTTGGACAGAAGAAACACTAACTCTGCAGCTATGAACGTGGCAAACATATTCCGGCCAAACTTGAATCATTAATCAAATGAGATTTAGCAGTTCATTACAAAGCTCTTTTGTCAGTTTAGCGCCACACCAAGTCCTATTACAGTCTAAATGAGCCTCATGTTTAACCTGTGAGACACACCCTGCTGCTGGCCTACTTTCTTACAATTCTAATCATGTAGCCTTTCTCTTTCTTCAATTTATCATTTACCTGGAGGTCAGAGAAACACAGAGGAAAGCTGTACTGAAGTAAGGGGGAGCCTGGCTTACAGCTACAAAGCTCTTTAAAGACAGGGACTTCTTTTTCATCTGGAATTGTATTACTCTGTGTTTAACAGTTTTACTCAGCTATTTAGTGTCTCTACTCAACTAGAAACCTGTGCAAAAAATTCAGGAAAATTTCTTAGATCAGATGTACTGTATTGGATTGTTGCTGATAACTGATTTGGCAATATTAAAAACTCATTTAGGCTGATAGTAATACCAGTCCAAGCACAGCATTAGCCTGTGGAAGCCTGTATTCACCACCACAATGAAAGGCTGGTTATCTTTTCATTAGACTCCTCGTCTTTTCATGGTTATAACCATGAAAAGACAAGACCATAGTACTGTACATTTTAACCATAACACTGAAGTAGAGGCTGCTCTTTACTTGTGCTGAAGCTTTTTTTGATTCTCCTTTTCAGAATCTTTTGGTGGATGTCAGCTCTAAGGACACACACTTATACTGGCAGTGTTACAAGAGTGCTGTACCTCTGCTTCACAAATATTACATTAGCTGTTTTGCTGTTTGCTCTGTCTGACACTTCAAAGTACTTTTATGCAGTCAGCATGTTCAAGCTTGTGGTTGAAGTGGATAAGCTGTCACCGCATCACCTTAGTGACCATACAAACAAGCTGAAATTTTCAAAAACCTTGATCCTGCTAGTTTACTTCTTCAGCTTTTATCAGCTGATTTTGTGTTGATGAGGATGAGTATTCCTCATCCAAGGAATCACTACAAAGGAGTTGCTATTTGAGCACCTACAAAAAAGCTAGTGGCACCTCAGCATGCAGCCCTCTTCTACATCTTTATTTACAGATTCTTGCATGGAGAACTGTCCCAGCACCTGTTAGAAACACACCTGTGGTCTGAGTAAAAGACCTATCACACATCAACAGTCTTGGCAGGACATGCAGTTTGTGTGAAGACCTGGATCAGGGCAGAACACACACCAACATACTATCAACCTTGCCTCCATTGTAGGTAATCTGACAGAAACTTATCCACATATACACAGATAACTGCATAAAAATGCAGCTCGCAAACTTTTTCAGATAATTGCAAACTGAGTCACAAATCTGCTCAATGCTGAGTTGTAAAAGCTAATCAGTATTTAGATTTCCTGACTATCTGGGATTCTTCAGAAATGATCCCACTCCTGACCAGCAAACATTTCACAAGTTGTTTTAAGCTTGCATTTTAATTTGTAAAATTCTTTATCATGATATTTTAACCGTGGCAAACTTACAACCCATTTATCTTAAGTAAATCACAACAAAGCTGTTTTATTTTAAAGGCCAATACAGCAAAAAAAAAGCCAGAGTGAAGCCTTTGTGTGGTTTACTGCCTTCTGCTGAACTGAGACCTTCTCATAACAGATGAAGAACTGAGAACCAGCACTCCTCTCGTCTCCCTCAATGTCCTTTACATCTGTGACGTAAATGCAGCAAAAGGAAGAGGAAGTTTTGTCAAGACGTTGTTTCAGAGCTAAAAATTGGTTAGTTTTGAAACAACCTCATGAACCTAAAACTAAATGAGTCCCTTGAGTGGTTATCTCTTGCACTCACTGTTTGACAATCTTTTACAAGTATGAATCTACACACTTAGAGACTCCAAATTCAACCCTAAACTCAGCATGTATTATGCTTTCATTATACTGAAAAGCTTTTCACCTGACACCTGTGAACTCCTACAGCTTGAGCCAGATCAACTTTGACAGATCATGTTCGCAGCACAGTTCCAGCTTGGGACGCTAATATTATGCTTGACATGTACTGGACTCCTGCCATTAAAAGAGCAGGTTTTAGATTAAATTTTGACAGTTTTCATATGCACTCATGACTTCATACGTGTCAATTATACTGAGAAACTTGAGGTGCCAACAGACTACCATGTACACAGAATAAACACAACAACCAACAGCCACTCTGCCGCTTTAGGCTTGCATGTAGTTGACTACTTTCTCACTGTGTAAGTTAAGTCCTTAGCAGTTTTGAATATCATCTTTGAATTTATCATGCTTTGTAAAAACCTTATCACAGAACAAAAAGGTGTTAGCCTTCTCAAGTTCGGGAATAACAAGCTAAACAATATAAGCAGCAGCTCAGCTCACAGCCCTGGGTCAGGAAAGCCTGTGTTTTAACATCAGGCTGATTTTCCTGGTGATTTTACCAGCTTAAATCATCAGGATTATTCATTTTTAAGAGGATGAGACCTCTGTAGGAAATTTTAAAAACCTTTGGACAAGTTCAAAACAACAAGTTAAGCACCAATGAATTGGGGGGGTGGGGGGTGGGGGGGTGGGGGTGGGGTGCTTTGTTTACTCAGCTGACAAAAATCAATGACAAAATAGGTTAAGAACAAATTAAACTTGATGATTCGTGGCCAATGACCTCATTGGCTGTTTTTGTGCTGTGAGTGGACATAATATAATTTTACAGAGTTAAATAGCCGGGGAGTGAGACATCTCACATCCCTACCATCTTTGCTAAAAGTGACACATGCAAAACAGCAACTGGGAAGCAACAGGTCATCAAATCATCGCAGCCAATGAAACAACACCATCACATCTTAAAATTTCTAAAGTCCAGGGGCATTTTACACGAAACACTGCAAAGAAACAGCTGCCAAAAAGATCTGTAAACAGGAACTTACTTATCATGAGAGCACAGCATTTATACATGTTGGGTGTTTCTCTACACGTTTAACTTAACAGCCTGTAGCCAGAGCCTTTAAACCTTCATAAAACTCCTCTTCACATCCCTTTTTCTTCCTTCTTTCCTCCAAACAATGGAGCAAAACCTCACCATGTTACCATAGTAACAATGCTACACATGACAGCTAAAACATCCATCTTGCATGGACTGTGACTTTTAATGGTATGTTTAGAATTTAAATGAGTAATGTTAAATTTCAACATAAGACAGTAGCTAATCGTACAACTGGTTATCTGATATTATCTAATTAGTCAATTAATAGTTTCAATCATCCATGACTAGTCAAAATTAACATTTCACATTTGAATTCATCATGAACTCTGAATGACATTTTCTTCATGAACATACAGTATCGAGTTAAACATACAACATACTGTGTCTAAAGCATCTCCCAGGCCTAGATAAAACAGTCACGGCAAATTCAAATGATCTAATCACTTGATGCTACAACTCATGGTTTCATTTCCTGTCAAATTTCACTTCAGACATTTCACAAGCCATTGCACTCAGCCAACACAGCTTTTGTGACATGGGTTAGTTTCTTTTTAAGGGTATAGGGAAAAGTTCAAGTCCTGTTTTTTTTTTCCTGATTACAGAGTAGGAAGAAATCGCTTTTCTTACTGTGCCTCAGCAGAACGTGAGACTAAATAAAGGCAAGCCACAGGAAAGTTAAAGCTAAACTGGAGCACACCAATCACAAGTTTACACAAAGTGAAACTGAACTGTTTCCGATGACTTTCATTGCTGCTCAGCCAACCTCAGCTTGTTACTTCAGCCTGTAGGTAACAACCAAAAGGATTGCCAAAGCAGAGAAGTGGAAGTTTTAAATCTTGTGTCATTTCTCCAGGCATGTAACTAGAGAAAGAAAAAATCTGTACCAACAGTTCAACAGCAAGGAAGTGACTTTACAACAATGTGACTTTTACAGTATTTGCCAATAACACTCTATCACTCTGGTGCATTTCTTGTAGGGCAAATGTCTGAATTGTGGAACCACTGCAAACACTTTATCAGCCCCAGACACGTTTCAAAGTTGGCACAGCTTATCTTGGACGTGAACTGCAGCTGTCCACTCAGGACTGGTAGACTTATCACTGTGACCTGACACGATCAGTAGATTTGACAGCTGGACACTTTACTCAGCTGGATAAATAACATGCGGCTGTCATTTGGCCTTGTTGGCAGATCAGTGCAATGCTGGAATCGACCCAGGGTCAAAATCAAAGCCCTCGGTGGCGTTTACAAATAAAAGTCACCTGACTGTTTCAAACTGATTTTCTTTTCAAGCTGGGCCACAAATGAGGAAGTTAAGTTAGCAACCCTGTGAGTAACAGTAAGACATTTTTTCTACATTTCATCAGGCTGGAGTGGCTTGATTACAGACACAAAAGGGAAGGGAGTACAAGTGAAGTGGCTTTATAAATGTTGCTGAAAAATGCCAGTGGACTTAAGAGTGCATCATCAATAGCCTGACTTCTGATTAAGTTGTGTCACTTTCCCAAACAAATGACAACTCCTTTCCTTCTTATACAAGCAAAAATACATTGTCCTAAAACCCATTTTGGCCGATCTTGAATTTGTGAAGGTACCCTAGACAGCAGCAGTGTTATATTCATATTTAAAATCTACATTCAAGTGGCAAATTGATATAGCCTGTGCCACAAGCAGCATTACTGAGATACTAGGCAAACTTTTAATGTATAACAGGCCAAAGTTACTTATAAAAAGTAAGAAAACACTGACAGCATGTCAGGTTAAATGACTGGCAATATGACGACGGCACGCATGCACACTTACACTACTATTGCGATTGTCCGCAATTTATCTGTAAGTCTTATCATAAATGAAGGGCATTTATTTTCCTTAACTTATCACTTTGATTTTACCTGCTTACTGTAAGACTCATACAAATGTTATGTTCTGGCATAAAAGTTTAAAAGGTGAACCCAACAGAAGGTTAATTCTTTAGGGACTCAAAAAGCCTCTACTTCTCAAAAGTACAAAAAGTAAAAATACAGGGAAATAAATTGCATTTAACTATGAATCGAACTACCAGCAGCCTGTTGCTTGATGGCTTAAGTCCTGCCTCTGAAAAGACAATAAGCCAATCAGAGTTTAGAATTTTTTGTTGGCACCTGGATAAGCCATTTACATTTTAAAGGGGAGCCAAGCCACCCCTGGCCACCAATGTGGACGAGCCCCTGAGTGACAGAGACAAAGTGTTGTCATTTATTTTTAGTAAACTGTCATCTCTGCATCCAGATACCTGACATCAGCCCAAGGGAGCTAATGCCAGTGCTATCAGTGATGCTAACTAGCCACTCTTCCTGCCTCTGCCTCGCACTGTTTAGTCTTTCTGCTGGTTTGAGTGTTGGCTTGTTTTAACCTTATAAGGATGACAACATGACAACATGCTACAGACGGAGCTAACGTTAAAGGTAACGGTACAGAAATAGCTAACTAACGGCTGCACTTTCATTCTGAACTGACGCTAATTTAAACTGTTCAATGGATTTACTTTGGCTTCACAGGAAAGGAAAAGTGTCTACAGCCCAGCAACATTAAACACGTATAAATGTTAGCAGGCTAGCTGTGTTTAAGTTGGCCCGCAGAGGTTACCTCAACCCCACACTTGGTAGAAATGTCCACGGAAGTTAGCGCTAGCTAGGCAGCTAAGTTACAAACCTTGTTTATTGGCCCGCGTCGTGTGAATAAAAGCAATAAATAAAATCCTCAACAAGCCGATACAAGATGTTCCGGTTCTTGTATGAGGTCTTTCTGGACTCGCCATGCTGTAGGTTTCTCTGTTACGATAACAACCAAGCGAGTGAACGGAGCTGCCCGTGTAAACCTCTGCTGACTCTGTCAATCATCGCCGTGAGGAGAAACTCCACCGAGCAAAGCAGCAGCGAACTACCGAGCAGGACGACGGCCTCTCTTCTTCTGCTGCTGCCTGCTGCTGCTGCTGTTCTCTTCTTCTTCGGCTCTTCCTCTTCCGCTTCACGGTACCGCGTCATGAGATGACACGTACAGTGGTGTGCTGCTGCCTGCTGCCGTGGAGTCAGAGAGGCCGTCCTCCACCAAGAACACTGACGTTTGTTAGACTGTGTGGTGTTTAGGAAATTTTCTCGCCATGTAGACCGTAAACTAAAGCCATTTGTGAGCGGTTTGATTTATTTATGGCCTAATACTGTGATAGATAGGTATAGTGCAGCCTATACTAGTTGTATTTGACAGAGGCGAAGTTTATGACCTACTCAAATGATTGTTAAACATGATATGGAGAGGGAATCTTAGGAGTTTCCAGCAGTGTCTAAGAGGTAATAGGACATTTCAGCACTGTCAAAAAAAACAAGGAAGTCAAATTCAAATGATGCCAAATAAGACAAAATGTTATTGCTTTATTATAAATGAAAGTAGGGTAATGGTTAATGTTTGGCAACAATAACCCTAGGTAAATGCTGATAGTGGCTGATAGTGGACGTTGTGGATTGAAGACAGAGGCAGAACAAAGATAACATGAGACGAAAGAACCTATAGATCATGATAAATCAGGTTGTTTTTAAATATATTTGAGTTCAGCCCATGGTACTGATAGGGTTTAATTTCCTATTTAGACAGTACCTCAGCTGTCTTTACTGTAGAGTGCTAACAATAAGCAAGAATATTCTGATTTCGAATAACATCCACCATCTCCAGACAGTTTCTCCACTTTGTGGAGATAACACTCATTAACTTATTTCATGTTTTATATAATCAGGAGTGGCAAAGATTGGCTATCACCTCTTCCCAATATCACAGCTGATATTCTTAAAGTAAGACAAAGGAGCATGAAAAGAGATTATCCATCATATTTTTGGTTGATCCACATATCAAAACAAAAAAATGATTCTGATAAACAAGTTTTAACTTGTTGAACTTCTTGGTTGATTTTTGGAAAGGTCAGATGGATTAAAACAAGTGACTTCATGCCTTTAATTTTATTAGAGTTGGTAGTCATAACATTAAAAAAAAACTGTAAAAATGATATACAGCTTTTTATAAATATTGAAGGCCGTAGGTATCCCATGGGGTTATTTTTAAGCATGCTGAAGTAATAGCCTTTCTCACCTTTTAAAATTAGAGTACATGTCAAATAAACTTTTCTCAAACCTTTTCTATGTTGTTATAGTTGCTTCTCATTATGCTAAGTTTGTTCAAGAGCTCATAATCACTGTGTAAAGTTTAGTTAGACTTAGTTGTTTGACTTTAGAAAGATGACTGATTGTCAGACCTTTTGAAAATAATACCCCCCAGCAGCAGACCAGAGAAAGAAACCCTGACACAAAAATCATTGTACTTTGTAAAGCCATAAGTGTCCACTTCAAACCAACACAAGAATCTATTTTGTGTGGAGTGTACCGGCCTGAGGGTAAACTCAGAATAATTACGTTTACTTTGGTTAGTGGAAATGGGCATCTTCATACTTCCTAAATTACTTCCAATTTAACAAAGTACCTGACCTTGTTTCAAGAAAGGAATCAAGATATTTTTTTTTTTGCTTCTTACGCAGCCACTGTTACTTATTACATAAATGAATTATGTGCTTCCTAATGGCTTGTATTTACAAGCCTCTGTGGAAAGTCAGCCATGAGTTTAGTGTGCAAGGACCATCACCAAACTACAATCCAGGCAAAAGATGCTGCAAGAACAGTCAATAACTTCACCCTGGATAGATTCAGAGACAAAATCACTTCATGCATTTATGCTATTTTACAACAATTAGCTTGGGAAAATATATATTTTTTGCTTATTTTAGGGAGCATATCTTACTGGTGCCTTCGGTACCATGGGTTTAAAGTAAGCACTCATTAATTTAAAGCTCCTGAGGGGAGTTTTTCACATTCATCAAACTGACTGAGATTCATATTGATGCCTTATCATGATTTCCAAGGGCAAACAAGACCATTAGTAAGAAAATTTACAATATTTACATTGCAATTTTTAATGCCCAAAACTGGTGCGGGGAGGTAGGTGTCAGCTGCACAGCTGAGAACCAGTAATTTTACAATTTCTACATAAAATATGAACAATATTTGATACATTTGACAGTCAAAAGTCAACAAAATGAGATTCATGTCAACAGATTCTACTTGCAGAGGGCACCAAAAATGGACACAAACTTAAAGTTCTTCACAGTAGCTTTGAGTCTATTTTAAATAAAGTTTTTTTTTTTTACCTTACATTAACTGACTGGGTTTTTAGACTCAAGTACAATGTAATTTAAAAGAGTGCATTTACTCCTGAGTGTAAGTGTAAGTAAGTGTTATTTTCTGATAAATAGCTGCTGCTTAAATTCTTGTGTGTAGGTTATGGACTACATATATAGTATAATGTTGTATGAGCAATACTTTTTTTATGTATGTTTTAAATTCTGTTCACTGCTGCTGTCTTAGCCAGGACGGTCTTGAAAAGAGAGATTCTTTATCTCAATGAGGTTTTCTCCTGGCTGAATAAAGGTTTAATGGAAAAAAAAGTTACTCTTTCCACCCATGGTCAGCTCTCACTAAGGCAGGACTCTGGCTTCACATCTTACAATGACAGCAGATGGAAGTATGCTGTATGTACCAATATGCAGTAAATGTTCCAAACACAGAGACTATAATATTTAGAGAGACAAAAACATTCAAGTGTAATGATAATGCCAGAAAATGTCTGTTATAGTTTATAGATATAATGCAAATTTTCTTTGTACTTGTCAATGCCATGTTCAGTAACAGGAAATTAAACTTACAAATATTGTTTCCCTGCAGTCACAAACCCAAAAAAGGATAAATAATCTTTTGGAAAACCCTAGGACCCAAAAATCTGTCATAACCACACTCTTTGGCTATGACAGACAATGAGAGCAAGCACAAGTGGGAAAAGCAGATGAATAATTTTCAACAAAACTGAGTTAAAGCTCCTGTCAAAACACTTGAAGCATGTGATAATTTAGGTGCTTCATTTGAGGAAAAAAAACAGCAAAAACTTTTGGATTTTAGCCAAAAATACCGACCCAACAGCATTTTTTTCCTAATAGGTGTCTTGTGAGGTTAATGGCTGTTATTGTCTGTTTGTTACTGATGGATGGAGCAGAAAGAAGGCTGACTGTGGACCAGGACTTCTGTCTGACTGCAAAGTTGAACATTGTTATAAGGGTTATGACCCAGTGACAATAGGTCAAAAGGTCTTTCTGCTGACACAGCTGAGGTTTACATTTTGAGCAACAAAGGTCAATCTACAGCATAAACAGAATATCCATGTCAAAGTTTTAGTGAGAAAAAAATTAACTCAATGTAAAGTGAGGATTTCAACCTGTCGGTCACCTCAGAGACTAGTTTTACATATGAACAAAAATGCAGTCATAGGGTGGGTGGTGAGATGCAGTCGCCGTAATCAATGATGCTGTGTTTCAGCCTCATTCAGACTCTCACTCTCAAACTCCTCTTTTTGAAGGCTTCATAGGAAGAGTTCAGCAGCAGGCAGAGTACAAGAATACAAATATTAGCCTCTGGGAAGATTCTTTTGACCTCATGAAGGAACTAAATTTGTGGATGGTGTGGAAATCCCAGTTGAGGCACTGTTGAGGCTCCAGATACACACTCCAATACCTTCTCAAGGGTGGCTGGACTGCATTCTCCTTCTGTAGCACAAGAAAGTGGCAAGGAAACAGTAATTCTAGCCTCTTGAACATAATGATGCATAGGACTTCCCAACAGTTATGAACAAAGTCTGCAATATGTATGTGAAGAGTCCTGATCCTCACCCTCTGTGGCATTAAACTGTGCTGTCACATCATTGACATCACAAAAGAAACAAACAACCACAATACAGTGCTATAGAAATTTACAAATGGTAAGAGCAGATGGGGCTGTAGGGAGTGAAGATACAGTGTTTGTTTAGTGGGTCAAAGCCAATGTATGAGTATATCTGTGAGTGTCAAACTAGCTTAAAACTAAAACACTTGCAGAAAACCAGCCTCCCTGGATGTGCACACACACTGACTCTGTCCTCGACAAAGAGAGATGGGGAAACAGCGCAGATTTATTTCACAGGGTTTTGCTCAGAATTCGGGAACTAGTTTAATTTATCTGGACAGCAATGAGAAAGGAAAACTTCCTTAACAGACAGAAACCTCGAGCAGAACCAGAATCATGGAAGATAGTCATCTGCTGAGACTGTCAGTGTGTATAAAGATAGTTTCTGCTCTCTGTGACTTCAGCGAGTGAGTGAAGTTGGTGATTTAACTGACGAGAGGAGGAGAGGACCAACAGAGTACATGATTAAGTCAGTCTATATGAGTCTATGTTCATGTCAAACTGACTGTTTCAGCTTTTTTATTCAGTCTGCATGGGGGTTGTGTTCACTCTGCGGTGTTTTAGCTCTGGGTGAGCCTGTTATGTGCAGCTGGCTGTAGGACCTAATTTTGCTGATTAAACTCTGACTTGTCTGTGGCATTTAGTCAGTTGTTATTTTATACTTTATTTTACATTATTTAAAACACATTTGTATACTTATTCAGTTTGTTTGGAGATTAGAGGAAATAAATCACCACAAATAGTCAAAATTTTTGTCCAGTAGATTTTTTTTTTATATATTCAGTTGTCTTTAAATCAAAAGACAAATAAAATCTTGCACTTTTGAGAATTATTTGACGGCTGGAGTGACTTCTATGTTGTTCTGCAGAGAAACGGCAGACACATACAGTTAGACTAGAGAGGGTTTTTGGGATAAAAGTTAATTCAGGGAAGAGAATAATGAAGTGACAAATGAGCAGATGGAGGGGATTTTTCTCATAAAGCAGCTTTATCTGAAATCTCTGCCACAGCTTCGCCTGTTTGAATACTTAAGAGAGAAATGATCCAGATGTCATGAAAATGATGAAGGCCAATATTTTTATTTGGCTAACATTTGTCAGTTTGTCCAACCAGTGTCTTTTACAAACATTGTATTGCTCTCTCAATGCCACACCTACAGGAACTT